CAACGCCCCGTCAGCCACTACCCCACAGCCGACGTTCTACCTGAATTAGGGCAAAACGCTACAGTTTCCATGACGTTAAACGTCGACAATCCTTTACCCTGGGCCCAACAGTTCGCCGAAATTTTACAAGACGTCCGGGAGCAAACAGCAGACGCCGATCTACATTGATGAGAAGTGTCTTACCAGGCTCGAGATTTAGTACTGCTCGACACTCTGAACCTTCGACTACTCATCGTCCCAAAACTTCGCCCTCGCTACTGCGGATCATTTACAAATAGCCACATGATATCGTCTGTTATAGCCCATCTAATGCTACCAGCCACTTAGAACGTCAGCTCATCATTTCAAGCGCGGCTGTTACGACCATACATCGCCAGCATTAGTAAATTACCACGTCATCGGGTCAACCCGAACATCCGACCACTCGTCGAACTTACTGTCAAACCTGCGAAGATTCTCAGCCGTTGGATCAAGGACCCTCGAAGGGCTCGCCTGATCGAGTTTCTGATATCGTAGAAGGACTGGACACCCCTGGAAAAAAGCTGGGTGCCTCTGGCACAGATTGAGAATTACCTAGTATTACGAGTCTACCTCAAGTCATGCAATGTGCACGACATCGTCGGTCTTAGCTAAGACCATACATGGAGGTGGGGGGGGGGGGGGGGTGTAAGGAAATGGGTTTTCCTTATCACGGGTTTTAGTTAGTAAGACGTACACTGCTATAACAAGGTTATCGCACAGCTGTGCCACGATACTCAAATCGAGGCACCCAAATGTGGTCTCCTGACAAGTCGCATGCATTTTGCCCGCCTTGCTGATTGATGGCTAGATTTGGGCGCTCTGTGCCAACCTACAAACCACATGTCCTAGCTCTGCCGAGCCTCGACTGTGTGCTCTAGGCTTAGCTATATCAACACTCCCTGTTGTTTTGATATTGCCCCATTGTGTTTGTTTCCTCGCTACTCAATTATTCGACGCACGCTCTGTGCGCTTCATTACACCATGTAATATTAGCTTGAGCTTACTTTCAAGTTATTGTATTCTTCTTCATGCTTTTTATGAAAAGAACTTGAAAATAGAATTTCAACTGGTTGATCACGGGAAAGTGTATCAGCGCTCAGTATTAGGGGCCTCGATAACATGTGCGGTCAGTAGCACGATATAAAAAATCAGAATTAGCAAGTTCGCAACATGTTTCATCAGTCGAGTTCCACCGTTAGTCAGAAACTGCAAGAAAAAGTACCACGAATGGCCAGTAGAAATAACCCCCGCCCGTCTCGGAACGTTTTCCCGCCCGCGCCAGCCCAATTTCGTCACCATTGTGGCAGGCACGATATTTTTGTCAGCTTCGTGCGCAGTTCGATGGAAAAAACACAAAACACCGAAATTAAAATTCATTGGACATTTGTTAGTCGAGAAACACGAAAACACGATTTTGTTTCGAAGCACATACTTCCATCACAGAGTGTAGCGCGTCCTGCGAAGATTAAAAATGGTGGCTTTGTCTCTACCGCATTCACGGCACGCGCACTACTGTTTAATATTCACGCTGTGAAACATATCCTTGTATGTTATTATAGGCTACACAGGGTTGTGCCTTAGAGAGTACAACCCACTAGGTTATATTCCCTTGTATGCCGTGGTTCTACTCATTCGTTAACTTTGACATGGTATCAAAGCCATCAGGGGTTCAATTTCTGGTGTACACACTATCCCAGCAGGGGGTGTGTCATGGCGTAGGATAACCTTGTCGATCCTCTCTGTCTCTCTAGGGAGGGTACAGGGGAGGCTTTCTTTGGGGAAGATGGATATATGGTGCCTAACCCTCTTGATCATATCCCTTCTTGTCCCAGTAGTTAGGACTGATGACTTTATGACATGGTATCAGAGCTCGCTTTCTTTTCTGAGGCCGCTCCTAGAGGACAGGTAGTACAAGCTCCTAGAGGACAGGCAATACGAGCTCGCTTTCCTTTCTGAGGCCGCTCCCCATCTCAGTTCCATTCTGCTAGTCCTTGAGGGTGACCTAGACGCCCTTTTCATCCTGACCCTTCGCACCTACACTGAGGCCACCTCAGGACCCTGGGCCTCTCAGTCGATAGCTGCCATGGAGCAGGAGATGGCATCTTGGAGATCCACCGGTACCTTTGTCGACGCAGTTCCCCCACCTGGGGTGAACGTAGTCGATGGCCGATGGCTCTTCAAGGTGAAGCACCCTCCTGGAGAGCCGCCTGTCTTCAAGGCGCGCTACGTTGCTCGAGGAATCAGTCAGTGTGAGGGGGGGGACTTCTTTCAGATTTTCGCCCTAACCCTGAAGATGACTACTCTTCGGGCACTACTACACGTAGTAGCACAGCATGACTGCGAGCTGCACTCCCTCGACTTCTCCACAGCTTTCCTCTAGGGCAGTCTACACGAGCAGGTCTACCTGCGCCACCCCAGGGCTTCTCCGGTACCTTTCCCCCTGGTACCGAGTGGCTCCTCCGGCGCCCAGTCTACGGCTTGCGACAGGCGCCCCGTGAGTGGCACGACATGCTACGTGCTACACTTGCTGACCTGCAGTTCTTCCCTTCGTCTGCAAAACACTCGCTCTTCGTCCGTTCCGGCCAGAATCCGTTCTATATCCTTGTCTACGTAGACAACCTGGTCTTTGCTACTGCAGATAGAAACGCGCTGACCTCCATGAAGGCCGAGCTGCTGAGAAGACACACCTCCACTGACCTAGGAGAGCTACGCCGCTGCCTTGGCTTGCAGATCTCCAGGAATAGAGCAGCGCGCACCATCACTCTCTCACAGTCACACTTGGTGCGCCAAGTCCTTCAGATGTTCGGCCTTCAGTACTCTTCCGCGCAGCCCACCCTTCTGCCAGTAGACCACAGACTCTCTGCTCCAGTCTCGGAGGAGGCTGTAGAGCCTAGTGGTCCCTACGCAGAGCTGGTGGGGTGCCTCATGTACTTGATGACTTGCACTCGTCCAGATCTCGCATACCCTCTCAGCATCTCCTGGCTCACTTTGTGGCCACCGGCAGACACCGACCACTGCACTGGTCATCAGATAAGAGGGTTTTGCGATCTAGCAAGTACATCGGGCATGGGGCTAGTGCTAGGAGGACGTAAACTAGTGGTCCTTACCGGTCACACAGACGCTTCTTGGGCAGACGACGACGAGACTCTCAGGTCCTCCCAGGGCTACTGCTTTAGCCTTGGTGCAGGTGCCATCTCGAGGAGGTCCACTCGTTCCTCGTCTATTGCCCACGCTAGCTGTAAGGCTGAGAGCTACGCTGGTGCCATGGCGGCACAGGAGCTCCGTTGGCTGACGTTCTCGCTCACCGACTTAGGTGAGCGGCCTAGATCTGCCCCGGTTCTGTACGCTGACAGGAGGGCCATGATCCTCCTGTGTCAGGAGCCTAGACTCGAGGGCAGAGCGAAGCACATCCAGCTGCGGTACTTCCTCCTGCGCGAGCTACAGTAGCGTTGCCTGACCCGCGTAATAGTCTTGGCCTCCGGTGCCAACACAGCTAATATCTTTACGAAGGCGCTTGCGCCTAAAGATCATCAACGGCACTGTGTACAGCTAGGTCTCGTTTCTGTAGCCTCTCACTTTCTAGGACCTTGATTGTGTACAGACCTTTATATATATTTTACCCTGACTGGCCTTGTGGCCTCTTCCCAGTGGCTAGACTAGTAGTGCCGCCCTGGTCTTGCTCTTGCCTTGTTTGTACTCGTTTGATTGGTCTTTAGACCCTTGCCTCAGAGGCTGGACTAGTAGTGCCACCCTGAGCTGCTTGTCTCTCATTAGGCACTGCCCCTATCCAGTCTAGGGGGTGTGTCAAACATATCCTTGTATGTTGTTATAGACTACATAGGGTTGTGCCTTAGAGAGTACAACCTACTAAGTTTTATTCCCTTGTATGACGTGGTTCTACTAATTCTACTAATTCGTTAACTCTACTATTGGCTTAGCGCTGATCCCGGATAGATTTGCCTTTACGTGTCAAATGTTGTTGTTGTTGTTGTTTGTTTGTTTTTTTTTTTTCTGTTTTTTTTTTTTTTTTTTTTTTTTTTTTTTGCGTTTGTTAATGTTTGAAAAATGTCGCACCCGATGTGCGGCCCGCTGTGGCCCAATTAGCTTATGCGACAGAAATACACAAGGTCACAATTTTTGAATTTTGTGTGTGCGACGTCTAACGATTTTTAATGTGGGAATACTTTACGTTTTTCTCTCGAGTTGCACCTGGAGCTTGAGAAAAATATTGCGCCAACCACAATGATGACGAAATTGGGCTGGCGCGAGCGGGAAAACGTTTAGAGACGGGCGGGGGTTACTTATACTGACCATTCGTGGAACGTTTTTCCTGCAGTTTCTGACTGAGTGGAACCCGACCGAGGAAACATGTTGCGAACTCGCTAGTTCTTTTTGTTTATATCGTGTCACTGATAGCGCGTGTTATCGAGGCCCCTAATACTGAGCGCCGGTATACTTTCCCGGTCGATTACAGTGGGTGGCTCCGCGATCCAAAAACGTTTGCTTGACACGTGCTCACTCACTCTCGAATAGATGAAGGACCAGTCCTCAGTCCCACCAATCGGAGGCCCCCGCAGGTTCATCTCGCGCAGCACGCAGTCGAACCGGGCGGCAGTCCTTGCTTTGGGAGGGCCAGGCTCGCATGGAGAGAAGAAACCCGTTGTTGAGCTAGCAGCTTTTCAATATAAGCAATTGTTTTCCGCAGAAGAAAGCGTTAGAACTCAGGTTTAGACATTCAGCACGGCTGCATACGTTTGTTTACGTTGAAAAACGATACAAAGAGTTTCAGTACGGTTGATATTCGAGAACGAGTAAAGCAAGACGTTTTTTTGCCGTTCTATGGCTACTGCCTTGCAGTCGTCGTTTCCTTCTAAGTACTGTAGCAAGCGGTTGAATGGGTTGTGCCCAAATATCCATTCCCACAGCATCACTGCTCTTACAGCTCACTTTGCTGATGGTTTTGCATTCCAAGTTGCTTTCAAGTTGCTTTCTGTTCCCCGTGTCCGCCATTCTTCCCCGAGGCCTTTCATCCCTTACTGTACTGTACTTGCAGTGTGACTGTGCCACGTGTCGGTGAGCTATCCTCTTAGTACCGAATGCCACAATTCGATCGAATAAAGGTAACTGTTTTTTGCGTGTTTCACGAACGCACACGCTCATTGCCCCCTCGTTTTAGTCAATGTCGCATGACGGGCAGTAGAGACCAGCCCGACTGTCAGGGACGTTTCGCTTTCCCTAGTAACCCTAACAAGAGACCGAGCGGCTTAATAACGTTACTTTAGTCATGTGACTGTACAGGACAAGAGCGAAAGTGTCCAAGCCGGCAATGCGGGGACATGAGTGCGACCTTATGATTTAACAGGAACGGGCCACTCCGCCTGCGAATGAGAAGTATCACGTACCACTGTAGTACCAGCGCTTACGTTTGTAGAAGCCTGTTCCTGCTACTCTAATAAACCGTTGTATTTATGTCTGTCAGCATCTCTACTTATCCTCCTCGACTCGGCTTAAGTGATGGCCTATTTATAGAGGTTACTCAGTTACCCCACGGTCGGAAGTGCGCGTGTCTTCGCGAGGAGCGATAGAGTCATCGTAGTAACCCACGTGGCGAGCTCGTGCGAGCAAGAGAAGGAGTGACGAGCGAGCGGAAAGCCGGGAGTCAGCGGAAGCAGGGAGTAAGCGGAAGCGGGGAGTAAGCGGAAGCAGGGAGCAGGCGGAAGCAGGGAGCAGGCGGAAGCAGGGAGTAGGCGGAAGCAGGGAGAAGGCGGAAGCAGGGAGTAGGCGGAAGCAGGGAGTAAGCGGAAGCAGAGAGCAAGCGGAAAGCAGGGAGTCAGCAAAAAGCCGGGTTTTAAAAAAGAGAGAGCAAGTGGAAAAGGGGAGCAAGTGGAGTCGGGAAGAGTCACAGCGGAGTCGCAAAGCTTGAGGGGGAGCAGCTTTCTTTCTGACCGGAAAAAACGGGAAGATGAATTTTTCACAGGATCGCTTCGATGCGGAGGCGTACGCGGAGGAGCAGATGGAGGAGAACGACGAATGGGTGAGTTGGTGTGACCCATGGGTGAGACATTTTAATGAGTGGTGAGATATTGTTCTGAATGAGTGACATTGCTCCTCCATACGCGGAGGAGCAAATGGAGGAGAACGACGAATGGGTGAGTGACTGTAACGTGCGGCTGAAATGTTGTAGCGAATGGTAGAAACTTTTGACGAATGAATGGCATTGTAACGAAATGGGTAAGACATTGTATTGAATGGTGAGACATTGTGATGAATGGTGAGACGTTGTGTTGAATGGTGAGACATTATAACGAATGGTGATGTGACGCATGCCGTCCACTTTCTCTCACCCCACAACACCGGGAGGTGCATCCTCTGGCAGCAGAGGTGACATAACACATGTATAGTTTCAGCAGAGGGCGAACAAGGTTGCCACATGTAACACGTGTTACCCCATGCTAACATATGTCACCTGAACTGGCATTGCCCCCTCCTCCCTCATAATTTCCCTTGTCCCCCACCAGGAGGTGCGACGGGTGGTTGCAGAGCTGATGGAGTTCAGGCGAGTGTCAGCAGAGGTCAACCGATGCTACCGCATGTCAGGGGAACTTCCGTTGCTCTCCTCCGCACTCACGCACGCACGACTCCCTTTTCCCCCTTCTATCCTTCAACCCACCAGGAGGTGCGGCGGCTGGCAGCAGAGCTGATGGAGTTCAGGCGCGTGTCAGCAGAGGGCAAACGAGGTCCGCATGTAACCGAAGTTACCCCATGTTACCCATGTTAGCATTTGTCACCTGAACTTGCAATGCTCTCTTCTTCACCCACCAGGAGGTGCGGCGGCTGGCAGCAGAGCTGATGGAGTTCAGGCGCGTGTCAGCAGAGGAGATGCGGAGGAGCGTGTACGCCAACTACCCTGCCTTCATACGGTCAGTGCTCCAACCATGCCTTCATTTCATAGGGTCAATGCTCCAAACACGCCTTCATTTCATAGGGTCAATGCTCCAAACACGCCTTCATTTCATACGGTCAGTGCTCCAAACACGCCTTCATTTCATACGGTCAGTGCTCCAAACACGCATTCATTTCATACGGTCAGTGCTCCAAACACGCCTTCATTTCATACGGTCAGTGCTCCAAACACGCCTTCATTTCATACGGTCAGTGCTCCAAACACGCCTTCATTTCATACGGTCAGTGCTCCAAACACGCCTTCATTTCATACGGTCAGTGCTCCAAACACGCCTTCATTTCATACGGTCAGTGCTCCAAACACGCCTTCATTTCATACGGTCAGTGCTCCAAACACGCCTTCATTTCATACGGTCAGTGCTCCAAACACGCCTTCATTTCATACGGTCAGTGCTCCAAACACGCCTTCATTTCATACGGTCAGTGCTCCAAACACGCCTTCATTTCATACGGTCAGTGCTCCAAACACGCCTTCATTTCATACGGTCAGTGCTCCAAACACGCCTTCATTTCATACGGTCAGTGCTCCAAACACGCCTTCATTTCATACGGTCAGTGCTCCAAACACGCCTTCATTTCATACGGTCAGTGCTCCAAACACGCCTTCATTTCACGCGGTCAGTGCTCCAAACACGCCTTCATTTCATACGGTCAGTGCTCCAAACACGCCTTCATTTCACACGGTCAGTGCTCCAAACACGCCTTCATTTCATACGGTCAGTGCTCCAAACACGCCTTCATTTCACACGGTCAGTGCTCCAAACACGCCTTCATTTCATACGGTCAGTGCTCCATCTGTTGGTCGTTCGATCTCATTCAACAGTGTCAGTTGAGGTCTTTTTCCCCCCTCCTCCTCTCTTCCCCCCACCAGCACTTCCAAGCAGATTATTGCATTCCAGGTCCAGCTAACGCACATGCAAGAGATGCGCACCCTCTGAGTTGCCATTTATTGTTTCTTCCACCCCCTGCCCCTCTCCTCTCCCCTTCCCCCCCCCTTTCCCCGCCTCCTCCCTGCCCTCCCCCCACCAGCACGTCAAAGCATATCTCGGCGTTTCAGGTGCAGCTGAAGCGCATGCATGAGATGCTTACCCTCAACACCACCCTCACTCTTCTCCTTGTTCCTCCTCTTCCCCCCCCCAACCAGCACTTCTAACCAGATATCCGCGTTTCAGGTGCAGCTGAAGTGCATGCATGATATGCTCACTCTCTGTGTTGCCATTTCTTGTTGCCCCCCCCCTCACCTCCTCCCTCTTCCCGCCCCCCCTCCCCTCCTCCTCCCCCCCTTCCACCAGCACGTCGAAGCAGATCTCGGCGTTTCAGGTGCAGCTGAAGCGCATGCGCGAGATGCTCACCCTCAACACTGTCCTCATCCACTCCCTCACCGCCAAGAGCGGCTCCCACAGCCGCGCCCTCGCCCTCTCCCTCTTTGGGGACGACACTTCGCACGCTGGGGGCCTTGCTGCGCATACTGGGGGATCTGATTCTAGTGGGTCTCCCAACCACTCTCTGCACTCCTCCCCCCCGGAAACGCCCTATGGGGATGAGCATGGGGCGAGTTTCAGGCAGTCCGGTAGGGTTTTGTCCGTGAACGGTACTGGTTGTGGGGCTCTAGTTACGGATGGGGGCAAGGGTGGAGAGGGAGGAGGAGGAGGAGGAGGAGGAGGAGGAGGAGGAGGGGGAGAAGGTCAGGGAGTGAGGCTGAGGAGGCGCAAGACGAGGCTGAGGGAGGGGGAAGAGGAAGAGGAGGAAGAGGAGATGGAGGCGGGGTGGGATGAAGAGGAGCAAGAGCCTAGTGAGATGGAGAGGTACGCAGAGGCGTTGCCTGATGTACTGGATGGGCTTATAACGGAGCAGAAGATAGACCAGGCGATTGAGCTGCTGGAGCAGGGGCAGCAGATGGCACAACTCTCGTTACAAGCACTTGAGCGCGGGAGAAGCAAAGAGGAGGGAGAGGGGGAGGGAGGAGGCATTTTTGCAGAGGGAGACGAGGGTGGAGGGAAGGGAGAGGGAGAGGGGGAGGGGGTGGGAGAGGGAGGGGAGGATGGAGTAGAGAGTGGGAGGGTGTGGGCTGGAGGGGAGGGTGGGGAGGAGGGCAGGGAGGAAGGGAGAGTGGAGAGGTGGTTGAGAGAGGGGGAGGGGGAAGGGGAGGAGGAGGAGGAAAGGGAGGAGGAGGATGAGGATGAGCAGGGGAGAGAAGGGTCGGAGCAGGGTTTGGAGGGGGGGGGGGCGAAGAGGCGCAATGGAATGAAGAGTGGGGGAGTGAATGGGGATGAGTGGGGGTATGTGTATGAGGGCATGGGGAAGGGGAGCAGTGAGAAGGGTCCGAGGTTAGGGGCCTTGAAAGAGGGCTTGAGGGCGAGGAGTGTTGAGGAGAAGGGGGGGAATGGGGCGTTGGGGAATGGGGATGTGGAGGGAAGCTCAGCGCATGGGGGTAGCAGGCAGGGGCGGAGCAGGCAAGGAAGCCGACAGGGCAGCAGGTGGAAAGTAGGTGAGGGTGGGGTGGAGCAAAAAGGCGAGAGCGATTTCAAGCCTAGGTATAGAAGCTTTGTGAACGGTGCAAGAGATTCAGCGGCAGCTGCTGCTGCTAGGGCAGTTGAGGCAGCGGAGGGAGGAGCAGAGGGAAGGACAGATGGAGATGCCTCTGAGAGGGAGGCAGCTGAAAGGGAGACAGCTGGAAGGGATACATCTGCAGCAGAAGGCTCGGGGCGTCACCATGCAGTCAGTGCGAACCGGGTTCAGACCAACGGTCCACTTCCTACCAACAGCAACCCGAAAGCCCAACCAAACCAGGCTACAGAGGGTGGAAACCGTCTTCAGAACGCTGGCCAAGGGAGAGAGAATTATACGGAAAACAGTCACGAAGCAAATGTCCCAGAAACAGGAGCCACGGCATCCATTCCAGACACCGAGCTTCTGAGTGAGTCAGCAGCGCTCACCCTGTCAGCAGCAATAGCAGAGCGCCACGTGGTGCTGGTTGCTGAGCTGGAGCGGACAGCTAGGCACTCTGACGTGTTGGGGGAGGAGCTGCGGTTTGCGGTAACCGGGTTGATGCGGCTGGGGGAGCTGGAGCTGGCGCACCAGCTGCTGCTGGGGGCGTATGGGGAGCGGATCAGGCGCAGCGCACGGTCGCTCAGGCGTTCCGCTACAGGGTTTGGCGGCTCGTATACTGCTGCTCTATCACAGGTAGGTCTGTGTCTGTCTGTGTGTCGCTGTGTGCAAGGTGCATTAAGAAAGGCCTCGAAGCAAGCCTCGACCGGGCCTGAGGCGCTGCCTGGGAGCTGCGGTCTGCGGTGACGGGGTTGATGCGGCTGGGGGAGCTGGAGCTGGCACACCAGCTGCTGCTGGGGGCGTATGGGGAAAGGATCAGGCGCAGCGCGCGGTCGCTGAGGCGGTCGGCCACTGGGTTTGGCGGGTCGTACACTGTTGCCCTCTCACAGGTGGGCTTGTGTTTCCCCCCCACTTCTTCTGACCCTTTCCCCACCGTATGGGGAGAGGATCAGGTGGCATGTGTGATCGATCATGCAGCTGGGTTTGGAGGATTGACCCTCTCACAGGTAGGTGTTCTTTCCCCCCCTCTCTCCCCTCCCCCCTTACTTTTCTTGGCCGCTTTTCATGGCTCCGTGCCTCGTGTCCTACTCACCTGCTGTTCTATTCTAGTAGTTTCGTTTTGAGTGGACTCAAAACAAAACTACTTACTCACGGCTCCGTGCCTTGTGTCCCACTCACCTGCTCCCCTTCTCCCTCCCCTCCCCTCTCCAGGTCGTCTTTTCCACCACAGCCCAGGCCACAGCCCAGGCCACAGCCCAGGCCACAGCCAACTGAACTCAGCCATCATTTCCGCTGATCAACCTGCTGCTCTGGCTGCGGTGCAGTGTGAGGTCACCTTCGCCTTCCCCCCGCTCCGCAGCCTCCGCGGGCAGCGTGCCTTGTGTGTCCCACTCATGTGCCCCCCTTTTCCCTCCCCTCCCCTCTACCGCCCCCCCTCCCCCACCCCCCCCACCCACCCCCTCCCCCCCTTCTTCCCCCCCTCCTCCACCCTTCCCCATTTACAACCCCCCTTTCCCCTGCAGATCGTCTTCTCAGCCATAGCCCAGGCCACAGCCGACTCAGCCATAATCTTCGCCGACCAGCCTGCCTGCTCCGCCAACCTCCTCCTGTGGGCACGGCGCAAGGTCACCTTCTCCTTCTCCCTCCTCCGCCACAACATCCTCTGCCTCCCCGGGCGGGCTGCACGCGGCGTTGAAGTGTGTGTGCATCTCCCTGGGCCACGCACGGCTCCTACAACCTCCTGCTCACCACCCCTCTCTTCCCTCCCCCCCCCCACGCTCCTCCCCCGTCCCCCCCCAACCTTGCAGATCGTCTTCTCAGCCATAGCCCAAGCCACAGCCGACTCAGCCATAATCTTTGCGGATCAACCCGCCTGCAGTGCTGACCTGTTGCTCTGGGCGCGGCGCGAGGTCACCTTCGCCTTCTCCCTCCTCCGCCGCAACATCCTCTGCTCCGCCGCCTCCCCGGGCGGCCTACACGCGGCGTCCGAGTGCGTGTGCATCTCCCTGGGCCACGCGCGCCTGCTGGAGCCCCAGGGGATTTCCCTCGCGCCCATGCTGGGGCAGCTGATGCGCCCCAGTGTCATGGAGGCCCTGGAGTTTAATATCATGAGGATAGAGGATGCGGTGGTGTCGGTGGCGACTTCTGACGAGTGGCACCTGGAGCCGATCGACTTGGGTGCGCCCTCTCTCTCCAGGCTGCGGGGCTGGCAGGGCGTGCTGGGGCCTGCTGGGCTCAGGCTGAGGCTGACTGCGAGCGCACAGCGCTTTTATCTCCTGCTTGTGGTGAGTGGGGTTTGTGTGGCATGTGGGGTGTATGTGTGGGGTGCATGTGTGGGGTGCATGTGTGCGGTGCATGTGGTGGGTGCATGTGTGGGGTGCATGTGTGGGGTGCATGTGTGGGGTGCATGTGTGGGGTGCATGTGTGGGGTGCATGCATGGGGTGCATGTGCGCTGCGCTTCTACCTGCTGCTCATGGTGGGATTTCCGGTATGCTTGTGCTCTGTGGTGCGTTCGGTGCGGCCAATGAGGGGATGAGTGGCGCCAGTCAGTGCGCAGCGCTGCGTTTCTACCTGCTGCGCATGGTGAGTGCTGAGGACGGGATGCCCGCTTGTGGCACTGGTGGTGTGTGCTATGTACGGCTTGTGGTCGTCTGGAGCGTATTGATCTGGGTGCACCCTCGCTGTCCAAGCTGTGGGGGTGGCACGGGATGCTGGAGCCTGCTGGATTGAGAACTTTAGACTTGAGTTAAGAGGGTCAGGCTGTCTGTCCGTGCAAAGTGCGTTTTGAGGGGTACATGTGAGTGAGTGACACTGACAGGAGGTTCACACTCACTCTGCATAAGTGAGTGCAATGGAGGCGCTGGAGTTTTGAGTCGATCAACATCATGGGGACCGGGTCGGGTCCCAGCACGCAGCATGGTTAGTGGCGTTTGATAAAGTCAGCACGGCCGGGTCGGGTCGTAGCACTACTTAGCATAAATGAGTGTGATGGAGGCGCTGGAGCTCAGCATCATGCTCGTCGCATCACGCTTTTAGAGTCGCAGCACGCTTTTAGAGTCGCAGCACGCTTTTAGAGGCGCAGCACGCTTTTAGAGTCGCAGCACGCTTTTAGAGTCGCAGCACGCTTTTAGAGGCGCAGCACGCTTTTAGAGTCGCAGCACGCTTTTAGAGTCGCAGCACGCTTTTAGAGTCGCAGCACGCTTTTAGAGTCGCAGCACGCTTTTAGAGTCGCAGCACGCTTTTAGAGTCGCAGCACGCTTTTAGAGTCGCAGCACGCTTTTAGAGGCGCAGCACGCTTTTAGAGTCGCAGCACGCTTTTAGAGTCGCAGCACGCTTTTAGAGTCGCAGCACGCTTTTAGAGTCGCAGCACGCTTTTAGAGTCGCAGCACGCTTTTAGAGTCGCAGCACGCTTTTAGAGTCGCAGCACGCTTTTAGAGTCGCAGCACGCTTTTAGAGTCGCAGCACGCTTTTAGAGTCGCAGCACGCTTTTAGAGTCGCAGCACGCGTTTTGAGTCGCAGCAAGCTTTTGGGTCCCAGCATGGTTTTGAGTCGACTAAAAGCTATCCCAGCATGGTTTGTGGTGTTTGCGCTCCCACCTACTGCATCGTGCTCGTGCTTTGTGTGGTGTTTTGTTCTGTTCCCCCCTGCCCCTCTTTCTCTAACCGTCTCACCCATCTCCTCATCCAAGGACCTACCTAGTTGAGGATATACTCCCTGTAAGCAGGCTCCGTAGAATGGATAGGGTGCTCCTTCGCTCTCCCGTTTGTCACTCTCCTCAACCTCCCCCAATCCCAGGATCTAGTCGAAGACATACTCCCTGTAATCAGCCTCCTTTTAATGCAAAAAGTGCTTCCCCCCCTCTCCATTTTCTCCCCCCCCCCTCTTCTCTCCCTGACACCCTCTCCCTCCTGCCTCACTCCCTCCCTTGTTCCAGGATATAGTCAAGGACGTACCCCTTGTAATCAGCCTCCATGTGATTGATAAAGTGTCCCTTTTCCCCCTTGTAACCCGCTCCTCTCCCTCCTGCGTGTCCCACTATGACACTATCCCGATCATACCAAGGCCTAATTGAGGACATACTCCCTGTAATCAGCCTTTACTTGCTGGATAAAGCGCCCTCTCTCTTCCCCCTTATCCCGACACCCCCTCTCCCTCTTGCTTCACCCCTTCCCTTGCAGCAGGACCTGATTGAGGACGTACTCCCTGTGATCAGCCTGCATTCAATGCGAAAAGAGCTCCCCCCCCCCTCTTCTCTCCCCCCCCCTTCTCTCCCTGACACCCCCTCCCCCGCCTGCCTCACTCCCTCCCTTGCACCAGGACCTGATCGAGGACATACTCCCTGTAATCAGCCTCCACTTACTGGATAAGGTCCTGGACGCCATAGCCATGCAGTTCGAGTGCTTCGCCAGCCTCATGGAGCTCGCCCTACCTGAAATTCCACCTGACGCCACACTGCCTCCAGCACCTGGCTCTGTTGGTGCACGTGCATACAGGAGGAGGGAGAGGGATGCAAAGAAGAGTGGGACGGGGGCGAGAGAGGAGGACGGGGGGAAGGGAGGAGTGGGGGTGAATGGGGATGCAGAGAGGGTGGTTGTTTTAGACGGAGAGGAAGGGGAGGAGAAGGGAGGGGAGGAGAGAGGGGAAGAGGGGGAGGAGAGAGGGAAGGAAGGGAGGCGGACAGAACGGCAGGCAGGGGACGGTGGTGCTGCTGCTGCCCTTTCTTCCCTGCAAGATGTGTCCTCGTTACATGACGCTTCACTCAATCACTTCCGTCAGGAGAACAACCAGGAGCACCTTAGAAAGGCGCTTGATCTGCATTCATACCAAGACACCGACACAAGTGACCACAGTAACCCGCTTCTAGACCCCCCCGCAAACAGCTGGCATGTGTATCACGTGCAAGAGGCAGAGACAGAGGCACAGCAGCTGGCCGTGCTAGGGAACATTGCTGCTTTGGCTGACGAGCTCTTACCGAGACTGATAGTGAGGCTTACTATAGCGGATATGGAGGATGAGGAGGGATTGGGGCGTTTTGGGCATGATGAGGAGGCGAGTGAGGGGGAGGGGGCGGGTGGTGAAGGGGGAGAGGGAGAGGAGGGGTTGGGGGAGGATGGGGAGGAGGTGGAGGGGGTGGGATCGGTGGGGAGGGGAGGGAAGGGTGAGGGAGAGAGTGTGGAGGATGAGAGGGATGGGGTAGTGGGGAAGGGGGAGGGACGGCGGAAGGTGGGAAGGGGGAGCAAGGCGCGATCGACATGGCTTGAGAGGCAGCAATAGTACGTGTTAGTATGGTGTTGCGATGATGGGATGTGTGATATGGGGTGGTGTGACATGGGGTGGTGTGACATTGGGTGGTGTGACATGGGTTGTTGTGACATGGGTTGGTGTGACATGGGTTGGTGTGACATGGGGTGTGACATGGCGTGAGAGGCAGCAATAGTATGTGCTGTGCTGTCCTGGGGTGACTGCGAGGATGGATGGCATGGTGTAACTGCAGTGATGGCGTTGTTGGTATGGACAGAGCTGCAGTATCTGTTTTGGAGATGCCTAAGAAATAATACTGTTTTTGAGGCGCCTAAAAAATGGATGGCATGGTGTAGCTGCAGTGATGGCGTGGTATGGACAGGGCTGCAGCTACTCCTGGAGTCTAGAGGACACATGAGGACACGGGAAAGGAACCGAGTGCTCGCTTTCCTTCCCCAAGTGCTCCAACCCCACCCACCCCCTCCCACACCCTCCCACTCCCTCCCACTTCCTCCCACCGCCTACCACCCCCTCCCACCCCCTACCACCCAGACCCTGATACCAGTGACCTGCCAGAGCAGCGAGCGGGAAGGGCCCGTCTTCTCCCCTGAATCCCCACTTCCGCTCCCACTCCAACGCCCTCCCACCCCCCTCCCCTCCCTCCCTCCAACCCCTGCCCATACCCTCTGTTCAGCAGCCTGGCCAAGCAGGTCGTCGCAACTCATTCCCCCTCCCCCCTCAATCCCTACCCATCTCCTGCCCCCTGGCGAAGCAGAAGGCGTGGAAGAAGCGGATTCAGAAGGCCGCCCGGAGGATCCGGGAGATCTTCTGCGCGTCTCTGTGGGGCGGGTTTGTGTTCACCGAGAGGGGGCCCCTAAATTTTCTCCATATCCCTCTCCCCCACCCCAAACCTCCCCCCCCCCCCCCCCTCCCCCCCCCCTCTCCCCCCCCTCCCACCCTCCGCCCCCCTCCGCCCCCGTCTCCTCCCCCTCCTTTAATCCTCGCCCATCGTCCAGCAACCTGGCAAAGCAGAAGGCGTGGAAGAAGCGGATTCAGAAGGCCGCCCGAAGGATCCGGGAGATCTTCTGCGCGTCGCTGTGGGGCGGGTTCGTGTTTAATGAGAACGGGGAGCATGTGCTGGGCGCGGGGGAGTACCTGGGTATGGACGCACGCACCAAGCTGCAGCAGTGGATGATGCATCCCCTGCCCTCGCCGCCCTTCCAGGTGTGTATGCCTTGTGTGCTGTGTGCTGTGTGCTGTGTGCTTGTGTGCTGTGTGCTTGTGTGCTGTGTGCTTGTGTGCTGTGTGCTTGTGCGCTGTGTGCTTGTGCGCTGTGTGCTTGTGTGCTGTGTGCTTGTGTGCTGTGTGCTTGTGTGCTGTGTGCTTGTGTGCTGTGTGCTTGTGTTCTGTGTGCTTGTGTGCTGTGTGCTTGTGTGCTGTGTGCTTGTGTGCTGTGTGCTTGTGTGCTGTGTGCTTGTGTGCTTGTGTGCTGTGTGCTTGTGTGCTGTGTGCTTGTGTGCTGTGTGCTTGTGTGCTGTGACCGTATGTGTGTGTTCAGTGGAAGCGGGGAGCGTGTGCTGGGCGTGGGGGATTACCTGGGCATGGACGCACACACCAAGCTGCAGCAGTGGATGATGCACCCCCTGCCCTCGCCGCCCTTCCAGGTGGCGCATACCCTGTGTGCTGTGTGCATGTATGTGGGAACCCTACGTATGCGTTCAGCGAGAGTGGGGAGCGCGAGTATACACTCTACTCTACACACTCGAGTAAGCAGGCTATTTTCTGGAAAAAGAAATCTCCAATCTCTGTTCCTCCCCTTGCAGGATCTCTTTCTGACAATGAATGCTGTGGCAACAACTCTAGAGAGAGTCCTAAGCGGCCAGGACGCCACGCACCAGAGGCTGCTGAGACGAGTTAGGGAGTGGCCTCCAGTGGGTCTCCTCATAAACCTCTCATTTCCTCCCTCTCTACCCTACCCTCCCCCTCCGCCCCTTCCAGGCGCTTTTCCTCACAGTAAATGCTGTGGCAACAACTCTAGAGAGAGTTCTAAGGGGCCAGGAAGCCATGCACCGGAGGCTGCTGAGACGAGTTATGGAGTGGCTGCTATCGGGTGTGCTTGTAGAGAGTACAATCTGGGACGATATCCAGGCTGCCGACCCACCTCTTGGCCCAATTGGGCTTCACCAGGTATGGCCTGCACCAGATATAGCCTGCCCCGGGTATAGACTCTGTACCATACCATGTATAATCTGCACCAGGTATGGCCTGCACCAGGTGTTTCTTGCACCAGGTATTGCCTGCATTAGGTAATGCTTGCACCAGCTATTGCCTGCGCCAGGTACTGCCTGCATCAGGTATTGTCTGCACCAGGTGTTGCCTGCACCAGGTATGGCCTGCACTTATTAGCCTGCTTCTACTATGGCTTTGATCTTCTCTCGTTGTCCCCTCCGTCCCCTCCCCCCCCCTTCCTCCCCCTGCAGCTGGTCTTTGACATGTACTTCGTGGTGCAGGCAGCGCACAGTGGGAAGACCTCCTCTCCCTGCATCAGGGGGCTGGCTGAGAAAACAGCCAGTTTTGTGAAGCCCCATAACACCAGTTTCCCATATGCCCTACCTCTTGTCCCCTCTCCTCTCCGTCTCTTCCCCCCCGCAGCTGGTCTTTGACATGTATTTTGTGGTGCAGGCAGCGCACAGTGGGAAGACCTCCTCTCCCCTCATCAGAGGGTTGGCAGAGGATGCAGCCATGCGGGCCATTGTGGCTTACAGCGCACGCACAGGCGAGGACCCCAAGAGGTAAGAGCTGGTGCAGAGCGGTTTGAAGTGGTGACAGTGAAAAGTGCTTTGCACTTACAGCGCACGCACAGGGGAGGACCCCAATAGGTAAGAGCTGATGCAGAGCGGTTTGGAGCAGTGACAGTAGAAATTGCTTCGCCTTTATCAGAGGGTTGGCAGAGGGTGCAGCCATGCGGGCTATTGTGGCTTACAGCGCACGCACAGGGGAGGACCCCAATATGTAAGAGCTGGTGCAGAGCGGTTTGAAGCGGTGACAGTAGAAATTGCTTTGCCCTGATCAGCGGGTTGGCAGAGGATGCAGCCATGCAGGCGATTGTGGCGTACAGCGCATGCACAGGCGAGGACCCCAAGAGGCAAGAGCTGGTGCAGAGCGGTTCAAAGCGGTGACAGTCGAAAGTGCTTTGCACTTATCAGAGGGTTGGTAGAGGGTGCAGCCATGCGGGTGATTGTGGCTTACAGCGCACGGACTCAAGAGGATCCCAAGAGGTGAGGAATAGTCGAAGAAGAGCAGGAGGACTGGTGGTATCAGCACAAGTGCCAGACGGTTCTACAAGTGCTCAAGGAAGCAGCCAGTCAGCCCTCCAGCCAAATGCACGCAGCATCCAAATCCACCACCACCACCTCTTCCCTTCCCTCTCTTTTCCCTCTCCCCTTTGCCTCCAGTCTTGTGCAGGAGGACTGGTGGTATCAGCACAAGTGCCAGACAGTTCTAGAAGAGCTCAAGGAAGCAGCCAGTCAGCCCTCCAGCCCTACACACGCAGCATCCGTCTCCACCGCCACCACCCCTTCCATTTTTGTCTCCGACTCGCCGGCTTCCTGGCTTCAAAGCAACAGCATTGGTGAAGGGGGTGGGCTCAAGCTGGTCAAGCGGTCTGTGGTGTCGTTTTCTGTGACGAGGGTTGGTGCTCCGGCCATTCTGGATATACGCAGCTTCACCACGTTGTAAGGCGTGCACTTGGGGTCCACCCCAGAGTGAAATTCAGTGTTAGGAAATAGATTGTTTGAAGCAAGAAATATGGCTTATAGATAGTGTTATCAGAATTGAGAAGTGAATGTTGGATAGAGTGAGAGTACACACAGATATACCTTAGTGTTGTACTCCCTAAGATGGCGACCCTATACAGTCTATACAAACATGACAAATACACATGTTTTACACACCCCCTAGACTGCATAGGGCAATGCCCTAAACAAACAGCTCAGGGCGGCACTACTAGTCCAACCTCTGAGACAAGGGTTTGAGAGACCAGTCAGAAGGAGTACAAACAAGGCAAGAACAAGAGCAGGGCGGCACTACTAGTCCAGCCACTGGGAGAGGACACAAGTCCAGTCTGAGTATACGTATAAAGGACAGTACAAAGTCAAGGTCCTAGCAAGTGAGAGGCTACAGGAACTAGACCAAGCTGTACACAGTGCCGCTGATGATCTTTAGGCGCAAGCGCCTTCGTAAAGATATCAGCTGTGTTGGCACCTGAGGCCAAGTGTACTACGCGAGCCTGACGTCGCTGCTGTAGCTCACGCAGGAGGAAGTACCGCAGCTGAATATGCTTCGCTCTGCCCTCGAGTCGAGGCTCCTGACATAGGAGGATCATGGCCCTGTTGTCAGCGAACAGGACCGGGGCAGAGCTAGGCCGCTCACCTAAGTCAGTGAGCAAGAAGGTCAGCCAGCGGAGCTCCTGTGCCGCCATGGCACCAGCGTAGATCTCAGCCTCACAGCTGGACTGCGCAACAGACGAGGAGCGGGTAGCTCTCCACGAGACGGCACCTGAGCCAAGGCTGAAGCAGTAGCCCTGGGTAGACCTGAGTGTCTCAGCGTCGTCTGCCCAAGAAGCGTCTGTGTGTCCAGTAAGGACCACTGGCCTGCGTCCTCCTAGCACTAACCCCATGCCTGATGTACTAGCAAGATAACGCAGAACCCTCTTAGCGGCAGACCAGTGCTGCGGTCGGTGTCTGCCTGTGGCCATAAAGCGAGCCAGGATGCTGAGAGGGTATGCGAGATCTGGGCGAGTGCAAGTCATCAGGTACATGAGGCAACCCACCAGCTCTGCGTAGGGGCCGCTGGGCTCTACCAACTCCTCAGACACTGGAGCGGAGAGTCTGTGGTCTACAGGCAGAGGGGTGGGCTGTGCAGAGGAGAACTGAAGGCTGAACCTCTGAAGGACCTGGCGCACCAAGTGTGACTGAGTCAGGGTGATGGTGCGCGCAGCTCTGTCCCTGGAGATCTGCAAGCCAAGGTAACGGCGCAGTTCTCCAAGGTCAGTGCACGTGTGTCTCTTCAGCAGCTCTGCCTTCATGGAGGCCAGTGCGTCCCTGTCAGCTGTGGCAAAGACCAGGTCGTCGACGTAAACAAGGATGTAGAACGGAGTCTGGCCAGCACGAACAAAGAGTGAAGGGTCTGCGGAAGACGGAAAGAACTGCAGGTCAGCAAGCGTAGCACGGAGAGTATCGTGCCACTCACGGGGAGCCTGGCGCAGGCCGTAGACGGGGCGCCGCAGGAGCCACTGGGTCCCAGGAGGGAAGGTGCCAGTGAAGCCTTGAGGGCGCCGCAGGTAGACCTGCTCGTGTAGGCTGCCCTGAAGGAAGGCAGTGGAGAAGTCGAGGGAGTGAACCTCGTAGTCACGCTGAGCAGCTACGTGTAACAGAACCCGAAGAGTAGTCATCTTCGGGGTCGGAGCGAAGGTCTAGAAGAAGTCCACCCCCTCGCGCTGACTGAAGCCTCTAGCAACATAGCGCGCCTTGAAGACAGGCAGCTCTCCAGGAGGGCGCTTCACCTTGAAGAGCCAGCGGCCATCGACTACGTTCACCCCAGGCGGGGGAACTGCGTCGACGAAGGTGCCGGTGGATCTCCAAGATGCCATCTCCTGCTCCATGGCAGCTATCCACTGCAAGGCCCAGGGTCCCGAAGTCGCCTCAGCGTAAGTGCGAGGGGTCGGGATGTCGAAAGCGTCTGGGTCACCCTCAGGGACTAGCAGCATGGAACGGAGATGGGGAGCAGTCTCGGAGAGGAAAGCAAGCTCGAACTGGCGGTCCTCCAGGACGTCACTGCCAAGGGCAGGAGCACCCCCGACAGACGGAGGACAGGCAGGGTCAGAGACCAGAGCGGAGGCGTAGTCAAGGCGGCGGGTAGAGGCGAAGTCAGCGACAGCAGCGACAAGAGCGTCAAGGCACGAGGTCGGAACAGACGGGTCGGTAACGAGAGAGGCAAGGACCCGAGGAACAAGGGGACGAGAGGCACGAAGGTAGTCAGACAGCGGGGGGGGTGCAACAACAAGGGAGGACGGAGGAGGCGACGGCAGAAGGGGAGGACGAGACGCGTGGGAACGAAGCAACATAGGGTGGGAGCGCAAGACAGGCGAGGCAGGACGAGCGCGGGAGAGACGGTGAGACCAGACGTGCGACAGGAGACAGAGGAGGGGACACAGGAGGGGAACGAGGGGGGAGACGGGCCGGGGACGAGTCCGGCGGAGGGAAGACAGGGCCGTAGACAGGAAGAGGAGGAGACGGTCGGGGAGGAACCGACGCAGGGTCGGGGGACGGATGGCCGAGCAGGGGAAGGGCGGACACCGGCGGGGACTGCTGCTGCGGCGGCACAACGGCGACACCGGGACCGCAAGCTGCTCCTCGGCTACCACCGGCACTCTCCACACCAGCACCCCCAGAGGGACCACCCCCAGGGCTACCGGGACGAGCACCCCCAGAGTCAGTGAACGGGTGCTGTGACGGCGGCGGCGGCGGCGGCAACGACGGCTGCAGCAGCGGCAGAGGCGGTGGAGGGGGGGACTGGGGAGGGGACGCCGGGGGAGGGGCGGCCGGCGAGGACTGCGCAGCAGGGCCACCAGAGTCAGAAGACTCCTCAACCGGGTCCACCGACGGAAGGGGGGTGACGTGGGACACACCAGAGGGGGCGGGACGGGGAGGAGGAGGAGGAGGGGCAGGGACTACCGGGGAAGGAGTGACCAGGAACAAGGGGGGGGTAACCGCGGGACCACGGTGAGGGAAGCGACGGAAGTAGGAGACGGACTCGTCAAAGGTGACGTCACGAGAGTGAAAGAAGTGGTGAGACGGCGGGTGGTAAAAGTGCCAGTCGGACGCGTCAAGGGGAAAACCGAGGAAGACGCAGGGAAGGGTGCCGGCAGTGAGCTTGTCCGTGCCGGAGGCACGGACGTGAGCAAGGCAGCCCCAGACGTGGAACGCAGACGCGTCACCAGGAGACCCAGTCCAAAGACGAGTCGGCGAAACCTGCGGCTGCTGAGGGTGCGGCCACAAGTTAAGCTGGTGAGAAGCGTAGCGCATAGCGAACGGCCACAGAAAATGGGGTGCACCGGCATGGATCATGGAGGTGCGAGCCACCTCCATGACCAAACCGATGCGTCGCTCAGCGACCCCATTCTGCTGTGGGGAGTCCGGTAGGGTGAACGTCTGGGTGATGCCCTCCGCACGACAAAAGCGACCAAGGACACCGGAGGCAAACTCGCCACCACGGTCGGAGTGAAGACGCAAGACAGGGAGACCGCGGTGGACACGCGCAGAGAGAAGCCAGGGGATGAGAGCGCCAGGCACGTCGGCCTTGCGCTCCAGGGGAAAGACTGTGGTGTAACGAGTGAAGTCGTCGACAAGCACAAGGAAGTAGCGCTCTCGACGCGGCCCAGGGACGGGGGCGGGGCCCCGGACGTCCAGGTGCAGGGTCTACAGCGGCGCGGCGGTAGGGGGAAACGAGGAGGAGTGCGGGGCACGGCGAAGCCGACCCTCAACACAAGGCGTGCAAGGTGGGGCTGGGGAGGAGGGAAACGCGGGGAGGGAACCTGGGAGACCAAGGACAAGACCGTGCTGGGACATGTGACGCAGACGCGGGAGCGCAGGGTGACCTAGGCGGTGGTGCCAAAGGAGAGTCGGGTGAGTGAGGGACCGACAGGAGCAGGCAGCAGCAACCTGGGTAGACGCAGCCACCTGAGAGAGCGCTCCAGCCGGGGGGGTCACGGTGTCCAGAGTGAACAGGCCGGACACCGGGTCCCGGGGGAACGTTGACAGGGGGGCACCAGTGGCGGCCTCGGTACAGACAGCATACCGCTCGTGACCAGGGAACGTAGTGGTGACGCCAAGGTCCTGAAGGCAGCCGACACCAACTAGGTTCCTGGAGAACGAGGGGATATGCAGACCTGTGAGAGAGCCCGAAGGAACCGCCGGACAGGGAAGGGTGGTGGAACTGCGGGCGACGACCGGACCGCCGGAGGGGTCAGCAAGAGAGACAGCAAGTGGGACAGGAAGCGGCGTCAGGGTGGTGGAGTCGCGGAAGAAACACCGAGAAGCGCCAGAGTCCAAGGTGAAGGAAAGCGAAGCAGAGGCGTCTGGTAACGGAACGACGGCGGAAGCACCAAGACTACACAAAGCAGGGGATCCTACGCCTGACGCAGCAGGGGAGGCTAAGCTAGGCACACCTACACTAGGCAACAGTGAGTAATAAGCGGGAAGCACACTAGAGTCATCAGCATACATCACATGCAGAGCAGCAACAATGGCATCCATGTCCATATCAAAAATCTGAATCTTACGACTAAGCAAACTGTGCCACTCCGGGAGGTCTGGCGACGGGCCGAAGCGCTGACGAAAGAGGTCGTCCAGGCGACGAAAACAGCGGGGAGTGGAGTGACCGATCTTACCGCAAACGAAGCCGCGGTGAGGACCGGTCTGGATCTGGTACTGACAACGCCCGCCGCCAGAGCCACCACTCGGCACACCACCACGCGCCCGGCCACCGCCAGCGCCGGGCCACCCGGGCGGGAGGACACTCGTCTGCCGCGTCTGCGACGGCTGCTGCGGCTGCTGCGAAGGCTGCGACTGCGGCGGCTGCTGCGGCTGCTGCAACTGCAGGGGCGGCGGCTCAGCCGGACCGGGCAGGGCCCCCTCGTCCGCTCCAGCACCAGACGACCCGACCCCACCACTACCCCCTCCCGCACCCCCGCCGCCGCGCCCAACCTTGGGGCGGCGGCCCTTCCCCGAACGAAACTGCGCTGCAGCAGCAGTCTCAGCCACTGCGGCAGAGCCGTCGGAGAAGGTACACTGGGCGGGGGCACAACCCTGAAAGATAGGGACCGGCACGACACCGCTCGCCTGGGCGATGGAGCGGTGACGGGTCTCTATCACAGTCAGGGTGTCTACAAAGTCGGTGAGGGTGAGGTCTGCGGGGTGAATGCTAAGGAAGCGGTCGCGGGCGACAGCAAGGCGGTCAGGGAGGCGGGTGGCAAGCAGGTAGAGGGTAGAGGTAATAGGCGGTTGGTGTGCTCTAAGCTGTGCATCAGTGCAGGCTGCACGCCAGGTCTCATCTATTGAGCGCAGGTGGGCAGCGAGGTCAGAGAGAGTGGGGAAAGATGCAAGGTCAGGAAAGAGCATCGGGAGGATCAGGCGACCCACCGAGGCAGCCGGAGGGGTGGAATAGCGCTTGATGACAGCATCTAAGTATGCCTGAGCAGTGGTGAGAGACCTAAAGCGAGGGCGCTCGGACGGGGGAAGGGCGTTGCTGATGGCAAGCTGGGCGACAGCATTGCGAGAAAGCCAGACAGAGCGCGCACGGGCAGTGGCAGCAGTGGACTCGCGCTCAGTGGGTGTGGAGTCTGCGAGCAGAATAGCAGGGGGGCCTGGGCAGGGGAGCGTACCGTCAAGTAGGCGGAGAGCGGTTCACCATCCTGCCGCTGGCCAGTGAGTTGGCGACGGAGGTCGGCAAGCCACGCCTCGAACTCCAGAGGCTGGCCTTCAGCGTCGAAGCGAAGCTCCGCCGCCATCAGGAACAGTGCAGTGCGGTGCAGGGCAGTGCAGCAAGGTGGAGTGCGGTGCCGTGCGGTACAGTGCGATGCAGTGCGGTGTAGGGCGGTGCAGTGCAATGCCAGGCAGTACAGGGTGGTGCGGTGCGGTGCAGTGCGGGGCAGGACGGTGCAGGGCAGTGCAGGGGCCGGGTGGGGGGGGGGGAAACCGTACCAGTGAGGAGGACCGGGGCCGGGGCAGGGACGAGCGCAGGGGCCGGGCCGGTGCAACGGGGCCGGGCAGGCGCGGCGGGGCTGGGCGGGCGCGACGGGGCCGGGCTGGTGCGACGGGGCCGGGCGGGTGCGTCGGGGCCGGGCTGGTGCGACGGTGCCGGGCCGGTGCGACGGGGCCGGGCGAGCAGGACGGTGGCCCAGGAGGGGCGCACCGGGGCTGGGCGGACGCGACGGGGCCGGACGGGTGCGACGGGACCGGGCGGCTGCGACGGGGCCGGGCAGGGGGCGACGGGGCCGGGCGGGTGCAACAGGGCCGGGCGGGCGTGACGAGGCCGGGCTGGTGCGACGGGGCCGGGCTGGTACGACGAGGCCGGGCTGGTGCGACGGGGCCGGTGCGACGAGGCTGGGCTGGTGCGACGAGGCCGGGCTGGTGCGACGAGGCTGGTGCGACGGGGCCGGGCGAGCGCGACGGGGCCGGAAGGCGTGACGGGGCCCAGGAGGGGGGGGCTCGACGCGGCCCAGGAGGGGCGCTACGGGGCCCAGGAGGGGCACGACGGGGGCCCAGGAGGGGCGCTACAGGGGCCCAGGAGGGGCGCGACGGGGCCCAGGAGGGGCGCTACGAAGCCCAGGAGGGGCGCGACAAGGCCCAGGGGGGGCGCTACGGGGCCTAGAAGGGGCGCGACGGGGCCCAGAAGGGGCGCTACAGGGCCCAGGGAGGGCGCGACGGGGCCCAGGAGGGGCGCTACGGGGCCCAGGAGGGGCGCGACGGGGCCCAGGAGGGGCGCGACGGGGCCTGGGAGGGGCGCGACGGGGCCCAGGAGGGGCGCTACAGGGCCCAGGAAGGGCGCGACGGGGCCCAGGAGGGGCGCTACAGGGCCCAGGAAGGGCACGACGGGGCCCAGGAGGGGCGCTACGGGGCCCAGGAGGGGCGCGACGGGGCCCAAGAGGGGCGCTACGGAGCCCAGGAGGGACGCGACGAGGCCCAGGAGGGGCGCTACAGGGCCTAGGAGGGGCACGACGGGGCCTGGGGGGGGCGCGACGTGGCTAGGGGGGTCGCGACGGGGCTAGAGGGGTGAGCGGAAGCGGTAGGTGGGTTGGGGGGATCCTACCTACGTGTGATACCATATTACAATTGAGAATTGAATGTTGGATAGAGTGAGAGTACACACAGATATACCTAAGTGTTGTACTCTCTAAGATGGCGACCTTATACAGTCTATACAAACATGACAAATACACATGTTTGACAAGTGTACACAAATACAAATTATGAGAGGCAATTCGGTGATGTTCTTGTGCTTGGTAGCATCGCACAAATCGGCTTGGTGTGGCTTGTTGCGTCCAACAACATAAAAGTGTTGTTTTCGTTCTCCTTACGTTGTGAAGCTTATGCACTAGTCTAAAATGTGTGAAGCAGTGAAAGCATTGTTTCACTGTTTAGCCTTCATCAGCATTTGCCCCCCTTCAGCGAATCGCCGACAAGATCAAACACGTCACGTCAATATCGCGTACAGCCTCTCCTGACAGTTTTATGATGTGCCGCTGGTCCCTCCGATAATTCCATTCCACGCGTTGCTGCTACTCCTAGGGCGTGGATCCACGCCTTTAGAACTGGCACCTAGGGCCAGTATGCAGTGACTCCTAGGAACAGGCTGGCCCAGAGCAGCAGCCAGTTTGTTCGACCAGAGCAGACTGGCTAGTGGTTCCTGGCTTCGTAGTATTCTTCAGTAGGTAGAATCTGGATCGGCGCGTTCAGAAGAGTCGGGTCACGCGGCGTGGTTTCGAAACGTCTCTTAAGTAACAAGGTTCTCAAAACTAGAATAGTCGAGTCATGGTTGTGAGTCCTGTTTGTTGCAGAGAGCACCCTGACTAGCAGGCTCGGGTCGTCGGCGTGTTATGTTAGTCGAATTAGCACTGCGAGACGGGTACTAGCCTACTAGGCCGTGTGAACAGGAGTTAGCCGCTGGTTATTCGCTTGTAAGGCTTTTGAGAGTAAACGTTGGAAAATCTGGAGGTGGGGTAAAGCCGTCTGTGCCACGTAAGAAGCCATGGATTCAGGGAGAGCTGACGTCAGCATGGGATTTGTGGAGGCGGAGGATTTCGGGCAACACGTGGATCTGACGCAGCGGATTCGCGAGGTGCTCGCGAATTACCCCGAGGGGACCACCATCTTAAAGGAGCTGATTCAAAACGCCGACGACGCTGGCGCTTCCAAGGTTCGTTTCTTGCTCGTTCGGAGAGTCCAGGTGATTGTCTCTAGAGTCACCCCGAGGGGACCACGCTTCTCAAGGAGGTGATTTAAAACACCGACGACGCTGGCGCTTCCAAGGTTCGTCACGGTTAGATACGGTATGCTGCTTTTCTGGGAAAGGACTGATGAGAGCAGCCAGGACAATCCCGAGGGTGCGACGATATTGAAGGAGACTATTCAAAACGCTAACAATGCTTGCGCTTAAGATTCGTTTCAGACGTTGTTGGAGAGGAAATTAGCTGATATTAGGAAGGGGAGAAGTCGGATGATATCAGCCAGAGCTATCAGCCAGAGCTAACAGCCAGAGCTATCAGGCAGAGCTATCAGGCAGAGCTATCAGGCAGAGCTATCAGGCAGAGCTATCAGGCAGAGCTATCAGGCAGAGCTATCAGGCAGAGCTATCAGGCAGAGCTAACAGGCAGAGCTATCGGGCAGAGCTATCAGGCAAAGCTCTATCGGGCAAAGCTCTATCGGGCAAAGCTCTATCGGGCAAAGCTCTCGGGCAAAGCTCTATCGGGCAAAGCTCTATCGGGCAAAGCTCTCGGGCAAAGCTCTCGGGCAAAGCTATCGGGCAAAGCTACCGGACCAAAGGCCTGATGTTACTGACGGGCGAGACCAGATGCCTGTTGATATTGACGGACTAGACCAATGGCCTGATGGTGTTGACGTGATGGTCTTGATGTTTCCTTTTTGGGAACGTACGCTTTTCTGCACCCATCCTCCTGCGTCTCAAAACCCTCAGGTCTCCTTCTGTCTCGACCATCGCACGCACGGCTCTGCTACTCTTGCTACATGCCTCTTGCTCAGTTCCAGGGCCCGGCTCTACTGGTGCACAACGATGGGGTCTTTTCATACAGAGGATTTGTTTTGAGAAGCCTCAACACCCTCCCTCCCCCCCCCTCCCCCCTCCCGCTCCCCCTTTCCCCCCCTCCCGCTTGGCCGCCCTCCGCATTCCCTTGATTCCCCCTCCGCCGCACTCTTTCAGGTCTCCTTCTGTCTCGATCACCGCACGCACGGCTCGGCATCTCTCGCCTACGCGCCGCTGGCTCAGTTCCAGGGCCCGGCTCTGCTGGTGCACAACGATGGGGTCTTTTCTGACGAGGACTTTGCGAGCATTTCAAGGGTGGGGGACAGTGGCAAGCGCAAGCAGTCCTGGAAGACCGGCCGCTTTGGGTAGGTTTTGGACGCTGTGTGCGGTATGTTGAGCGGGTTTTGGTAACATGTAAGTTGGTGTAAGAACCTGCTCAAGGGTGCAGGGTGCAACATGCCCTTGCGAGCTTGTTACATGACTAACATGCCTTTGCGAGCATCTCAAGGGTGAAGGGCAGCGGCAAGTGCAAGCCATCGTGGAAGGCTGCTCGATGCGGGTGAGTTTTAGGGGTTGGTGCGAGGTAATTGGGGGGCGTGGGTGGTTTTTTTAGTACGGTAGATTGGTGATCTGCACCTCATGATTGGGGCTTTGGGTGAGTTACGCACATTATGGGGGAATCTGCTAAGCGCTTGGAGCTTCGTCTCTGTGTCTCGTTCCACTCTTCCCTCCCTCCCTTCCTCCACTGCCGCAGCACCGGATTTAACTCACCCTGCCACTGCCATCTCACAGACCTCCCTCCTTCATCAGACGTCGTTCGTAACCTCTCCTACCTTCTCCCTTTCCCGACCCCCCTTCTTCCCCCTCTTGCCCCACCCCTCTTGCCCACCCCTTCTTGCCCATCTCCCCCCCCTCCCCCTCTCTCCTCCATAGTATCGGTTTCAATTCAGTCTATCACCTCAATCAGTCCTCCCCTGCGCCAGCAGCTGTCAGTTGTCAGTTGTCACCTTTCCTCCCTGCTCCCTCTCCCCCTTCACCTCAACCCCCCACCCACCCACCCCCCCCCCCCCCCCCCTCTTCACAGTTTTAACTCCGTCTGTTACCTCACAGACGTCTTTTCGTCAGCCATCATCATTAACCACCTCTCCTACCTTCTCCCCCCTTCCCCTCCCCTGCTTCTTCCCCCCCTCTCCAACCCCTCCCTCTTCTCCCCCCTTCCCCTCCCCGCACCCCCCATCCCCCCTCCTCTGCAGCATCGGTTTCAATCCAGTCTACCATCTCACAGACCTCCCCTCTCCCCACCCTTGCCCAACCCCATCCCCCCGCCCCCCACCGCAGCATCAGTTTCAATTCAGTCTACCGTCTCACAGACCTCCCCTCCTTCGTCAGCCGGCAGTTCGTCACCTCTCCTATCTTTCCCTCTTCTCGCCCCCCCAATTCTCCCCGCCCTTGCCCTCCCCTCTCGCCCCCTGCCCCCCCCCTCCTCTGCAGCATCGGTTTCAATTCAGTCTACCACCTCACGAACTTCCCCTCCTTCATCAGCCGCCAGTTCATCACCTCTTGTCTGTCTGTGTCCTCTCCCCCCTCTCCTATTACGCCCTCCACCCGCACCTCCCCCATGCCACAGTATCGGTTTCAACTCAGTCTACCACCTCACGGACCTCCCCTCCTTCGTCAGCCGGCAGTTCGTCACCTTTTTCGACCCGCACTGTGCATACCTACCCCGCGTGTCCGCAGCCAATCCGGGCAAGCGGATAGATTTCGTTGCTGCCCGAGCGCTGGCAGTGCAGCGGGACCAGTTCGCCCCTTACTGTGCGTTTGGGTGCGACATGCAGAGCCCGTTTGGCGGCACGCTGTTCCGGTTTCCCCTGCGGACGGAGCAGCAGGCGGGGATGAGCAAGCTGTCGAGGCAGGCGTACAATGCTGCTGACATGGCTCGGCTGCTGAGGGAATTCGAGGTGAGTGTGTGGGGTGCCTCACGATAGGGTGAGGTGAGCCGTGACATGTAGTGCATGTGGGTGCGACATGCACATGCCTCTTGGGGGCTCTCTGCGCTGCTCCGGCTTCCCCTGCGGGCAGAGCAGCAGGCGGGGGTGAGCAAGCTGTGACGGCAGGCGTACAACGCTGCGGACATGGCTGCTCTTCTTAGGGAGCTCGAGGTGAGTGTTGATACGTCCCTTGATAGGGTGAGCCTTGGGTGTGTGTAGGTGCGACATGGAGAGGCGGCCGTTCCCCTTCCCCCCCACTGCCGCTTGTGCGGCCCCACTTTCTCAGGCCAACGCACTCTCCTCCCTGCTCTTCCTCAAGCACGTGGAGCAGGTTAACCTACTCGATTGGCAGCAGGTCGTGTTCCAATCCGGCTTATTCCTTCCTCCAATGGCGCTCTCCCCTCCTCCCCTCCTCTGTAGGCCGATGCTGTCTCCTCCGTCTTTTTCCCGGGATCACTTTTGAGGCGCCTCAAAAATCACTTTAAAGAGCCCTTCCCCCCCCCCCCCCAAAAAAAAACAAGTGTTCTCCCCCCCAAGCACGTGGAGCAGGTGGGCGTGCTGAAGTGGCACCAGGGATGTGCTTTGGTTTGATCCAACTCATTTCCACCCTTAACAATTTCTCTCCCCCGTTCTGGCCGAGGCAGTCGCCTCTCTCCTCTTCCTCAAGCATGTGGAGCAAGTGGAGGTGCTCGAGTGGCACCAGGGGTCCAGGGGTCCAGGGGTCCAGGGGTCCAGGGGTCCAGGGGTCCAGGGGTCCAGGGGTCCAGGGGTCCAGGGGTCCAGGGGTCCAGGGGTCCAGGGGTCCAGGGGTCCAGGGGTCCAGGGGTCCAGGGATCCAGGGGTCCAGGGGTCCAGGGATCCAGGGGTATGCCTTTCAACCTCCGACATGACATGTTCTTTCCCCCACGTTCTCCCAACTCTCGATGACCCCCCCTTGCAGGCTGAGGCAGTCTCCTCGCTGCTCTTCCTCAAGCACGTGGAGCAAGTGGAGGTGCTGGAGTGGCACCAGGGCGCCGCTGCTCCTGTGCCTCTCTTCACCTGCCGCATCAATTCCCCTGACTCACCCCTCCGCTTCCACCGCCAAGCCTTCTCCCGCCTCGCCCGCCCCCCTGCTGCTGCTGCTGCTGGGGCTGCTTCTGGGCCCGTAGGAGCAGGGGCGGGGGTGGTTCCTAGTGAGAAGGACAGTGTGGATTTCTATGAGATAGCATTCGTCTGCGAATCATTTGGGCAGAGAAACTCTGCAGGCACTGGTGCTGCTGCCAGCGCTGCTGGTGCTGCTGGTGGTGTTGCTGGTGCTGCTGGTGGTGCATCTTGGACAGGGTTAAGGAGGGAGGAGCGGTACTTTGTGTCGCAGAGGATGGGAGGGGCGCTGGGGGCGGTGGGGCGCATGGCGAGGCGAGCAGCGGAGGAGTATGACATCCACCTCGTGCCATGGGCGTCCGTGGCTGCCAGAGTGGCGTGCGAAGGAGATACAGAGGGGCCGACGGACGGGTCTTTCCAGGTGAGATTGCCGTGAATAGCAGGGGCATTGGGGTCAGCAGCAGAGAAGAAGGAGGGCAGGGGGGGGGCAGTGGGGCGGGGCGGGGCGCATGGCGAGGAGTGCAGCGGAGGAGTATGACATTCACCTCGTGCCGTGGGCCTCGGTGGCTGCTAGAGTGGCATGTGAGGGAGATACAGAGGAGCTGACGGATGGGTCTTTCCAGGTGAGATTGCTGTGAATAGCAGGGGCATTGGGGTCAGCAAAGGGGCGCTGGGGGTGGGGGGGCGGGGCGGTGGGGCGCATGGAAGAGCAGCTGAGGAGTGAGATATGGGCGTGGCGGTGCGGTTGACATTCACCTCGTGTCATGGGCGTCGGTGGCTGCTAGAGTGAGATATATGGGAGGGGAAGGAGGAGAAGAAGGGTCAGCAACTGCTGTTTTACAGGTGAGACTTTGCATGCATACAGGCGGTTGCAGGGCGAGGAGAGCAGCAGAGGAGCATGACATTCACCTCTTGCCGTGGGCGTCTATGGCTGCTAGAGTGGCATGCGAAGGAGACTCGGAAGGGGCGATAGACGCTCCTTTCCAGGTGAGATTGCCGTGAGTAGGAGGGAAACTGGTGAGTAGGAGGGAAACTGGTGGCAGTCTGGTGCACAGGAGAGCAGCAGAGGAGTATGGCATTCACCCCGTGCCGTGGGCGTCAGTGGCTGCTAGAGTGGCGTGTGCAGTAGAGACGAGTGGCGTGTGCACAGACTGGAACGCCACTCGTCCACTTTCCACACCAGGTTGCCTTGCTGTGCAAGGACCACTCTTCCGCGGCCTCGTGCCAGGCCAACTCATGCTTGTACTCTTTCCACCCGCCCATCTTCCCTTGTCGCGCCGTCTCTTGCCCGTATTCCAGGGCGGGCGTTCTGCTGCCTGCCTCTGCCAGTGCGTCCCAACCTCCCGGTGCACATCAACGGCTGCATTGTGCTCTCCCCGTCCGTTTTCCCCTTCGCCCCTTCCCAATGATCTATCTCCAGGGCCGGGCGTTCTGCTTCCTGCCTCTGCCAGTGCGCCCCAGCCAACCTGCCCTTACCCGTACACATCAACAGCTACTTTGAGCTCTGAAGAAACCCCGCTCCCCCCCCCACCTTCCCCACCACCCCACTCCTCCCCTTCCCTCAGGGCCGGGCGTTCTGCTTCCTGCCTCTGCCAGTGCGCCCCAACCTCCCGGTGCACATCAACGGCTACTTTGAGCTCTCCTCCAATCGCAGAGACATCTGGTTCGGCGAGGATATGGACAGAGCAGGCCGCCTGCGCTCCCAGTGGAATGCCGCCCTGCTGCAGCTCGTTGCCGCCCCAGCGTACCTCGATTTGATTCTCGAAGCCGCCCGGCGAATCGGGCCGCGGGCGGAGTATTTTGGGCTGTTTCCTGCGGGCCCCATCTCGGAGCCCTGGCTGGGGATGGTTGGGCAGCTGTATAAAAGTCTTGCCCAGCTGCCCGTTCTATATACAAGAGGTCCTCGGGAGTTGAGTGGGGTTAGTTTGAGTACAGGAACTGGTGGTGCTGCTGCAGCTGCTGCTGGGGGTGTTTTAGGTGCTGGAGGCACAAAAGGTGGGGCAGCTTATAAAGGGGATGGGAGCTGGGTGTCTCCCACCGGAGCTGTTTTCAGTGACGAGGAATTTCGCGATCCGGACGGCTTGGAGCTAGCTCTGATTCGGGAGGGTCTACCGATCGTCCGGGTCTCGCCGAACCTCCGGGAGATGCTCTTCCGGTGGTCCGTTTCCGTGCCGAAAATCACCGTTCCTAGCGTGGTTCGCGCGCGGCTGAGAGCGCCAGGTGTCCACAGGGGATTGGCGGAACGGGAGGACGCGTTACTGCTGCTGGAGTACTGCTTGGGGGATGTGATAGATGATGAGGCAGCAGAGGTGCTCCAGGGGCTTTCCCTGGTTCCCCTGGCGGACAAGAGCCTGGGGAGGTTTGAGAGTGAAGGGTCGGTTGGGAGAGAGATAGTGGTGGCTGCGTGGGAGAGAGGAGGGGAAGGCGAGAGAGGTGCAGCAATGGGATCGGGTGGAGGGAGAGGAGGAGAGGGAGGTGGAGGGGAGGGAGGGGAGAGGTGGAAGGGGAGGAGGAGTGTGGAGTTTGAGCTACTGAAGGACAGGGCAGGAGGGAGAGTAGTTGACCTCGTAGGTGTGAGAGAAGACGTGTATGAACGCTTGAGAAACATCGCTCTCTCTCCCTCCTCGGGCAACCTCTCCCCTCTCACCCCCTCGCTGCTCCTCCGCCTGCTCCAGTCACTCCTCCCCCCCGACTGGTTCGGACAGGACGAGGTCCCTTGGTTCGGCGTCTCCGAACGTGCTTGTTCGGGGAAGGGTTCGCTCAAGGTTGTGGTGGCTGTAGCGCCGCCGTCGGTGTGGTGGGTCGGCCTGCTTTGGCAGTATCTGGCTGCCAGCTGTAAGGACCTGACGGCGTTTTCTGGGTGGCCGCTGCTGCCTACAAGACAGAAATCGCTGTGTGCGCTAGAGAAGGGGCGGTCTAGGGTGATTCTGGTAGAGGAGGAGGAGGGAGGGACAGGGGTAGGAGCAGGGAGTAGTGAAGTAGGGAGCGAGAAGGGGATGCAGGAAGGAGGGAGAGGGGAGCTGGAGCGGCGGATTTTGCCTGCAGCTGGTGGTTTCAGTGCCATTTCTGACCTGCTGGTCAGGCTGGGGTGCCGCATTCTCTGGAGGAAACTACCCTCTCGTGTGGAGGGGGTCCATGTGGAGGGGGTCCATGTGGAGGGGGTCCATGTGGAGGGGGGTGACCTGCAAGGGGAGTATCTGCAGGTGGCGCATCCCCTGCTGCATGACTTTGTGCGGCCGGCCACGGGAGCGGGGGTGTTGGACGCGCTGCAGTCCGCAGCGGACTGGCTCGGGGTGTCCTTCGCCATGCTCTTCCAAATGGCTGAGGCATCGCAGGATGGTATCTCTGCAGCTGCTGGTCCTTCTGGTGGTAGTGAGGGTGCTGCTGCTGTTCCAGCTGGTAGGACCGCTTCGGGTGGCTTGCTCTCTGAGGCTGCGGTCGAGGCTCGGCGGCAGCTCCGGGAGTTCCTGTGCTCGCCGCAGTGGTACGCCGGCAACGCTATGACGGAGGCTCGGCGAGTGCGAATCTTCAAGTCTTTACCGATCTTTGAAGCCTACAGCAACGACCCTTCCACCAACACCAACACCAACACCAACACCAACACCAGCACCAACAGTAGCAGGGGCGGAATAACCACCAGCAGCGGCACTGGCAGCACTGGCAGCACTGGCAGCACTGGCAGCACTGGCAGCACTGGCAGCACCATCCCCATCTCCCCCCCCCCTCTCTTCGTGGACCTGTCCTCTTCCTCCCCTCAGCGCTATCTCGCCCCTTCAGGGGTGGAGGCAGCTCTCCTAGGCGAGGCCTTCCTCTGCCCCTCAGACGACACGGAGGCGGCTGTCCTCTCCCGGGCTCTCTCCGTTCCCACGCTGCCTCGCCCGGCGTTTTTCAAGATGCAGGTGCTCGCTAGAGTCCAGGCGCTGCCGCCCGGGCTGCGGAACAGGACGATGCTTGCCGTGCTGCAGGAGCTGCCGCAGCTGTGCACTGTGGATCCTGGGCTGAGGGATGTCGTGGCGAACCTGGCGTTTGTGCCCGTTTGTGATGGGAGGGGGGATAGACAGGTGGAGCAGAAGCAGCAGCACCAGCAGGGGGAGCAGCAGCAGCAGCTGGTGGTGGAAGGGGGGGGAACAGCAGGAGCAGGAGAAACAGAATCAGCAGTAGGAAATGAGACTCTTTGTCGTCCCGTGGATCTGTACGATTCTCGCAATCCAGAGCTCTGCCACCTGCTTCAAGGAATGGCCGGCAACTGGTTCCCTGCCGCCCCGTTTTCGTCGTCTTCTGCCCTTGAGATGTTATTGAGTGTGGGGCTCCGCACTGCGGTTACCACTGACACGATTCTCAGCTGTGCACGGGCGGTGGAGCAGGTCGCTGCTACAGACGCGGCTGTAGCGCGGGAGCGCGGGCGGATTCTGTTGTCCTATCTGGACGTGAATGCGGCGAGATGGGTTCCTGTGGCGCAGGGGGGGAGTGCAGGGGCGGGGGGAGGGGGGGGAAGAAGAGGAGGTGGAGGAGGGGGGCCGGGAGGGGGAGGAGGGGGAGGAGCAGGAGGTGGTGTGTTTGCTCGTGTATCCAGCCTATTCCAGAGTAGTGAAGCAGCAGAAGAGGCACAGAGGGTAGCAGCTGAAATGGCGTCGTTTTGGAACGAGCTCTGCTCGATTTCCTGGTGCCCGGTGCTGGTGGACTCCCCTGCTCCCCCCTTCCTGCCCTGGCCCGGTGGTGGAGGGACGAATCCTGCAGGTAGTGGTGGAGAATCAGCAGGAGGAATGGGAGGTACAGAGAGGGTTAAAGAGAGATATAAAGAGAGAGCAGATGAGTCTCGGCCTAGCCCTGTCGCCCCGCCTCGCATCGCCCGCCCACAGATTGACACGTGGCTTGCGTCAGCTAGCCTCCGGATCCTGGACGGCGAGTGTCGGTCCACGCTGATGTGGCGCCAGCTAGGATGGGCGCGCCCGCTGACGGGGAGTGTGCTGGCGGCGCAGCTGCTGGAGCTGGGGCGGGTGTGCGGGGCGGAGGTGGCGGACCGGGGAGCGGGCAAGGCGCTGGCAGGGGCAGTGCCAAGGATTTATACAATGCTGTCTGACATGCTGGGGCAGGAGGAGATGGAGGTGGTCAAGGCGATCCTCGAGGTACGTAGGAAGGGCTTTGTTGGACTGTCCGTTGTGCTTCACTTACCTCCTTTGAGGTGCCTCAGGCACCCCCTTTGCTGTTTCTCTCTTCCCCTCTCTCTCTTCCCCTCTCTCCTCTTCCCCTCTCTCTCTTCCCCTCTCTCTCTTCCCCTCTCTCTTCCCCTCTCTCTCTTCCCCTCTCTCTCTTCCCCTCTCTCTCTTCCCCTCTCTCTCTTCCCCTCTCTCTCTTCCCCTCTCTCTCTTCCCCTCTCTCTCTTCCCCTCTCTCTCTTCCCCTCTCTCTCTTCCCCTCTCTCCTCTTCCCCTCTCTCTCTTCCCCTCTCTCCTCTTCCCCTCTCTCTCTTCCCCTCTCTCCTCTTCCCCCTCTCTCTCTTCCCCTCTCTCTCTTCCCCTCTCTCTCTTCCCCTCTCTCTTCCCCTCTCTCTTCCCCTCTCTCTCTTCCCCTCTCTCTCTTCCCCTCTCTCTCTTCCCCTCTCTCCTCTTCCCCTCTCTCTCTTCCCCTCTCTCTCTTCCCCTCTCTCCCTCTTCCCTCTCTCTCTTCCCCTCTCTCTCTTCCCCTCTCTCTCTTCCCCTCTCTCTCTTCCCCTCTCTCTCTTCCCCCTCTCTCTTCCCCTCTCTCCTCTTCCCCTCTCTCTCTTCCCCTCTCTCCTCTTCCCCTCTCTCTCTTCCCCTCTCTCTCTTCCCCTCTCTCTCTTCCCCTCTCTCTCTTCCCCTCTCTCTCTTCCCCTCTCTCTCTTCCCCTCTCTCTCTTCCCCCTCTCTCTCTTCCCCTCTCTCTCTTCCCCTCTCTCTCTTCCCCCCTCTCCTCTTCCCCTCTCTCTCTTCCCCTCTCTCTCTTCCCCTCTCTCTCTTCCCCTCTCTCTCTTCCCCTCTCTCTCTTCCCCTCTCTCTCTTCCCCTCTCTCTCTTCCCCTCTCTCTCTTCCCCTCTCTCTCTTCCCCTCTCTCTCTTCCCCTCTCTCTCTTCCCCTCTCTCCTCTTCCCCTCTCTCTCTTCCCCTCTCTCTCTTCCCCTCTCTCTCTTCCCCTCTCTCTCTTCCCCTCTCTCTCTTCCCCTCTCTCTCTTCCCCTCTCTCTCTTCCCCTCTCTCTCTTCCCCTCTCTCTCTTCCCCTCTCTCTCTTCCCCTCTCTCTCTTCCCCTCTCTCTCTTCCCCCTCTCTCCTCTTCCCCTCTCTCTCTTCCCCTCTCTCTCTTCCCCTCTCTCCTCTTCCCCCCTCTCCTCTTCCAGGGTTGTCACTGGGTGTGGGTGGGGGACAGGTTCTGTTCCACGGCTGAGTGAGTGTGCTTTCCCAGGGCCCATTCACCTCGCCCCCTACCTTCTCTTAGGCGCCCCAAATGCCGCTTCCCCATTCCCCCGCCTTCTCTTTCTTCCCTCTGCCTTTGTACAGGACTGCAGGTGGGTGTGGATGGGGGATGGCTTCTGCTCGACATGTGAATATGCTTTCACAGGGCCCATCCACCTCGCCCCCTATCTGTGCATCATTCCTGCCGACCTTGCCACCGCCTCCCCCACCGTTGTCACTGGGTGTGGGTGGGGGATGGCTTCTGCTCCACCTCAGAGCGCGCTTTCACCGGCCCCATCCACCTCGCCTCGCCCCCTATCTGCGCATCATCCCTGCCGACCTTGCTGCATTCCGACCTCCTGCTCGCTCTAGGCGTTCGAGAGTCCCTCACAGGCTCCAAGAACCTCCACCCACTTTCCCCTCCCTGCCCACTACCCCCCTCCCCATCCCCTGCCCCCAACCCCCCACCTCTCGCAAGGTTGTCGCTGGGTGTGGATGGGGGATGGCTTCTGCTCGACGTCTGAATATGCTTTCACAGGGCCCATCCACCTGGCTGGCCCCCTACCTGCGCATCATCCCTGCCGATCTCGCTGCCTTGCGATCCCTCACAAGCTTCTTTCCCTTTCCCCATTCCCCTTGCTTTCTCGCCCGTCCGTCCCTCTATTTACAGGGTTGCAGGTGGGTGTGGGTGGGTGGGAGACGGCTTCTGCTCAACGTCCGAATGCGCTTTCACTGGCCCCATCCACCTCGCCCCCTATCTGCGCATCATCCCAGCCAATATCGCTGCCTTGCGCAACCTCCTGCTACCCGTGTTCTAGTGCAGCCCAGGAGTGGGAAATTCCTCACTGGCTGGCGCCTAGCAAACAAATTATCCCACTCTCCCCTCCTTGCCCCTCCCTTCCTCCTCCATCCCTCAGGGTTGTCGTTGGGTGTGGGTGGGGGATGGCTTCTGCTCCACCTCAGAGTGCGCTTTCACTGGCCCCATCCACCTGGCCCCCTATCTGCGCATCATCCCTGCCGACCTCGCTGCCTTCCGTGACCTCCTGCTCACTCTGGGCGTTCGAGAGTCCCTCACAGGCAACGAGTACGCGGCCGTGCTTGCCAACATCGCTAGGGACGCGCAAGGCCGCCCGCTCGGCTCGCGCCAGCTGGCGGCCGCTGTGTGGCTGGTGCAGCATCTGGCGGATCTGCAGTTTGATTCAGGGGCGGCGGGGGGGAAAGGAGGGGGAGGGGGGGGAGGAGGGGGGTTGGACGGGGAGAGGAGGAGTGGGGGAGGGGAGGGAGTGGGAGGGGGAGGAGGAGGAGGGATGGGGCATGGAGGAGGGATGGTGTATGTGCCGGATGCACAGGGCATTCTGGTGCGTGCCCATGAGCTTGTGTACAACGATGCTCCTTGGCTGCCCCAGTTCGTGCGCTCCTCTCCCTCCTCCACTCAAGATTCCTCTGCGACTGGCTCGGCCAGTGAGTCGTCGTCAGCATCACAAGCAGCATCAGCAGCTGGCCCAAGTCGCGCCCTCGGCTCAGCAGCACCGCCCGAACCTAACCTCCAAGTCCGGTTTGTCCACGCCAAGATCTCCAACGACGTGGCGGACAGGCTCGGCGTCCGATCCTTGCGCCGGCAGCTCCTCCTAGACAGCGGTGCTGCTTCTATGGCGCTCTCCCTGCACGCCTCTGCCAACTCCCTCTTCTCCCCCACACCCTTAGGAGCTTCTACCACCGGGGATGCTTCTAGCGGGGGTGCTTCTAGCGGGGATGGGGTAGAGGCGTTTGGGCAGCACGAGGCGCTGACCACTCGTTTGAAGCACATAGTGGAGATGTACCCGGAGGGGCCGGGGGTGCTCTGTGAGCTCGTGCAGAATGCAGATGATGCCGGGGCGAGGGAGGCCGCGTTTCTCCTGGATCACTCGCGGTTCGGCGCCTCTTCAGTGCTGAGCCCACGTATGGCTGAGTGGCAGGGGCCGTCGCTGTATGCGTATAATGATGCTGTGTTTTCCGATCGCGATTTGATTGCGATCTCGCGGATCGGGCAGGATAGCAAGCTGGAGAAGCCGAGTGCTATTGGCCGGTTCGGGCTCGGATTCAACTCAGTGTACCATTTCACCGACGTCCCGGGGTTCGTTTCCGGGCAGAACCTGGTAATTTTCGACCCGCACGCGTCGAACCTGCCCGGAATCACCCCCTCCCACCCGGGCCTGAAGATCAGCTTCGTCGGGCGCGGCCTCCCGGACCAGTTCCCGGACCAGTTCCGCCCGTTCCTCCTGTTTGGGTGCGACCTGCAGTCTGCGTACCATGGGACTCTCTTCCGGTTCCCGCTTCGGTCTGAGGCTGCGGCAGGGCGGAGCGAGATCAAGCACGAGCCATGCACCCCGGAGGATATCAAGCATCTGTTCAAGTCGTTTCAGAGAACGGCCACTGAAGCGCTGCTGTTTCTGAGGAACGTGGGGCGGATCTCGGTGTTTGAGAGGACGGAGGCGGGTGGTGAGCCGAAGCTGCTCTTCTGCGCACAGAGAGCAGCTGCTGCTGCTGGTGGGCTTGGGGGACCAGCAATGTCACCATCAGCAGCAGGAGAAGTGGCAGCAGCAGGAGCAGCAGGAATGCCTCTAGTGACAGCACTGCCAACGCCAGGGACTGGGCTGAGATCCATGGGGGATGCGGCTGATGGGGGCAGCTTGCAGCGAGCCATCTTTGATTTCGTTCGGGGCAGCCCGCAAAATCCTCTCAACAAGGACCAGTTCTACCACAAGCTGCAGCGGGCAGCTGACGGGCAGCTGCCCAGACAATGCGGGCGGATAACGATTTTAGTGACCGATGGGACGGGACACGTGGCGGCTTCTGATTGGCTCGTGTCGAATGCGCTGGGAGGCGGGCGGGCGAGGGAGTGGGCTGTTGCGGTGGAAAACAGGCCGAGAGGATTCCTGCCATGGGCCGGCGTCGCTTGTCTTATTCACTGGGAGGAAGACGGGAATACCGGGCTGGTGAATCTAATGGGAGTGGGGGAGGAATCAGAGGAAGGTGGAGAGGGGGGGGGGGACGTAGCAGAGGTAGCGAAGGAAAAAACGAGACTTCAAGGAAGGGCGTTCTGCTTCCTGCCTCTCCCTGTGAAGACCAATCTCCCGGTGCACGTCAATGGCTACTTTGAGCTCTCCTCCAATCGCAGAGACATCTGGTTCGGTGATGACCTGGCAGGTGCGGGCAAGGTTCGGTCCGAGTGGAATCGGCGGCTCCTGGAGGACGTGGCAGCTCCGGCTTATGCTCGGATGCTCGCCGAAGCTACCAAACAGCTTGGGCACGGCCCGGCTTACCATGCTCTCTGGCCTGGGGCGGGCTTAGGCTCGGGACCTAATCCAGGGCTGGAGTCAGGTTCGGGTGTGGTGCGGAGGCAAGTTCGGGGAGAGCTGGTGGAGCCTTGGGAATCGCTGGCTAATCGGGTGTATGTGTGCGTGACTGAGCTCGATTTGGGTGTCATCTGGACAGGTGCAGCTGGGGGCAGGTGGATTCCTCCCAAACGGGCAGTTTTTGCAGACACAGGGTACCCGAAAATGGAAGATCTTGCAAATATTTTGATCCGGGCAGGCCTGCCCCTGGCAGATGCGCCATACCCAGTGGTGGAAAGATTTCGTGCGGCCTGCCCGCAGCTCAGGTTCCTGACTCCGGCACTCCTCAGGAAGACTCTGATTGGCTCGGGCAGGCAGATTCTTTCGAGCTGCCCGGATGTGGGCCTGGCACTCAACTATTGCCTGAGTGACATGGACGTGGAAGAAGCTGCTGAGAAGCTTCCGGGGCTCCCACTCATTCCTCTGGCTAACGGCACTGTGGGCGCTTTTTCCAAGATCGACAGGGACGGGGCCAGTGGCATTAGCGGCAGCAGCAGGGGGTTTGGATTACTGACTGGGGTGATGGGCGGCAGTGGTGGTGGAGGGATGCGGGGAATGGTTGGCCAGAGGAGTGCAGGCATGCAGTGGGACCCACGAGCAAAGGGCACGGGCAGCAGCGCGGGCTTTGGAGCAGCAGCAGCAGCAAGCAGTGGGGGGGCGTGTCGGTTCATAGTGACTCGCAGCGAGGCTGAGTACTCTCTGCTCCTTCCAGGGGCCGCGCATCTGCTGCTGCACCGCCAGCTGGCGGCCGAGCAGGCAGAGGCATGGGGGAAGCTGCAGGCCATGGCAGGGTGGTGGGAGGAGGGGGCGGGGGAGGGAGAGGGAGAGGGGGCAGGGGGTTTGAGAATCTTGGTGGTGCTGCTGCTGCTGCTGGTGCTGGTGGTGGGGGTATGGATGTGGGGGAGGTGCTAGGGTTTTTGAACGAGCATCAGCAGCAACTCCAGCAGCAGCAGAAGCTGCAGCAGACGCGAAGGGCAGTGGCGAGTGCGGGAGTGAATGTGGCGCTGGTGTCGGTGCCGGTGCTGGCAGAGCTGCTGCCGCTGCTGGTGCCGGAGTCATGGCGCGGGCAGGCCTTTGTTGCATGGCGTGGCGGACAGGGCGGGCAGGGAGAGGGAGGGAGTGAGGGTGGCGCTGTTACTGCTGCAGCTAGCGCTGCTGATGTAGCTGCAACTGAAGGTACTCTGGGGCCGCTGATTTCTCCTCTCACTGCTCCGTCACCTGTAGCAGCAGCACCAGCAGCATCAGCAGCAGCATCAGCAGTATCAGCAGGAATAGCTTTTGAAGGTGATGGGATCGAGTTCCTGGAGTCCGAAGGGCCTTCCTTTGAGTGGATCCAACAGTTCTGGAGCTACCTCTCCTCCTCCACCTCCTCTCCCTCCTCTCTCCCTGCTGCTGCGTCCTCCTTCACTCCTTCCTCTCATGCATCCTCTGCTCTCTCTCACCCACGTCCTCTCCACTCTAGCCTGTCACTGATCGCTGATTGGCCGCTCGTCCCAACCACGAACGGGCAGCTGCGGCAGCTGCAGGCAGGGGGCCCTCTGCTGCGGTCGGGCGGAGGGGACGGGTGGAGTGAGAATCTCCTCGCTCTCTTTGCGCGCCTGGGGGTGTATGTGGTGCGCAGTGATGTGAGCCTGGACCATCCGGGACTCAGAGGGTACATCCATGATGCCACGGCTGCTGGGGTGCTGGATGCCATTGCTGCTGCTGCGGCCAACCGTGCTGCTGCTGATGCTTCTGCTGCCTCTGCTGCTGCTGCTGCTGCTCGGTATGGTGCGGCTGCCACTAGGAGAGCAGAAAGGGGTTAGGATCATCTGGGTTAGGGCTTGCTGCATCGTTTGATCTTGCAACAGCGAGCCACCCGACAGCTGCCGCACCCTCTGCTTCTTCCTCTGGAGCTGCTGCATCTCAAGTGCCGCATCTCAGCGCACTGCTCTCGCTCTTCCAGTATGCAACGGATGGAGAGAGGAGGGAGCTACGCAGCATCCTGTGCCAGTCCAAGTGGTTCCCCCCATCCGATGGATCTTCTGATTCGTCTGCTGCTGCTGCTTCAGCTGCTGGTGCTGCTGCTGGGATGGTGGTTTCACACGCCTTTGGCCTGTCCAGGGGTCTCAAGCACATCTCAGAACCTGCTGGTGCCTCGTCGCATCCAGGTGGCGTTCTCTCGGAGCGCCACATCAGCATGTTGCGAGCCCTGCCGATTTTCGAGTCATACGGCACCTGGTCCCTTCCCGAGTCGAAAGCAGAAGTTGGGAGTCGTGCCACTGCTGCGGTGGGTGCTTCTGCTGATGCCCCTGCTTCTGCTGCTCGCAGTGGTCGTGTGTTTGTGGATCTCCTCACCGCGCGCCGCTTCTTCGCGCCGCCATCCATCGACGAATCGCTGCTCGACACGTCATTCGTCCGCGTCGACTCCGACAAGGACCACCGAATCCTGCGCTGCCACCTGGCAGTCTCCCCGATCTCCCGCACCGCCTTCTACCTCAACCACCTCTTCCCTCGCATCCGAGCAGCCTCTGCAGCCGCTGCCGCTGCTTCTGCCACTGCTGCTGCTACCACTGAAAGAGCCACGAGCCACAGTGGGTTTCAGGGTCAGAGCAGAGATGTCGCTATGGCAGCGGCGGTGCGTGTTGTTGGAGGGGCGCAGGCGACAGCGGCAGTGGTACCTCTAGGAGGTGCAGCAGGGGCGCAGACAGCAGCAGTGGTGGTGCCGTTGGGGGGAGAGGCGCGCACAGCAGCCATGCTGGCAGTGCTGAGGGAGCTGCCCATCCTGGCAGCAGAGGACGATCGGTTTGTGAAGGAGCTCAGGAGGCTGCCGTTTCTGCCCACCCAGGCTGGCCTGCTGAGGGGGAGGAGGAGCTCAGGAGGCTGCCGTTTCTGCCCACCCAGGCTGGCCTTCTGAAGGCGCCATGCAGGTATGTCTAGGGAGGTACACACAGCAGCCATGCTGCCAGTGCTGAGGGACCTGCCCAGCCTGGCAGAAGAGGATGAGCAGCTTGTGAAGGAGCTCAAGCGACTGCCGTTCCTGCTCGCCCACCCAGGCCGGTTTGCTCAAGGCTCCATGCAGGTACGTCTAGGGAGGTACGCACAGCAGCCATGCAGGCAGTGCTGCTGAAGGAGCCCAGGCGACTGCCGTTTCTGCCTGCCACCCAGGCTGTCCTGCTCAAGGCCCACTTCCTCTCCCTCTCCCCTCCCACTTCCTCGCCTCAAAACTGAGGCTGCTTTTGAGGCGCCTCAAAACTGAGACTGCTTTTGAGGCGCCTCAAAACTGAGATTGCTTTTGAGGCACCTCAAAACTGAGACTTCTTTTGCGGCGCCTCAAAAGCTGCCCACCCTGGCTGTCCGGTCCGGCTCAAGGCCCACTTCCCTCTCCCTCTCCCTGTTGTAAAATATATATCTATACAACATGCATGCCTAGATTAGGAGGTGTAGTCATTATAACCCCCTTGCAGCCTCTACAACCCTCGGGTGTCTGAGCTCTCGTCTCTCCTCGACACCTCCCGCTTCGCCCCAGTGCCATCTCTCACACCCCCCCTTTTTTTCTCACTCTCGGATTCTTCCCAGCACCTCCCTTCACCGCGCCCTCTCGTTCCACTTTCTTCTCCCACCCCACCCCACCCCCCCTCACACTGCAGCCTCTACGACCCTCGGGTGTCTGAGCTCTCGTCTCTCCTCGACGCCTCGCACTTCTTCCCAGCGCCGCCCTTTGCCTCCCCCTCCCTCCTCCCCACGCTCCTCTCTCTCGGCCTGCGTACCACAGCCGACCGACACGCCCTGCTCGCCTCTGCCCGCTCGATCGAAGCGGCCTGCAGGGGTGGGGGTGGTGAGGGGCGGAGGGTGGCTGGGGGGGATCAGGAGACCCGAGAGGCAGGGAGAGGAGGGAGGGAGGGAGAAGGTAGGGAGGCGTGGGATTCAGCAGGAAGGGATGGTGGTTTCGATCCGTCTGCTAGGCCCGGGGAGGTTTTGGCTCGGGCGCGTGCCTTGCTGGCGCATCTGGATGCGCGACAGGTGGCGGAAGATCAGTGGAGCAGGCTTGGAGGGGGGAGGGGAGGAGGAGAGGGAGGGGAGCGCAATGATGGTGGTGGTGGTGGTGGTGATGATGGGTTCTTGGAAGGCGGTGATTGGTCGAGATTGGGCGGCATGGGCGGCATGGGTGGAATGGACGGCATGGGTGGCTTTGCCAGCCGGAGGTTTAGTGGTGGTGATGGGGATGCGGCTGTGGGGAAGCTTGGGGGGGGAGATGCGGAGAGGGGTATGGGCATCGGTGTTACTGCTGGAAGCAGCAGCCTGGTTGTTGGCAATAGTGATGATGGCAGTGGTGAGGAGGATGACATTCCAGAGGATGTGTTCTGGGAGGAGCTTAAGAAGATCATATGGTGCCCCGTGCTGCAAAGACCACCTGATTCTGCTACAGAAGCTGCTGCTGCTCCTCTTTCTACCAGTAATTACAGCACCACCACTGCGATCAGCAGCAGCAGCAGCACCAGCAGCAGCAGCAGAAACAGCTGCATCCAGCCGCCCTGGAAGGGTAGCCCCTCGGGCTTCATGCCGCCCTCCGCCATCCGCTTGCAGGACGACATCTGGGTGGTGGGCGGCAGCATGTGCATTCTGGGCGGCGAAGTGCGATCTGACAGCCTGGCGCGCAAGCTGGGGTGGCGGGACGCCCCTCCTGTCGAGGCTTTGGTGTCACAGCTGCTGGCGCTGGCGGCTCTGCATGGGTGTGCTGTTGAGGAGAGGAGGGGGCGGGAGGAGAGAGGGGAGGAGAGAGGGGAGAGGAGAGGGGGGACGGGGAAGCGGGGAGAGAGGCGGAGCAGGAGGGGTGGGAAGGAGGAGGGGAGGAGAGGGGATGCGGACGGAAGGGGGGAAGCTGGGTTGAGTTCGGGAGAAGGACAAGCAGGAGATTTGAAGAGAGTTGATGATGAGAATGAGTGGGAGAAGCAGAAGAGGGAGGAGGGAGAGGATACAGAAAAGGGAGGAGGAGGGGAGGAGGAAGGGGAGGAGGAGGAAGAGGAGGAGGATGAGGTGACTGACCTGGAACGGACCTTATCCAAAGAGGTTCCCAGAATCTATGCATATCTCGAGCAGCACATGGGCTCTCCGTCCTTTTCTGCCGCCCGGACCTCCTTCCAATCAGTCGCCTGCATTTGGGTCGGCGACACCTTCATCGCACCTTCCTCCCTCGCCTTTGACTCGCCCGCCCACTTCCACCCTTACCTCCACGTCGTGCCGACAGAAGCCGCCCGGTTCCGCACCCTGCTGACGTCACTGGGCGTCAGGGAGACGTTTCAGGTGGGGGATTACGCCCAGGCGTTGGCCCACCTGAAAAGAGACCTGGAGTGGCGGGACAAGAGGCTTGGCAGAGGCTCGGGAGAGGCTCGGGGAGGCGCGGGAGGGGGAGGAGGGGGAGGGGGAGGGGGAGGAGCAAGAGAGGGAGTTTTATCTCCGGATCAGTTCTCTTTTGTGCTGAGGGTGTTGGAAGCAATAGTGGATGCTCTGCCGCCGGGTGGCGAGCCGCCATTGGCCGGAACGGTGCTCGTGCCCGAGGCTAGTGGGGGGCTGGTGGCGGCTCGAGAGCTCATTTTCAACGATGCCGCGTGGCTCTCAGCTAAAGGTAAGCATTACTTAGCTAAAGGTGGGCGGTACTAGCTAAGCTGAGGGATCGTCCTTGTTGATAACCTTTTGCCTGAGGCTGCTGGAGGGTTGGTGTCTGCTTGAAAGCTACTATTGCTTGAAAGCGACCTTGAAAGCTCTGTGTCAGCCGCTCTCCTCATCTTCTCAGAAGTTGAAAAAAAAACTCAACTCACTTGCGTCGCACATCTCCCCGCGATTCTCTCTTCATTCTCGCTCGCCCCCACCTCTCCCAGCCACCATGGACGGCCGGAGTCCCCCATTCCCGCCCACATCTCCCCAAGTCCCTCTTCATTCCCCCATCCCATCTCTCCCAGCCACCATGGACGGCCGGAGTCCCCCATTCCCGCCCACATCTCCCCAAGTCCCTCTTCATTCCCCCATCCCATCTCTCCCAGCCACCATGGACGGCCGGAGTCCCCCATTCCCGCCCACATCTCCCCAAGTCCCTCTTCATTCCCCCATCCCATCTCTCCCAGCCACCATGGACGGCCGGAGTCCCCCATTCCCGCCCACATCTCCCCAAGTCTCTCTTCATTCCCCCATCCCATCTCTCCCAGCCACCATGGACGGCCGGAGTCGCTTTGTGCATCCCGATGTGCCGCACGCCATGGCGGAGCGACTCGGCTCGCGGTCCTTGAGAGGGCTTTCGTTGGATGGGCCCTCTGCTGCTACCTCCCTGCCATGTTTGCCAGGTTAGAAAGCGGTGCGAGGTATACTCTGAGGTAAAGGTCGCTTTGTGCCTCCCGACGTGCCACACGCCATGGCGGGGCGGAGCGACCTGGTTCGCGGTCCCTGAGAGGGCTGTCGTTGGACGGACCCTCTGCTGCCACCTCACTTCCGTGTTTACCAGGTATGTGTTCTGGCGTCTAGGCAGCTGATGAGTCACTTGTGCAGCACCCAGTTGTGCCACACGCCATGGCGGGGCGGAGTGACTTGGTTCGCGGTCCCTGAGAGGGCTGTCGCTAGACAGGCCCTCTGCTGCCACCTCCCTTCCGTGCCTTCCTGGTGAGTGCTTTGAGATGGCTCAAAATGTAGCAGATCAAACTTGGCTCGCGATCGCTGAGAGGGCTGTCGCTTGATGGGCCCTCTGCTGCCACCTCGCTCCCGTGCCTGCTAGGTACGTCTTCTTCCTTTTAGACAGCTGATGCATCACCTTGTGCTCCGCATTTTACATTCTATGGCCAAGCGATTTGGATCTCGGTCTTCGAGGGGGTTATCGTTGGATGTACTCTCTGCGAAGCGAAAGTGTATGGCATTAAACCGAGGTGACTTGGAGTCGGCTCAAAAGTCACCTATGGCAGAGCGATTTGGAGCTCGGTCCTAATTGAGGGGGTTATCACTCACTGGATGTACCCTCTGCAGCTACCTCGCTTCCTTGCCTTCTGGTGAGTGTTTTGAGATGGCTCAATGCATAGCTAGCTGTGCAAGGGAGCTCGCTCGGTTTGTGAGAGCGCTAGCGTTGGGAAGTTTCTCCTGTAGCATGTACAGTTGTTGCCATGCTACGATTGCAAAGTGACCAAGGTCAAGGATGTGCTAGCTCCAGACCCCAAACCCGAAACTGTTCAAGATTTAAGGAGCATCGTGCATCGTGCATCGTGCTTTACTGGACTGGACGTACCCATTGTGAGAGTAATTACGAGCTTTGAGGTGCGTCAAAATCTTTTCCACCTTCAAAATCCTTTCCTCCTTTGTTAATATTTCGCTCCTCTGTCCCTGCCCACCCATTCAGCTGTGTGGTCATATCTGAGCTTCTCGAGGGCTGTGCAGCAGACAGCCATCTGCTGCTGTTCGACCTGCCAGAGGTGGCGGATGCATATGTGGTGCCATGGGGTGGGGAATTGGCATGCAAGACTGATTCCTGCCTGCATTTTCTCCTCTTCCTCCTCCCCCACCCCTTCAGCTGTGGTCATATCTGAGCTGCTAGAGGGCTGGGCGGCGGACAGCCACCTGCTGCTGTTCGACCTGCTAGAAGTGGCGGATGCATGCGGTGCACGGGGTGTGGAGTTCATGTGGGACCAGCGGCACCACCCGGAGATCTCCTTACTGCAGCCAAACCTGGGTAAGGTTCTTTTGCTTGGGAGCTGTTGCTAAGGAGGAGTATGTGTGTGCCTGCCGGGGGGGGGGGTGGAGTTCGTGTGGGACCAGCGGCACCACCCAGAGATCTCGCTGCTGCAGCCAAACCTAGGTATGCTTTACTTTAAGATGTGCAACAACCAGATGCGTGTGGTGCTCGGGGCGGGCAGTAGGGTGTGCATGGGACCAGACCAGAGACACCACCCTACAAAATCGATGCTGCAGCCCACAACCCCAACCTAGGTGACTGTCTTGTGAACGAACGTTTGAGGCTCCTCCAAAGTCGACCTAGGTGACTGTCGTGTGAAACAGTTTTGTTTTGAAACAGTCTGGTTAGATTAGATTTATGAGCTGAAAATGTTTCACACGACAGTCACAACAGTCCTACAGTCACCCAGAGACACCTAGGTAACTGTCTTGTGCTTCTGAGTCGACTCAAAATCGATGCTGCCACCCAACCTAGGTGACTGTCGTGTGAAACAGTTTTGTTCTGAAATGCCTCCTTCAACTTCTGGATCTGCGCATAAATTTAATCCAACCACTTCAAACACTTGCTCTGAAATGCCTCAGAATCTTGGCATTACATGTCTGAGAGATGCTTTTAACCATTGTAACACTCTGTCTGAAATGTCTTAACATGTGCAAGAGGCACCAGAAACTCCACCTCTGGAGATGCCTTCGATGCAGTTAAGTGAACATGGGCCATACTGACCTTCTCCGGGTAAACTGAGGCTACTTTTGAGGCGCCTCAAAAGTAGCCTCAAAAGATTGGAGGCGCCTCAAAAGTTCTGAGGCACCTAAGAAGTTGACGCAATTGAATGAACATAGACCATATTGACCTTTTCCAGACTGATCCTACCCAACCCCTTCCATCTCCTGCTTAATCCCCCACAGGTCAAATCCAGGGCCCAGCTGCTCTCACTATTCTTTTCCACAGAGCCCAGCTCACCTCAGAGGACATGTGCCATCTGCACATGCCTTCCCCTTCCCTCATCCTATAACCGCTTCCTCTGTTGTTTGTGCCCATCTTTCTCCAATCCCTCTGCAGGTCAATTCCAGGGCCCTTCTCTGACCATCCTTTTCCACGGCGCCCAGCTCACCTCCGAAGACATCTGCCACCTCCACACGCCTCCCCCCATCCGCCTGCGGGACGCCACGTGTCGCTATGGGACTGGTCTGTTGGGCGCGTACCACCTCTCGGACCTCCCCTTCATAGTTGCTGGGAACTTCCTCTATGCGTTCGACCCCTCGGGCCACCACCTGTTCTCCGGCTCCGCTGCTGGTCCGCCTGTGTCCTCGTCTTCGAGGGGGTCGCCTGGTGGGTCGAGGAGGAGAGGTGGTGGAGGGGACGACATGGCTGCTCCTGTTGCCCGAGCGTTTTCGCTCAAAGGTACCAGCTCGCGTGCGTGCTTGCTTGCAGTTGTGCAGCGTTCTGTCCGTCCGTCCGTGGTTATACTTGGTGCTTGCATTCTTTTGAGTCGACTCAAAAGATACCAGCTCACGTGCTTGCTTGCAGTTCATTGGTGCAGCGTTCTGTCCATCTTTGTGCTTGCATTCTCTTGTATTGTTTCGTTACTCCAGTTTCCATTTTCCCACATGGGTTTTCCTTCCCAGCTTCATTCTCCGACTGGCAGTCCGTTTTGCCCGCCTCTCTCAATTTCAACTTGTTTCAACAATTCTCTTACTAATAGCCCACCCATTGCAGCCACCTCCATCTCCCTCTGTTGCTATTATTTGCCTTCTTTCAGCATCATCAGCCAGTCAGCTTCGACTGTAAGTCGAAACTGACCGGCAGCTGCCCTGATCTGTTTCCAGTCAGTTTCGACTTGTGTGTAATGAGTCGATTTTTTAGTCGACTCAAAAATTGACTCATTACACACGGATTACCCCCTCCCCCCCTCCCGCCCTCCCGCCCTCCCGCCCTCCCGCCCTCCCCCCCTCAGGCTCTTCAAGCCTCATCGACCGCTTTCCCAACCAGTTCCAGCCCCTCGCCTTCACCCCTTCCTCCACCACCGCCACCCTCTTTTCCACTCTCTTTTGAGTCGGTTCTAAAGCAATTCCTCCCCTCCTGCACTTAGACATGGGCACAAGCCGAGCCACATCCGGCTCGGCTCGGCTCGGCTCGCCAAACATGGCAAGCCGAGCCTTTCTTTTTGGGATCCGGCTCGACTCGAGCCGAGCCAGCCAGCTCGACTCGGCTCGTACACGATGTCCTCGTCGAGCCGGGGTCGAGCCGGCTCGTCCCCGGCTCGATTTCAAGCCAGGTGGCTCGCCATTCGATTTCAAGGGTAAAATTTCCCCCTCGACAAAACGTGTCTCCCATTTCTCTCTCCCGCCAACAACTCCTGGTCTATGTTCCCGCAAACGCTCTGGCGGTGCAGCGTTTAGTGTTTAAACGCTAAACGCTAAACGCCCGCCCAAAATGTTTGTCGCGGAATTCTTTCCCGCGACATCGCGACCTGGCGAATTCAACCAGTCGCAAGACCCATCCAACCCTTTTGCCCCGCTCAACCGCACTGCACACTATTGCATCTACAACTTCCAACCTAACCTCTAACACCCTTCTTCCTCCTCACAATCTACTTCCGCGAACCCTAGAATTCTGCGCGCCTAGGAGTATCTCACTAGGTTAGTTCGCGCGAGAAATCTTAAGCAGCCCCCGCCACTCTTAACAACGCGCACTTGCATAGGCTCCAGCGCGCACTAATGTTGGCTTAAGCGCGTGCTAGGCGACTCGAAATGCGAGCCGAGCCAGGCATGTTTGGTGCCCGGCTCGACTCGAGCCGAGCCAGGCTCGACGGCGAGCCGGCTCGGCTCGACTCCTGGACGAGCCGAGCCGAGCCAGGCTCGGCTCATGCCCATGTCTACCTGCACTCCCCTCCCTCTGCTTCAGGTTCGGGCACTTCAAGCTTCATCAGCCGCTTTCCCGACCAGTTCCAGCTGCTCACCTTCACCCCTTCTTCCTCCTCCACCCCCTCTTTGCTCTTTTGAGTCGACTCAAGAGCAATTCCTCCCCTCCCGCTCTCCCCTCCCTCTCCCATCCAGGCTCGGGCACTTCAAGCTTCATCAACCGCTTTCCGGACCAGTTCCAGCCGCTCACCTTCCCCCCTCTCTCCTCCTCCACCTCCACCCCCTCTTCTCTCTCCTCCTCCCGCTCCTCCTCCTCCTCTCCCCTCACCTCCTCCTCCTCCTCTACTTGGGATGACACCACGGTCTTGCGCCTGCCCCTGCGCACGCAGCAGCAGGCAGACTCCAGCCCAATCAGGAGAGGCCACGTGGCGGGGCCTGGGGATATCGTCCTGATGGCGCAGCTGCTGCAGCAGCACGGGGCGGCGTCGCTTGTCTTTCTCACCTCGGTGGAGACGGTGAGTGCAACAGCGTGACTAAAAGGAGGTGGTGCATGAGACCGAGGTGCAAAAAAACGGCGTTTTTAACTTTTTTTTTACTGTATAAAACGTCCGTTTAATACGATTAAAACGGTCAAAAGTGGTGTTTTCTGACTGGTGCAAAAAAACGGCCGTTTTATATGGTCGTTTTTTTATACCGCCGTAAAAAACGGAAGTTTGCTTTATATCGAGGAGGGTGAGGAGGGTGAGGAGGGTGAGGAGGAGGGCGACTAGAGCGAGGAAGGGGAGGACTAGGGTGAGGAGGAGGAGGACAATTAGGAGGAGGAGCAGAGCCGGAGTAGAGTAGGAGGACTAGGAGGAGGAGGGTGAAGGAAGGGCGAGAAGGACAATGAAAGGAGGTCTAGGAGGACGAGGATGGTGTTTTAGATGCACGTCGGCTGTCGCCGCCACCAGGCCCTCTGTTTCGCAGCGATTTTTTTTAGTTTAGGGTAAAAAAAAAAAAAAAAAACCCCGGAAAAGAAAACTCTAACAAACAAACGGTAGAATTTGCATAAATCTGCCGTATAAAACGACCGTAAAAAACGGACCGTTTAATACGGAAACCGTTTTTCGCACGTTGCATGAGACAGCACCTGGTGGTGCATGATAGTTGCAGCATCGTGACCTTCTGTCTGATTATTGTTCAATTGAAGATGCTGCTTGAACGCACATGCTTGTACCTAACCTGCTAGCAAACTGGGGCGTTGCCGTTTTCCGTTCTTCTTTGGGGCGAACGTATGGCATGTGATGGTGCGCCATCGTATGGCATGTGATGGTGGGCATGTGATGGTGCGCCATCGTATGGCATGTGATGATGTGCCATCGTATGGCATGTGATGATGTGCCATCGTATGGCATGTGATGGTGCGCCATGGTATGGCATGTGATGATGTGCCATCGTATGGCATGTGATGGTGCGCCATCGTATGGCATGTGATGATGTGCCATCGTATGGCATGTGATGATGCGCCATCGTATGGCATGTGATGATGCGCCATCGTATGGCATGTGATGGTGCGCCATCGTATGGCATGTGATGATGTGCCATCGTATGAAGTGACTTTTGAGTCGACTCAAAAGTCACCTCAAAAGTCATTTTGGGTCGACTCAAAAGTCACCTTGATAAACGTTCGCCCATCGTATGGATACGATGGTGCGCTGCTGGGAGGTCTCCCCTGGTGACTTTTCAGTCGACTCAAAAGTCAACTTATGGCAATGGACTTTTGAGTTTTTAGTGCATTCAACGGTGCGGAGCTGGAAGGTCTCCAATGGCAGGAGCGTCCCCAGTCTCACCCGCTTTTCGCCTCTCGATTTTGCAGGGTGTTTTTGAGAATGCAAAAGCAGGAGCGTCAGTCTCACCCTGCAAAAGCAGGAGCGTCGTCAGTCTCACCCTGCAAAAGCAGGAGCGTCAGTCTCACCCTGCAAAAGCAGGAGCGTCAGTCTCACCCTGCAAAAGCAGGAGCGTCCCCAGTCTCACCCGCTTTTCGCCTCTCCTTTCTTTCCTCTAAATCTCAACTCCCATCTCTCATCTCTCTTTCTCCATCTCCCTGTTCAATTCCATTTTTGTGAACTCTCAAAAACCGAACACACCTGTCTTCCCAACTTACCGCTTCCACCCTCTCTTTCTGCCCTCCATTTAAATTCCTCCTTGGGTCGCCCCCCTGCCAGGTGTCGTTCTCTGTGTGGCCAGCTGATGCTGCCCAACCAGAGGAGTTCTTCCATGCACAGGTCAGTTAAAAACTTTCTAAAGATTATATCTGCCCCTCTCTCTCTATATCTGGTTTATCTGCTTACGTTGGAACCGAACAGCTTTAATAGACAAGCTAAAACTTCTTACTGTGCTACCTGTTACACGCACTTACTCTCTGTGCTGACGTCAGTCCCATCCATCTCTCCCAACCTACCCAGATCTGAGAGATTCTCAGAGCGCCCTTCCAAGACCGCAAGGTGTGCAAGCAGGGCTTCCTCTTTGGCCTCTTTGCCCATCTCCCTCCCACCGCTCTTCTCCCATTCCCCCCTCTCCTCCCATCCCCCCCTCCCCTCATCAGATCCGAGCAGGTATGAGCACTCTCCGAGCGCCCTTCCAAGACCGTAAAGTCCGCAAGCAGGGCTTTCTCTCCAGCCTGTTTGTCCCCGGGGGCAGCAGCAGCAGCAGCGGCTCCAAGGCGTTCACTCTTGACATTCTCACCAAGTCCCAGTCCCTGGCACCGCTGCTGCTGCTGGGTAGCAGTAGAACGGGGGAGGACGGGGAGACGGGCGCTGGACCAGCTGGGGAAGGGGAGGGGAGTCTGCAGAAGGGGAGGGAGAAAGACGAGGGGGAGGGGGAGGGAGTGATGGGTATAGATCACGTGCAACAGAAGCAGCAGCAGAAGCGTCAGCAGAAGCAGCAGCAGCAGGGAGGGGGTGAAGGGAGGGGGGATGCGGCAGGGCAGGGAGGTGCAGGGAGGAGGGCATCAGGGTCAACAGACGTGGCGATTGATCGCTGGCTCGTGGTGCAGACTTTTGGATCTGGCAGCTCCCTGGATATGGCTCGGAGCAAGTGAGTACAAGCAGTGGAGTCCTGGTGATGTGTTGAATTCTGTATTTGAGTTCATCTCAGAGGAAGACGTTTGGCGCTGGCAGCTCCCTGGATATGGCTCGGAGTAGACTTGAGCATTTTACCCGGTCGGGTCGCGGGTACCTGACCCGGCCCGACATTTTGGCCGGGTCGGGTAATAGGATTTTGACGAATTACCCGGCCGGGTCGGGTGGGGTACTCGGGCCGGGTAATGCATACCCGTTACCCGAGAATTAACCGAAATGTCGGGTAATTTATTACCCGTCGGGTCGCGGGTTCCCGACCCGACTTTGGGTTTGTTACTCCGGGTTTGCTGAAATTTACAGCCACCTAGGGGTACCCGGGTAATATTACCCGACTTCGATTAAATGCGGGTCGGGTATACCTGACTCGCCAGACGGGTACCCAATTACCCGGCATTAAAATGCCGGGTCGGGTAACAGACCTCCAAACATTACCCGGAAATTACCCGACCCGACCCGACCCGGACCCGATCGCGGGTAGGGCAAAACCGGGTCGGGCCGGATAATTACCCGGTTTTGCTCATGTCTAGCTCGGAGCTAGTGAGTGCAAGCAGTGGTGTCCTGGTGATGTGTTGAATTCTGGATTTGAGTTCATCTCAGAGGAAGACGTTTGGCGCTGGCAGCTCCCTGGATATGGCTCGGAGCTAGTGAGTGCACGCAGTGGAGTCCTGGTGATGTGTTGAATTCTGTGTTTGAGTTCTTTTCGCCCCACAGGACGTACCTGTCTTTCAACCTCTCGCCAGTAGCCGGCGTCGCCACCCGAATCCTCCGCACCGCAACGGCGAAGTCATTTTTTAGGTGGCTCAAAAACAGTGGCCGGCGTGGCCACCAGAATTTTTTAGCCGCCTAAAAAATAGACTCCTCACGGCCGGCGACGCCACCAGAATCCTCCGCACTGCAACGGCGAAGTCACTCCATTCTCTCCTTCCATGTAACACCTCTCACCTTTTGAGTCAACTCAAAAGCAGACTCAAAAACCTTTTGAGTCGACTCAAAAGCAGACTCGAAAACCTTTTGAGTCGACTCAAAAGTCACTCCATTCTCTCCTTCCATGTAACACCTCTCACCCCTGCCCCTTTTCTCTCCCCCTTTCCGCCCCACAGGAGGTACCTCTCCTTCAACCTCTCCCCAGTGGCCGGCGTCGCCACCAGAATGCCCTGCAACGGCGAAGTCACTCCATTCTCCACTCCACTGCACCTTCTATCAACCACCCCTGTCTCTCTCTCTCTCCCCTCCTACCCGCTCCCACGTTCAGGAGGTACCTGTCGTTCAACCTCTCCCCAGTGGCTGGCGTGGCCACCAGAATCCTGCGCAACGGCGAAGTCACTCCCTTCTCCACCAACCACCCCTTCTCTCCACACCTCTCCTCCTCCCCCTCCGCCCACCTCCCGCCATCTGTCATCCTCGCCCCCCTCCCTGTTCCCCTCAACCTGCCCCTTCCAGTGGCTCTTTTCGGCCACTTCCTTCTCCTCCGCAACCCCGGGTCTCCCCGCTCTCTCTTCCTCTCCTCCCCCTCCTCCTATTCCTCCTCCGCCACCTCAGCATCCGCTGTTGATGTGGGACCAGGCGCCACGTCAGCAGGTGCCACGTCACCGATGGACGCGCTGATGCAGGCGTGGAACGAGGAGCTGCTGACAGGTGTCAGGGAGGCGTACATTGATTTGCTGCTTGAAATGCAGCGAATCAGAATAGGAGAATCACAGCTCGTGTCTGTATCCGGAGTGTCTGGAGTGTTGGGTGGTGTTTCTCAGCCTCAGGGGCTCAGAAGCAGCAGCAACCGGCAGCAGCATTATCAGCAGCAGCAGCCGCAGCAGAGAGGGGCGTTGTTTCCTGCTGATCAGTTCTACTCGCTCTTCCCTCGCTCTGTGATTGCTGCTCGTGCTGCTCTTCCCGGCACGTCTGCTGCTGCTTCCTCGTCTCACCCCACCTCGTCTCACCCCACCTCTTCTCACCCCATCTCTTCACATGCCACCTCCTCTCACCCTCTGTCCTCTCACCCGCTGTCCTCTCTTCCTGCCTCCTCTGAGATTGAGGCAAAAGGGCAGCCAGCAGGAGCAGCAGCAGACACAATCTCAACAGGAGATGAGCTGGCTCTGCGTGATTGGATGGTGCGACCGATGTATGCCCGCCTGGCAGAGCTGCCAGTGTGGCAGCTGCACAGCGGGGCGGCCGTCCCTGTCAGCCAGGGCATGTTCCTCGTCCCCCCCGGTAGTATCACATCCAATAGCGCTAGCACCAGCAGTGCCAGCAGCACCACTAGCCTCGCTACAAGCAGCTCCGCTATAAGCATGTCTGTTAGTGGAGCGCCGCCGGAGGCGGTGTGTGAGTTTCTGCGGGCGCACTACCGGGTCTTCAGCGTGCCGTGGGACCTGGTGGGCGAGCTGCACGCCGCCAGCGTGGCCACACAGGCACTCACACCTGGCATGCTCCGGTCGCTGCTGCGGGGACCCAACGCTGCTACAAGCTCTGTCTCTGTGAACACACAGGTGAGCCTCTTCCTCCTCTCCTTCCCCACCTGTTTCAGAGGTCTCAAGCCTTAGGGTTTAGGGTTCAGGTGCCCCTTCTGGAGGCGGTGTGTGTGTGAGTTTCTGCGGTGCGGGCGCACTACCGCGTGTTCAGCGTGCCATGGCACCTGGTGGGCGAGCTGCATGGCGCCGGCGTGGCCACCGGGGCGCTCACACCTGGCATGCTCAGATCGCTGCTCCGGGGACGCAATGCTGCAACGAGCTCCGTTCCGGTGAACACACAGGTGAGCGTGAGCGTGGTCCGAAACTTCTTCATAAGGTGAACACACAGATGGTCAGCGTGCCATGGCACCACCTGGTGGGCGAGCTGCATGTAGCTGGTGAGCGCACTCAGGCGCTCATACTGGTCATGCGGGGATTGATCTCCGCCGGGGACCCAATGCTGCGACAGACAGCTCTGTTCCTGTGAACACACAGGTGAGCCTCTTCGTCTGGTGATGGCTTTTCATTAGCTGGCGGGCGCCCAGGCACTCACACCCACCCGGCATGCTCCGACCGCTGCTGTGCGGGGCAAACGCTGCAACCACCTCCATTTCAAGAACACCCAGATCAGTGCTTCATAGTGCTTTTGAGGCGCCTCAAAAAAAGATAAGTGCTTCATAGTGCTTTTGAGGCGCCTCAAAAAAAGATAAGTGCTTCATAGTGCTTTTGAGGCGCCTCAAAAAAAGATAAGTGCTTCATAGTGCTTTTGAGGCGCCTCAAAAAAAGATAAGTGCTTCATAGTGCTTTTGAGGCGCCTCAAAAAAATATAAGTGCTTCTTAGTGCTTTTGAGGCACCTCAAAAAAAGATAAGTGCTTCATAGTGCTTTTGAGGCGCCTCAAAAAAAGATAAGTGCTTCATAGTGCTTTTGAGGCGCCTAAAAAAAAGATAAGTGCTTCATAGTGCTTTTGAGGCGCCTCAAAAAAAGATAAGTGCTTCATAGTGCTTTTGAGGCGCCTCAAAAAAGGTAAGTGCTTCTTAGTGCTTTGAGGCGCCTCAAAAAAATATAAGTGCTTCTTAGTGCTTTTGAGGCGCCTCAAAAGCATAGTGCCATAGGTGATTTTTGAGTCGACTCAAAAATCGCCTTTGAGGCGCCTCAAAAGCATAGTGCCATCGCCGTTCTTCCTGCCGGCGCTCCTGCCGCATGTTGTCGGGGAGGAGAAGGGAGACGTGGCGTTTGTGCAGTGCCCGCAGTCGTTCTACAATATTGTGAAAGGGGATCCGTTGAACGACTCGTCTCAGGTCAGGACTTGTGCAACGTGCTCCTTCCATACAGGTGTGTGCCGGTCGGTGCAAGTATGCGTGCGTGTTCAGGTGTCCTGGACCTGGAAGTGCCTGCATGTGCCCGCAGTCGTCGTTTTATAATATTGTGAAGGCGGATCCTTTGAATAACTATAGCTACACATTAGCTGCCACTCATTAGCTGCCACACATTAGCTGCCACACATTAGCTGCCACACATTAGCTGCCACACATTAGCTGCCACACATTAGCTGCCACACATTAGCTGCCACACATTAGCTGCCACACATTAGCTGCCACACATTAGCTGCCACACATTAGCTGCCACACATTAGCTGCCACACATTAGCTGCCACACATCAGCTGCCACACATCAGCTGCCACACATCAGCTGCCACACATCAGCTGCCACACATTAGCTGCCACCCAGGCGCTCACACCCGCCATGCTCCGGCCCTTGCTGTGCGGCCCCAAATGTGGCTACTGCTTCTGTTTCCGTGAACACCCTGGTGGGCTCTTTTCCTCATCTCTTTCCCTTCCCCAGTCTAGTTAATCATGCAGCGCACTCTGTCTAGTTAATCATGCAGCACACTCTGTCTAGTTAATCATGCAGCACTCTCTGTCTAGTTAATCATGCAGCACTCTCTGTCTAGTTAATCATGCAGCACTCTCTGTCTAGTTAATCATGCAGCGCACTCTGTCTAGTTAATCATGCAGCACTCTCTGTCTAGTTAATCATGCAGCACTCTCTGTCTAGTTAATCATGCAGCACACTCTGTCTAGTTAATCATGCAGCACTCTCTGTCTAGTTAATCATGCAGCACTCTCTGTCTAGTTAATCATGCAGCACACTCTGTCTAGTTAATCATGCAGCACACTCTGTCTAGTTAATCATGCAGCGCACTCTGTCTAGTTAATCATGCAGCACTCTCTGTCTAGTTAATCATGCAGCACACTCTATCTAGTTAATCATGCAGCACACTCTGTCTAGTTAATCATGCAGCACTCTCTGTCTAGTTAATCATGCAGCACTCTCTGTCTAGTTAATCATGCAGCACTCTCTGTCTAGTTAATCATGCAGCACTCTCTGTCTAGTTAATCATGCAGCACACTCTGTCTAGTTAATCATGCAGCACACTCTGTCTAGTTAATCATGCAGCACACTCTGTCTAGTTAATCATGCACCACACTCTTTCCATGCTACATGCGTGAGGAGTCTATCTTTGAGGCGCCTCAAGAATTGATTCCTTACCTCCTTTTCCCATCCCTCATCTAGTTCATCACACAACACAACACATCCTTTCCATGCCACATGGGTACGTTTGTCTATGGTGATTTTTGAGCCGACTCAAAAATCAAGAGTCGACTCAAAAATCACCTTTCCATGCCACATGCGTGCGTCTGTCTATGGTACACCACCATCTCGTTTCGCCTCACACCCCCTCTTTTTAATCTCCGCTCTTCTTTTTTTTTGCTTTCTTCCCAGGTCGACCTCTTGGTTGGAGTACTGCTGTGCCGACATTCACCTGCCTTGCCCCAACTGCACACAACACTCCCCTCCCTTACTCTCTTTCCCTCCCCTCCTTCCCCCTCCCACCCCCTCCCGCCCCCATCCTCCCCCACTTCGCAATTGCCCCTCAGGTCGACCTTTTGGAGTACTGCTGTGCCGACATTCACCTGCCCGACCCAGCGTCCTATCCCGCGCAGCCACCTGGCACCTCCTCATCCGCCGGCCTGGCTGGCAGCTCTGCCACGTCAGCAGCGCCACGTGGCGGTGCAGGATCAGCCGGAGGGGGATTCAGCATGATTCCGTTGCCCAGGGAGGTGCGAGCGCTGCTGAGGGGAGGAGGGGGAGGGGGAGGGGGAGGAGGGGGAGGAGGGACAGGGGGAGGGGGAGGAGGGACAGGGGGAGGAGGGACAGCAGAGGCATTGCTGCGAAGGCTGGAAGGTGCAAGAGCTGGGGGTTCAGGAAGGGGGGGAGCGGGGAGAGGAGGAGCAGGAGGTAGTGGTACTGCCAGCGGTGCTGGGAGTGGTGGCTTTGGCACTCGGGGAGGGTTTGCTGCTGGTGGTACTGTGAGCAGCAGTAGCAGCGGCGCAGCAGGGCATGGGGATGGCAATGGCATGCGCAGCGATGCAGATGTCTTGGCCGATCTCATGGCCCAGTTCGGCCGGTCAGTCTTTGATTTCGGGCAGAATGTTCTTGAGGAGCTCGATGCTGCCCGGGCAGGTGCAACGGGCAGTGAACAAACAAATGCAGGGCAAGTAAGAGGAGGGAGGGGAGCAGGAGGAGGAGGAGGGGAGGGAGAGGAGAGGCCTGCACTTACAGAGGAGGAGAGAAAGCGACTAGCAGCAGCAGAAGCTTCCAGGAATGCAGCAGAAGCCAAGGTTGCAGAAATGAAGGGTGTTCCCGTACCTACTGGTACAGTTTCCGACCCTGCATTCCGAGCCTTCCAATCCGAGCCTCACAGGCACGGTGGGGCAGGTGGGGGCCTGGCTAGGCTCGGGAAAGACCTCCTCATAGTTGCCACCTGGCAGGAGCAACGGCTGCTGCCGAACCTAGCGCACAGGTTCGTACACCGAACCTGCCTGACCCGATCCCTTCTTAAAGCCCTGTTTCTCCACCCGAGGTTCTGTGAGCTGCTGACGATGCAGCCATTCACGCTGCGCCACCTGGCAGACGGGCTATCTACAGTGTTCTCCCGGCAGCAGAGGGCGGAGGCTGAAGGGGAGATGGTGATCGTGTGGGGCCAGGGGGAAGGCGCGGATTTGTGTGGGGAGGAGGAGGAGGAGGAAGGGGAGGAAGGGGAGAACCAACAGCAACAGCAGCAGCAGCAGCAGCAGCAGCAGCAGCTGCAACAGAAATCGCGACTCCCAGCTACTATCACTACTGCCCGTGCTGCTACCAGTGCCAGCAGCAGCAGTCTGCACACCAGCTATAGTAACTCTTCCTTGGAGCCCCTCTCACCCGAGTGGCTTCGGGCCCTCTGGTGCCTGCTAAAACGCTCCTCTCACTCTAGAGCAACCACAACCCAGGCGAATACTGGCAGTGGTGGCAGCAGCAGCAGCGGCAGCAGGGGTCAGCAGGAGTGGGTGGAGATCTTTGAAACCTGGCCGTTGATTCCTGCGGTGACAAGTGGCTGGAGCGTATTGGTCAAGGTGGCTTTCCGGGCAGCTGTTTTCTTCCCTCCAGACGCCGGCGCCCCTCCTGCCGTGCCTCTGCCGGTGGCATCAGGGGAAGGTGGTATGCAGGGGAGGGGGAAGGGCGGGGAAGGTAGTTCGGGGGGAGGTGGTATGCAGGGTTCAGAATCTGCTGCTGCAGCAGCCGGAGGTTGGGCTGATTTTGAAGGTCAGGCTGCTGCTGCTGCTGCTGCTGCTGCTGCTGCTGCTGCTGCTGCTGGTGGCTCGTCTGCTGGGGAGGGCTCTCAAGCTGGAGCAACCAATGGCAGGCTGCCAAGTGGCAATACTGCCGATACTGCTGATTCCGCAACCAGAGGGGTTACCAGTCAGCGGACGCCGAAGCACCTGAGCGTTTCGGTTCGGCGGCTGCTGTGGAGGTTCGAGGCGCTGGAGCGGGACCACCCGTGGCTGCTCCCAGTCCTTCGGGACAGGCTCGGCATCCCGATCTTCGACCGGAGGTTCGTCGCATGCTCGGAAGCTGTCCGGTGCTGCGAGGAGGCTCGGGCAGGAGGTTCGGACAACGATCATCGCAGCCAGCTGTCCCTGCAGCAGCTGGTGCTGTCTCGGCTGCTGGCACTGCAAACTATGGATCGCCTGCCTCCCCCTGCTAATCTCTCCCTCTCTCTCACCCCGCAAGACTGCGACCATTTGGTTTCCTTCTTTGCTGCTCATGTCCGCTCGCCGTCCTCCTTTCTCCAATCCATTGCCACGAGTATCTCTTCCTCCTCGTCTCCCTCCCCCTACACCCCTCAAGAGATCACTCTTATCCGCTCTCTCCCCATCTTCAAGACTACTCTTGGGGACTTCACAGCCTTAGACCCCTCCGTGCACTGCATCGCGCCACCCGTCGCCTTCTACCAACCAAAGGACGCCACGTGTCTGCAGGACAGGGATACTCCCGAGGAGAAGGCCCTGCTGAGCTGCCTGGGAGTGAGGGTGATCGACGAGGCGGACGTTCTTGCGAAATTTGCACTGCCCGGATTCGACGGGCAGAGCGAGGAGGAGAGGGAGAGGGTGCTACAGTACGTTGTGCAAAACTGGCAGCAGCTGAAGCAGAAACCAGCGGTAGTAGACGCTCTGAAAGAGACAAAGTTTGTGATACCAGCACCCCCCACCGCTGCCTCCGCCGCGGACACTGCCTCTCTCCCCCCTTCAGACTCCTTCCCTGCTATTGCCCTCTCTGTAGCTGTAGCCACCACAGCACCTCCTACCATCTCCTCCTCCTCCTCCTCTTCCCATCCGCCAACTATCTCCCCTTCAATTCCTTCTGCCCGAGTTCGGCCATGCGATCTTCTCGATCCAGCCAATGATCTGCTCCGACAAGTTTTTGTGCACTGCCCGGAAAGGTTCCCGGGCGGGGCGTTTGAAACTTCTCGCTGGCTGCAGGTGCTGAGGGATTGCGGCCTCCAATCCGCCTTCACTCCCGATCTCTTCCTCCAATGCGCTTCCGCCGTGGAAGCGCGGTACCTCTCCTTCCTTGAATCTTCCTCTGCTGCTGCTGCCGCTGCTGCTGCTGCAGCTGCAAGCTCCGCTGCAGGCACTGCAGGGGCCACTGCTGCTGCTGGTGCTGGTGCTGGTGGCTCTGCGGTAGATTCTTTCCTGCTGTTTGGTGAGGAGGATTCACCCCAGGAAGGCGAGGCAGGGGGCTTTGTGAGCGTGGATCTGTTTTCTGGCCACGCTGGCCTTTCGGCTCCCGGAGCGCTGGGAGAAAGCGGAGGAGCAGGAGGAGCAGCAGGAGGAGGGGGAGGGGGAGGGTTTGCGTCAGCAGGGGGGCCGGTGGTGGGGGTGGAGGAGGGGCTGTGGGTGGTGGCAGGGCGGCTGACAGAGGCTCTCCTCGCCAATGTGGCGGTGGTGTTTGGCAGCAGCGCCCTGGAGTCCCTGGGGCAGATCAGGTGAGTTGGTAGAGGGAGCATGACAGAGCTTTAGGGTTAGGGTATATCAGGTGGGTCAGACCAGAAGAGCTACTGGGACCGGTGGGTGGTGGGTGGCGGGGCGGCTGACAGAGGCTCTCCTCGCCAATGTGGCGGTGGTGTTTGGGAGCAGTGCTTTGGAGTCCCTGCGGCAGATGAGGTGAGTCCCTTGTGGTGTTTGGGAGCAGTGCTTTGGAGTCCCTGCGGCAGATGAGGTGAGTCCCTTCCTTCATCCTCCTGCCTCTACTCCCTCACTCCGGCTTCCCTAAATCCCCAGGTTCGTACCAGCAGAGCAGGGCACACCAACAAGGATATAGTGGAGGGAGGGTGAAAGGGAGGGATGTAGTGGAGGGAGGGTGAAAGGGAGGGATATAGCGGAGGGGCATACCAACAGGCGGGGTGGCAGTGGACAGGGGGTGCACCGCACCTTGTGACCTCCCTTCGCCCTCCTGTTTTTTTCTTAGCTCCCTGTATTCTTTCTCCTGTGTTCGTACTTTCCCGTCGCCCCCCTCTCCCCCCTCTCTCTCCCATCAGGTTCATACCAACAGGGGAGGTGGCAGTGGACTGGCAGTGTCCTTCTTGGTCCCCCTTCTTTCGTCCTCCTGCCTCTACTCGTTCTCTTCTCCCACCCGCTCCCTCCTACCTACCCCCAGGTTCATACCAGCAGAGTGAGGCATACCAACAAGAGGGGGGGCAGCAGTGGACTGGCGGTGTCTTGCTAGCTATGCTGACTGCTTGGCGCCCGCCCCTTCCCCACTTTTGTTTCCCCAACCTACCACCCGCTCCCTAACCCCACCAGGTTCATACCAGCGGAGAGGGGCATTCCCACACGCGGGGCGGCAGTGGACCGGCAGTGTCTCTCTCTTGCTCCCTTCCTTCATTCTCCTGCTTTCTCACATTTCTGTCTTTCGCTCTCCCTACTCCCCAGGTTCATTCCAGCGGAGCGGGGCATTCCCACGGGGGGGGCGGCAGTGGACCGGCGGTGCCTTGCCAGCTATGCTGACTGCGTGGCGCCCTCTGATTGGCCGCTCGCTTGGACAGCCGTGCCCGTGCTGGCACGAGAGGCGTTCGTCCCGCCGCAGTTCACTTGGCTCAAGCTGGGGCTGAAGTCACCGCCCCCACTCACACTTGTTCTCACTCACTTAAAGGTAAGTTCCCTCACAGCAAGGGTACATATTGCTCGCCTCTGCTTGTCAACCTCTGTCAGTGATGGTGATCACTCGACTCGTCCCTTAGGCGCCTCAAAAATAGTCTCCTCACCCAGTGGCATGCCATCAATCTAGAGCATGCTCTTTTTTTTTAGGCGCCTCAAAAATAGACTCCGCACCCAGTGGCATGCAATCCATCTAGAGCATGCTCTCTCCCTCGTCTCCCTTGCAATGCCTCTGTCCTCCCTTCCGTACCAACTGGTCTTGGGTAGGGAGGAGGGGGTGAGGGGACCCCAGCCCCCGGTCGCCAAACGTGGTGGGGGGCAAGTCAGTGGAGGAATTCTTTGAGCAGATCTTCAGATTCCTCTCCTCCAACTGGGGCTCCCTCGACCCCCCCGACATCTACCCCTTAAAGCCGGTCTTCCGCGTGACCTCGTCCCAATAGCTAACCGGCAGCACCTGCCTGAAAGCCCAAGCTCTCTGTTTCTCTCCTTTCCTCCCTTGCTCTTCTCCTCCCTTCTCTCTTCCCCACCCAGGTCTTGGGTCGAGGAGGTGGGGAGGAGACCCTAGCCCGGTGGCCGAACGTGGTGGGGGGGAAGTCAGTGGAGGAAGCCTTTGAGCAGATCTTCAGATTCCTCTCCTCCAACTGGGGCTCCCTCGATTCCCCCGACATCCGCTCCTTAAAGCCCGTCTCACTCGTCCCAGTAGCCAACGGCACGCGCCTGGTCCCAGCCTCGGCTCTCTTCGCCAGGCTCGGCCCGGACCTCGCGCCGTACCTGTTCGAGCTGCCTCGGCGGTTCCTTCCATTCTCTCAGTTACTAGTAGACCTTGGGATGCACGATTCGCCCTCGCCCTCCGCCCTCTCCTCATTCCTCTCTGCCCTGCATCGGTCCTCCGGGGGTCAGAGGCTTAACCCTAATGAGCTTCGGGCTGTTTTGAACATTCTGAGGCTGGTGTGTGAAGGGGAGGAGGGGAAGGGAGGAGGGGCAGGTGGAGGAGGGAGAGGAGGGAGAGGAGGGGGTGGGGGCTTCATCTCTCCCTCTCTCCTCTCTCACGCCGTGATTCCTGATGATTCCTGTCGGCTAGTCCCGGCGCACACATGTGTGATGGTCGATCCTGCGGCTATCTTCGTAGCCAATGAAATCGACCCGCGCTGCCTGCGCCTCGCGCACCCGCTCCTGCCGCCGAGCCACGCGACGAAGCTCGGCATCCCGAGCCTGTCGCAAGTGATTGAGCAAGAACTGGACCCGAGCCTGCCGATGCAGCAATTAGGTTCGGTGGGGGCAGTCTCCCTTGGGAATGTCGCAGAGAGAATCAGCAGCAAGGAGTTTGCTACTGCTGCTTGGTCTATCTTGCACCAGTTTGCAGCAGCAGCAGCAGAATCTACTCCCTCCTCCCTCTTCTCCTCTTCCTACTCCTCCTCTACCACTCATGGCTCTTCACCCCTCTCCTCTTCCTCCTCCGCTCCCTTCTCTTTCCAAACAAGGGACCCCACTCCTCCCTCCTCCCGTGCCTCACCCTCCTTCTCCCCCGTCCAATCTCGCGATGACACGTGGCGCGCGCTGGCACGAGCAGCTCAGGGCCTGCGGTTCGTATCCTCCCTCCACACGCGGTTTGTGATCCTGCCGTCTCGTAAGGTGGTGCCACGTAGGACGCCACGCCAGCACCATCAGAATCATCTTCCTGATCCCGCGACTAGTTCAGAAACAGGTGGCTCGTCTCTAGGTGGCTCGACTAGTGAAAGTCAAGGAATGCTCGGAGGAAATATTGGCTTAAGGGACATAGGGTCTGTGGGTAGCGCTGTAGCTGCAGCAGTGGCAGCAGCAGCAGCTGCTGAAGCGAGACGAACAGACAAAGTCAGCAGCAGCAGCAGAGAAGGAGGGAGACCAACAGCAACCGGACCGGCAGGACTACCAGGAGCAGCAGCAGGAGCGATCCAGGGAGAGCTTTTCTTTGTGGACGGGCGGCAAGGCCTGGTCTTTATCTCAGCAGCATCAGCTACAGTAGCTTCTCTCCCGCATGTGCTATCTGCTGCACTCAGCCAATTTCTGGGCTCCCCAGTCTGCCTGCCCCTTGCTGCTCTCCTTGACTGTCCGCCGAACCTCCAACCGAGCCTCCGCCGAGCCTTGGCACTTGGTTCTCCTGCAGCCTTGGTCGCCGCTACGTCCGGCAGCTTTGGATCAGGTTCGGAAGCAGAAGAGGAAGGCGAGGGACGTTTGATTGCAGAGACAGCAAGCTCAGGCTCGGAACTTCAGGCTCGGTTGCCGAGCCTGGCAGCCCCGCCGAGCCTTTGGCAACAGCGGGTGGCAGCTGAAAGGGGAGGAATGCCTGGGGAGGTTGTAGCAGCTGCTGACGTGGCACTGCTACAGTGCCACCCACTGAGGCCATTCCATGCTGGGGAGGTTGTAGCGTGGAGGGAAGAGAGGGGGGGAGGAGGAGGGGGGGTGCTAGCCGGCAGGTGGTTTGGGCAGGGGCAGAGGCAGGGGGAGGGGCAGGGGCGGGTGGATGGGAAGGGAGGGGGAGGGGGAGGGGGAGGAGGAGGAATGGGCAGAGTAGGAACAGCAGAAGCAGGAGCAGAAGGAGGAGGAGCAATTGATCTTACACCTGCTTCGTCTGGCTCCACTCTGCGCTACGGCCGGGTGGTGGCGGACGTGAGAGCGACAGCAGGCCAGGCACTCTGCCGCGTGCAGGTAAGGACCCTCCTTATTCTCGGGTGGGTTGGCTCAAAGACACGTGTTTCGTCCGGCTTCACTCTGTGCTACAGCCGGGTGGTGGCGGACGTGCAGGCCACAGCAGGGCAGGCGCTCTGCCGCGTGCAGGTAAGAGACACTTTTCCGAACAAGGCTAGACTCCTGCTCTCCTCTTCTCTCCTCCTCTCTCCCTCTCTCTCCCTCTCTCTCCTCTCTCCTCCTGCTCCCCCTCTCTTCGCGATGGCAGGGTGGTGGCGCTCTGCCGTGTGCAGGTAAGAGATACCTTTCCCAAAGAGGTTCGCCTCCTGCTCTCCTGCTCTCCTGCTCTCCTGCTTTCCTGCTCTCCTGCTCTCCTGCTCTCCTTTGCTCTCCTGCACTCCTGCCCTCCTGCTCTTCTCCAATAATTTCCTGCTCTTTCCAAGGGTTTGCATTTCACAGAACTACCCTTCTCTTATGTGCCTAGTGCAAAGCTCTTCTCCTACTACCCTTCTCTCTTCTGATCCTTGCTAAAGCGTCTCCTCGTCTTGTTGTCATTCGTCCTGTTCTCCCACCTTCCGTTGATCCCTGCTGCTGGAAAACTTCCCAATGAGGTCGGCCTACTCCTTCCCTCGTCCCCCCCTCTCCTCCTCCCCTCCTCTCCTCTCCTACCCTCCTCCCCTCCTCTCCTCCTCCCCTCCTCCCCTCATCCCCTCCTCCCCTCCTCTCCTCTCCTCCCCTCCTCTCCTCCTCTCATCCTCCATCCTCCAAGAATGATGGGCTTTTTCCAATGGTTCACCTTCCACTAAGTGCTGTTCTGTTCTTTCCTCCTCGTCTCCCATGTGCGGTGATCCCTGCAGGTGGAGACCTTCCCCAACAAGGTCCGCCTGCTGCTCTCCTCCTCCATCCTCCATCCTCCATCCTCCATCCTCCATGCTCCATCCGCGCTCACAGCAACTCGCTTATTCCAAGTGTTCACAATCCACCTTCTGCTGTCCTCTTCTTTCCTGCGTGCTATTCCCCCACACTCGTTGATCCCCGCAGGTGGAGACCTTCCCCAACGAGGTCCGCCTGCTGCTCTCCTCCTCTATCCTCTCTTTCAAGTCCTCCACCTCCTCCTCCGCTTCAGCTGCAGCCGCCGCAGCAACAGCATCAGCAGAGCCTGTTCCAGCTGTCTCCTCCCCCCGCTCCTCCTCCACCCACCCCTCTGCTCTTCCTCCGTCTCCTGGTCTGGACGCTGCCAGCTCAGCAGCGGTGGCGGGATTAGAGCCACCTGGCATTGCCACATCAGCGTCGTCGGCGGTCCCGGCTGGCGAGGTGGTGCGGGCGGTGAACGACATGCTGGCAGCAGCAGGGATCCCGTTGGGCGGCGGGCAGCAGCGGCTGCTGACTCAGCTGCTGACGATGCAGGAGCAGGTGGCGGCCGTGGAGGCCGTTCTGGCACAGGAACAGGTGGGTGGTTTTGATTGGGTGGGATTGATTTGGTGGGTTTGATTGGGTGGGTTTGATTTGGTGGGTTTGATTGGGTGGGTTTGATTTGGTGGGTTTGATTGGGTGGGTTTGATTTGGTGGGTTTGATTGGGTGGGTTTGATTTGGTGGGTTTGATTGGGTGGGTTTGATTTGGTGGGTTTGATTTGGTGGGTTTGATTGGGTGGTTTGATTGGGTGGTTTGATTGGGTGGTTTGATTGGGTGGTTCATGACATCTTGGTTGCTCTGTTGTCAAATACCATATATTCCGCTCGACAGATTGTCAAATATATTTGGATTTTCAAATATATATAGATTGTCAGTCACCAGGTTAGATGGATCCCCCACTTCCCTTCCCCTACTTGCGTTTCCCTTCCCCTATTTCCCGCTCTCTTGTTTCCGCATTGCCTCTCCCTATTTTCCTTCCCCTTTATCCCTTCCCCATCCGTATCTTCCCTCCCCATTCCCATCTCCTGTTTCCTCTTCCTCCAACCTCTTGCATTTACTTCACCCCCTTGTCCGATGTCTTGTGTTCCTCTCTTACCTCCACAGGCTCGGGCGTAGCAGGCAGAGAGAAAAGCAGAGGCAGCCAAGGCGGCATGGAACTGCCACATGTGCCTCATTTCCCATCCCCTTGCGCTGTATGTTCCCTGGATCGCCCCCCCTATCCTAACACTGCAGGCTCGGGCGGAGCAGGCAGAGAGAGAAGCATAGGCAGCCAAGGCGGCCTGGAACTGCCACATCTGCCTCATTTCCCATCCCCTTGCGCTGTATGTACCCTGGATCGCCCCCCCTATCCTAACACTGCAGGCTCGGGCGGAGCAGGCAGAGAGAGAAGCAGAGGCGGCCAAGGCGGCCTGGAACTGCCACATCTGCCTCATTTCCCATCCCCTTGCGCTGTATGTACCCTGGATCGCCCCCCCTATCCTAACACTGCAGGCTCGGGCGGAGCAGGCAGAGAGAGAAGCAGAGGCGGCCAAGGCGGCCTGGAACTGCCGAATCTGCCTTGCTGCTGATGTCAGCGCCGTGCTTGTGCCATGCGGACACGTGCTGTGCGCCAGCTGTATCGCCAGCGTGCACCGGTGCCCCTTCTGCCGCTCCCACGTGGCGCAGACCGTGCGCCTGTTCAGGCCATAGGATCTACGACGTTACTGTTAATAAGGCTAGCTTTATAGCGTGCGTGTCCCACGTTGCGAAATATAAATGTACGAATGGTTGCAACCTGTATTGCCAGCATGCACAGCTGGCACTTCTGCCGCTCTCGCATGGTGCAGACCTTGCGCCTGTTATGCCATAGGATCTACGACGCTACTGTTAATTAGGCTAGCTTTATAACGTGCGTGTTACTTCGGGGTGTATAAAATATTCCTCGAGTCACAAACCCACTTCACCTGCAATGTAAGACCATTAATTTAGATGGCCAATCATTACATGCCTTGGATCAGACCACAGTTAGTGCAATACCAAACTTAACCACAGGATTGTTTGTGACTTTTAAACAGTTGCACCACACTGTATCGTGCGAGTCTGATTCAACTTCATGAGAGAAATTATTCACCTTATGCAAGCATCTTCGTTTTAACCGAAGCCAGTGGAACATATATGTAGAAAAACAATACAAGCCCCACCGTAACGGACGATCGACACCAAGAAGCACCCAAACATGCCCAGAGTCTAGCCTGTGCTGTCCAGCTTGCATTTCCATTTCCATCCATCCCCTATTGAAGTAAATCCCCTCCGTTCTTCTAATCCCAACCCACAGCCGCTCATCTCCTGCCACCCTTCTTGGCCGGAGCCTTGGACTTCTTAACAATAACGATTTCGCCCTTATCGAGGATGGGGATCTTGGACATGGTGCCCAGCGCGCCGTACCGCTGGTTGAACTTGTCCACGCGGCCAGCCTCCGTGAGAAGCGTGTTCTTGCTGCCCTGGAACAGCGGGTGGTTACCTGCACGAGCGAGACGAGCGGGGGAACGGGGGGGGGGGGGGGGGGGGGGGGGGGGGCAGGGGGGGGGAAGGGGGAGATGGGGGGAGGAGAATGGAGGGGGAACAGGAAAATGACAAAAGGTTTGAAATTGCACAAACTAACAGCCTCCGACAGCAGCGTGAAGGTGGCATGGCTGCTGAACCGGCTCGATTCTAAAACTCCATCGGGAATGTCATGGGGAATCAGAGAGAACGGATGGAATTTGAGGCGTCTCAATAACGGAGGGCGGAGCTATTGAGCGGGCGGGAGGGGGGGGAGGGGGGGGGAGAGGGGCTAGTGAGCGACAAGAGGGGGAGTAATTGAGCTTTTCGCGCACAAGCTGCATCCGTCAGGAGGGTGCTCTTGCTGCTCCTGGGAACAAGGGATAGTCTTTCAGGAAACCAAGAGGAGGAGAACGGAGGGGATTGAACGGGGCACTGTCAGTGCAGTCTGAGGGTACGTTCCGCGCTCGGGGCAAGCCTCGGGGCAAGCCTCGAGGCAGGACTTCGGAGCATCACTTATACGGACTGGATGATCCAACCTTTCAGTTTTCGCGATCTCGGCTGCATAACTGATGCCCCCCAAGTCCTGCCTCGAGGCTTGCCCCAAGCGCGGAACGTATCCTGAGTGCAGTTTGACGACTGCGGCTTCTAGTTTTGCTCTGTCATACCCTGTCCCATACATACCCGTATCGTTGCCAGTGCCATGCGTTTTCTTTCGCCATGGCTAATACACCTTGACAAAACGTCGGCCTTACCTAACCTAGCCACGAGTTGGCTTACCTAACCAGACGTCCGCGACGTATTTCTACTGCATGCCCATGGAGGTCGTCGCCTCCGCGCCATTGACGAAACGTCAGAGTAATCTCACCCGACCAGACAATAATATATCCAACCGCACCCTACCTGACCAGACGTCGACGACGTATTTCTCCTGCGTGCCCATGGTGGTCGTCACCTCCTCGCCAGAAGTTAGCCTTATATAACCACGAATTACCACCTGAGCAGACCGTACTCTATCCAACCGCACCCTACCAGACCAGACAATACTCCATCCAACCGCACCCTACCTGACCAGACGTCGACGACGTATTTCTCCTGCGTGCCCATGGTGGTCATCACCTCCTCGCCATTGCAGAACACTTTAGCCTCCTTGTAGAACTTCGGGTGGATGCCCTCCTTCTTGCACACCACGCGAGCCTCGCCGCGTTGTGCCTATGTAAACACAAGGGTTGAAAGAATAGTTGCAAAGACCCATGTGAGATTTTACTATGGGATCGACGGTATAAATAAAGTCGCCGCGGTGTGCTTGCATGCCCACCAGGCTGGAGCTAAAGGGTGTTTCTGAGAATTCTCAAAAACAGGCTGCTAAACGAATGCTCTGGAGCGAAAGCGCCTTGAAGGAACGCAAGTTAAAATAAGGTCGCGTGAAACACGGCAAGAAGTTCCAAAAAAGTCTAAGCTGCCTGGAAAAACCGGTAGCGTGGAGACTGCCACTTATACCCTCGATCTCCACCAAAGAACACAACCCTAGACTACTCCGCTCACTCACAAAACTAGTGCTAACCTGAAGGCTTTGACGGCCAGCAAAGCCAGCGGAAGTCACGGCGCCGAGTACGGACTGGCCGCAGATGGTGGCCATGGCTTAGCGGACGGATGGACTAACCGGCTGCAAGCAACTGGCAACGAAGAAGCTGGAGCGAACTCGAAAGTCGCAGCAGTGAAGCCCGAAACCTCGAGTTAGAGGAGGCCAAGGTAAGGTGCTGTGGTCAGGGCGTGAGACAAAATCTAGAGTGGAGGAATCTAGGGTTGGGAGGAAACGAGATAAGTTAGGGTGGGAAGATGAGAGAAGGTCATCCAGTAGCCCCGTTCCGCTAAGTTTTGCTAAGTACCACTTATGAAAAGAGTCACAGGGTTGCGACAGGGAAGGGGAGCGGGAGGGAAACCTCAAGTTCGGGGAATCGGGGGAGTGGTGGGGGATGAATTTCGGGTGGCGGAAGGATGAGGGGGGAGGCGCAACGGGACGGGGGTGGCTGGTTGGTTCGGCGAATGGCGCGATGGGTGGTCTGGTGGGCTGGTAGCGACGTGGCACCATTATGGCCACGTCATTAGTACTCATTCGAAACATTGGATAGGTGTGTTACGCCATCCCCGCTTCAGCTTTTCTCAACAGAACAGTGAAATTTTATATAGTTTCGATACATTCTAAGGGGGGGAACGTCTCAAAACTAAAGCCATAGAAAGGCTTCAAGGTGGATCCGTCATTTCACATCTCCAGCACGTTGACAGCATGAAAAGGGAACGCGTATTGAGGTAGCATGAAGTGCATCTAGAGATAAAAACCATGCAATGGTAGCGCACACAGCCAGTGCATATTCGCACAGCCATGACGTGCCTTTGTTGGGCACAGATGAGTGTAAAGCAGTTATCGTGTCAACGCTCTATAGCCCTGGAAGGAAGGTCAGGTCAAGCAGCAAAGCAAGATGCGACGCAAAGAGTACAGTAGTGGGAAGGGACAGAGGAGGACGGGGTGGGAGCAGGGTGCAAGGGAGAAAGGGAGGGAGAAAAATGTTGGTTACTCACTGTTCTTGCTATGCCAGGGTCATCATGACAAAAAACCAGGTCGTCTCGTACGGCGGAGAACAAGAATCACATTTAACTGACGTACAGCTGATGATTCTGACAACATCTCAGAACGGGCTTGTACAATTATGAACACAGGATGACTTACCACCACACAGCAGCGAAACCACGTGGAGCATGGTTGGTCGTCCACCAACTGCAGCGGGTGATGGCAGGTGATGGCAGAACATGTTGGCCATGGCAGGTCATGGCAGCCAATGCTGGTCAGTGCCGCCTTTGCCCCTCCTCCAGCTGAACCTCTGGCCTCAACTCTAGCAACTCCTCCACCTTACCATGCTCCTCCGCTAGAACGTTCTTCAACTCGTTAGAGTCGCACGATAGGCGCGTCCTTGGCCCCTCACACAGCAACAGCAGGTATTGCAGGTCGCACACCTCTGCCAGGTGGTTGTAGCGCACCTCTGCCTAGTCAACGCTGGTCAACGCTGGACTAACTCTGGTCAACGCTGGTCAATGCTCTTCTTTACCCTCTTCCAGCTGCACCTCTGCCCCCAAATCCACCACCTTCTCCACTTTGCCATGCACCCCCTGCAGAAAGCCTTTCAGCTCACTCGAGTCACATGAGAGCGGTGTGTCCTTGGCCCCGTCGCGCAGCAGCAGCAGGTAGTGCAGGTCGCACACCTCTGCCAGGTGGTGGTAGCACGCCTCAGCCAAGTCAATACTGGTCAACACTGATCAAGACTAGTCAATGCAGGTCAACGCTGCTCTTCACCCTCCTCCAGCTGCACCTCTTGCCCCAACTCCAACACTTTCTCCACGCGACCATGCACGTCCTCCAAGACGGTTTTTAACTCGTTAGAGTCACACGATAATGGAGTGTCTTTGGCCCCGTCGCACAGCAGCAGCAGGTAGTGCAGGTCGCACACCTCTGCCAAGTGGTGGTAGCATGCCTTGTGGAAGTCTCTGGGTCGCAGTTCAAGTACTACAGAGTTGAACGGCATGAAGATGGTGTTGGTCAGCGCTGCTCCGTGCACCGCCACGAATAACACAGCTCGATTGAACAGAGCCTTGGCTGCAAGCAGGAAAGGGAAGGAAAGGAAAGAGGAGGAGAACAGGAAGGAAGGGGATGGGAAACACGAGATGGCACAGCAGCAGGTGGTATGGTGGTCGAGCGCCTTGTGGAAATCTCTGGGTCGCATTTCAAGCACCATCGACTTGAACGGCATGAAGATGGTGTTGGTCAGCGCTGCTCCGTGCCCCGCCACGAATCGCACAGCCCGGTTGAACAGAGCCTTGGCTGGGAGCAGGGAAGGGAAGGGAAGCAGGGGAAGAAAGGCAGGGAAGGGACGGGTAGCATGAGACAGCACAGCAGCAGGAGATGGTACGCCTTGTGAACACAGCATGCAGCCACACACTTCTGCCATGTGGTGGTAGCATGCCTTGTGGACAACGTAACATACCCGCATCTCCTCCGCCTCCCCATGCTGCTCTATTGCCATACCATGCCATACCATGCCATACACTGCCCCATACCATGCCATACCCCATACAATACCATACCATGCCATACACTGCCCCATACCATGCCATACACTGCCCCATACCATGCCATACCCCATACAATACCATACCATGCCATACCCCATACAATGCCATACCATGCCATACCCCATACAATGCCATACCATGCCATACCCCATACAATGCCATACCATGCCATACCCCATACAATACCATACCATGCCATACCATGCCATACCCCATACAATGCCATAACATGCCATACCATGCCATACCCCATACAATGCCATAACATGCCATACCATGCCATACCCCATACAATGCCATACCATGCCATACCATGCCATACCCCATACAATGCCATACCATGCCATACCATGCCATACCCCATACAATGCCATAACATGCCATACCATGCCATACCCCATACAATGCCATAACATGCCATACCATGCCATACCCCATACAATGCCATAACATGCCATACCATGCCATACCCCATACAATGCCATACCATGCCATACCATGCCATACCCCATACAATGCCATAACATGTCATACCATGCCATACCCCATACAATGCCATAACATGCCATACCATGCCATACCCCATACAATGCCATACCATGCCATACCCCATACAATGCCATACCATGCCATACCCCATACAATGCCATACCATGCCATACCCCATACAATGCCATACCATGCCATACCATGCCATACCCCATACAATGCCATACCATGCCATACCCCATACAATGCCATACCATGCCATACCCCATACAATGCCATACCATGCCATACCATGCCATACCCCATACAATGCCATACCATGCCATACCATGCCATACCCCATACAATGCCATAACATGCCATACCATGCCATACCCCATACAATGCCATACCATGCCATACCATGCCCTACCATGCCCTGTCTCCCCTTCACCCCACCTCATAACACACACGCGCACAGACTCACCGTCAGCAATGCGCAGGCTGCCATCAAACACCACCACTCGCTCTCACGGGAACAGCGAACCCAACATCTCCTCCACCTCGCCGTGCTGCTCCAATGCCCGTACCACATGCTGCCTTATCACTCACCATAAGCAAATCACAGCCTGCTTTTGAGTTGACTCAAAAGCCGTGCTGCTCCAGTGCCCATACCACATGCTGCCTGAACACTCCCCGTATCCAATCATAGCCCACAAGCTTCCCCCCTGTACATAAGCTCACCGTCAGCAATGCGCAGGCTGCCATCAAATACCACCACTCGCTCTCGGGGGAACAGCGAACACAGCATCTCCTCCACCTCCGCATGCTGCTCCAGTGCCCGCGTATTGTAGCGCCTGGCTAGGATCACCACCCAGTCGGCAGGCGCACCTGGAAACACAGTAGACAACACAGTTTGGGAAATGAGACGAGGTACTAGTACACACAGCATGCACACAGCATCTCCTCCACCTCCCCATGCTGCTCTCTATTTCTCGTGCGTTGTAGCGCTCAGATAGGACCACCACCCAGTCGGCCGGAGCACCTGGAAAAACAGTGGTGGAAGTTTTTTGGGAGGTATCAGGATATATAGCATCACACACAGCATGCGTGAGCAGTCTATTTTTGAGGCGCCTCAATATCAGGACAGATCACACCACACACAGAATCTCCTCCACCTCCCCGTGCTGCTCCAGTACCCACGTGTTGTAGCGCCTGGCTAGGATCACCACCCAGTCAGCAGGCGCACCTGGAAACACAGTGGAACAAACTGATTAAAGGTATCAGAACACAGCACACAGTGTGGGATGGGAATCATGCATGCCTGGAACCACAGGGGAACGAATCCTTTCAAAGTAAAACACAGCAAACAGTGGAACACATGTGCACCTGGAAGGAAACATAGTTGAGCCTGTCTGCGTGGCGCTGTTGAGGCACAGGTCCGGTCGGGGAGGAACAAGGGGGGGCCGTCAGCAGGCAGTAGGTAGGGACAGGTGAGGAGGGCTCTAGGAATATGGGTGGGGTGGAATCTAGTTTTGAGGCGCCTCAAAAGAGGAGCACATGCCTGGACAACCCACACCAGCCTCACCGGGACACATAGTTGAGACTGGCTGCGTGGCGCTGTTGAGGCACAGGTCCAGTCCGGGAGGAGCATGGGGAGGCATACCTGAGGGAGTGTACTCCAGCCCAACCAACCCACATGCAAGACCCACCTGGGAGCACGGCAGCGTCTGTCTGCATGGCGCTGTTGATGCACGAGGTTCAGTCGGGGGAGGAGCAAGGAATATACCTGAGAGCACAACCCACATGCAGGACGCACCTGGGAGCACGGCAGAGTCTGTGGGCATGGCGCTGTTGACGCACAAGGTCTAGTCTGAGAGGAACATGGGGAGGCCGTCCGGAGGGAGCAGGAGGAGCCGGCTCGACCCGCTGGAAGCACCTTGAACTGCCTCAAACGCACCAGCAAACACAGCTGAGTCTGTGTGCATAGGCGCTGTTGATGCGCGAGGTCCAGTCAGGGGAGGAGCAAGGAGGAGGGAATATACCTGAGAGCAGAGCACAACCCACATGCAGGACTCACCTGGGAAGATGGCAGAGTCTGTCTGCATGGCGCTGTTGATGCGCGGGTTCCAGTCGGGGAGGAACAAGGGGAGGCCCTTGGGAAGCAGCAGATGGAGAGCAGTGAGGCCTGTGGGGAGATTGTGAACTGCATGTGAATTTGAAGGATGCAAGACCCACCTGGGAAGATGGCAGAGTCTGCCTGCATGGCGCTGTTGATGCGCGGGGTCCAGTCGGGGAGGAACATGGGGAGGCCGTCCGCAGGCAGCAGGTAGAGCCGACGGAAGTGACGCCAGAGCGAGCGACTGGGCCGCCCACACCACTGGTAGTAGGGCTGTTGTGGGGGGGGGGGGGGAAGGGGGCGAAGGGGAATGGGTGGGGGAAGCGCACCAGGTGGGTATGAGCGGTGGCACGACAGGGCCAGGCATAGTTTAAGTCGACTCCAAGCCCGTCTGGAGGCAGCAGGTAGAGACAACGAAGGGCGCCAGAGAGGGCGACTTGGCTGCCAACGCCACTGGTAGTAGGCGTGACGGAGGGAAAAGGAGGGGTGAGAAGGGATTGAGGAGGGTGCTAAGGGATGCAAAAAGGAAGAATGAGAGAGGGATTGAGGAGGACGGGGTGAGGGAGGGAGGGGTGCGGTCCAAGATGGCGTAACGCCAGAGCGAAGGTGTTGTGTGACCTTGTAACGAGGTGACTTTAGAGTCGACTCAAAAGTCACCTCGTTGAGGAGGAGGGGGTGAGGGAGGGAGGGGTGCACTCCCAGATGGTGTAACGCCGGAGCGAACAACGGGGCCCACATCCCCAGCGTGAGAGGGGATAGGACCAGAAAGGGTGCAAGGGCGTGGCTGCAGCGCCTGGTGGGCAAAAAACACCTCAGCAGCATCCGCTTTTGAGTCGACTCAAAAGCAGCGCCTGGTGGGCAAAAAACACCTGCATCCGGCACCACCCTCAGGCTCGCCCATGTGCACCATGCGCAGCCTGGATTAGAACGTGATGCATACAAGGCCATACCCACACCCAAGCATGAGGCCATACCTGCAGCACCTGGTATGCGAAGAAGACCTCATTGTCCAGCACCACCCTCAGGTGCATGTGCACCATGCCCAGCCTGATATGGGAGCCTAACTCGCATACGTGGCACAATGCCTTGGGCACACATTGCCGTACCTGCAGCACTTGATGCGCGAAGAAGACCTCATCATCAGGAACAACCCGCAGGTGCATGTGCACCATGTCCAGCCCGATGGAGAACGTGCCCAGCTTCTCCAAAAAGTCCATCTGCAGGTACTGCACTGCCATGGGCAGCACTGAGGCCCCTCAAACCGCCGCCTCGAGTCTTTTGACGCGTGTCAAGGGAAGAAGGGGCGTACCTGAAGCACCTGGTGCGCGAAGAAGACCTCGTCGTCCGGCACCACGCGCAGGTGCATGTGCACCGTGTCCAGCCCGATGAAGAACGTGCCCAGCTTCTCGAGGAAGTCCATCTGCAGGTACTGCACCGCCATGGGCAGCGAGCGCACGAGGTGCGGCGCCTTGGAGAGCATGAAGAAGACGGGCACCAGCTCCAGGATGCCGTGGTAGAACTGGTACGCGTTCCAGTGGGCCAGGTTGATTATCTTGTCATATACTGTTACACGTATTCCCTCGGGTATGTCGAACTGTTACACGGTGATGGAAAAAACGAAGGCAGGCAGGGAGGGAGGGAAGGGAGGGCAGGAACGGAAGGGGAAGGGGAGGGGAGAGAAGGCATGGGAGAGGGGAGAGGGAGTGAGAACAGCAAGGCGCCTTGGAGAGCATGGGGAAGACGGGCACGAGCTCGAGGATGCCGTGGTAGAGCTGGTACGCGCTCCAGTGCGCCGCGTTGACTGTGCGGTCGTAGACGGTGACCCCAGGTTCCCTCGGGAATGTTGAACTGCCTCATGGTGATAGCATGAGGGGAGGGAAGGGAGCGTAGGGGAGGGAAGGGAGCGTAGGGGAGGGAAGGGAGCGTAGGGGAGGGAAGGGAGCGTAGGGGAGGAAAGGGAGCATGGTTACATTACATCTCCTCCTTGTGCTCAGACATGGCTACATCTCACCTTGTGCGCAGACATGGCTACATCTCACCTTGTGCGCAGACATGGTTACATCTCACCTTGTGCGCAGACATGGCTACATCTCACCTTGTGCGCAGACATGGTTACATCTCACCTTGTGCGCAGACATTGCTACATCTCACCTTGTGCCCAGACATGATTACATCTCACCTTGTGCGCAGACATGGTTACATCTCACCTTGTGCGCAGACATGGTTACATCTCACCTTGTGCGCAGACATGGCTACATCTCACCTTGTGCGCAGACATGATTACATCTCACCTTGTGCGCAGACATGATTACATCTCACCTTGTGCGCAGACATGGTTACATCTCACCTTGTGCGCAGACATGGTTACATCTCACCTTGTGCGCAGACATGGCTACATCTCACCTTGTGCGCAGACATGATTACATCTCACCTTGTGCGCAGACATGGTTACATCTCACGTTGTGCGCAGACATGGCTACATCTCACCTTGTGCGCAGACATGGTTACATCTCACCTTGTGCGCAGACATGGTTACATCTCACCTTGTGCGCAGACATGGTTACATCTCACCTTGTGCGCAGACATGGTTACATCTCACCTTGTGCGCAGACATGGCTACATCTCACCTTGTGCGCAGACATGGTTACATCTCACCTTGTGCGCAGACATTGCTACATCTCACCTTGTGCGCAGACATGGCTACATCTCACCTTGTGCGCAGACATGGTTACATCTCACCTTGTGCGCAGACATGGTTACATCTCACCTTGTGCGCAGACATGGTTACATCTCACCTTGTGCGCAGACATGGCTACATCTCACCTTGTGCGCAGACATGGTTACATCTCACCTTGTGCGCAGACATTGCTACATCTCACCTTGTGCGCAGACATGATTACATCTCACCTTGTGCGCAGACATGGTTACATCTCACCTTGTGCGCAGACATGGCTACATCTCACCTTGTGCGCAGACATGGCTACATCTCACCTTGTGCGCAGACATGATTACATCTCACCTTGTGCGCAGACATGATTACATCTCACCTTGTGCGCAGACATGGTTACATCTCACCTTGTGCGCAGACATGGTTACATCTCACGTTGTGCGCAGACATGGCTACATCTCACCTTGTGCGCAGACATGGTTACATCTCACCTTGTGCTCAGACATGGCTACATCTCACCTTGTGCGCAGACATGGTTACATCTCACCTTGTGCGCAGACATGGTTACATCTCACCTTGTGCGCAGACATGGCTACATCTCACCTTGTGCGCAGACATGGTTACATCTCACCTTGTGCGCAGACATGGCTACATCTCACCTTGTGCGCAGACATGGTTACATCTCACCTTGTGCGCAGACATGGTTACATCTCACCTTGTGCGCAGACATGGCTACATCTCACCTTGTGCGCAGACATGGTTACATCTCACCTTGTGCGCAGACATGGCTACATCTCACCTTGTGCGCAGACATGACTACATCTCACCTTGTGCGCAGACATGGCTACATCTCACCTTGTGCGCAGACATGGTTACATCTCACCTTGTGCGCAGACGTGGCTACATCTCACCCTGTGCGCAGACATGGTTACATCTCACCTTGTGCTCGCTGCCGCAGCCGTTCCGGTCGTAGAGGAAAGAGTCGTTGAACGCCTGGCCGCGCGAGTTGAAATACACGTGGCGCAGATTAAACATCTGGCTCACCCACGCAAAGTGCGGAATGTCGTCTTCCGAGTGCGAGCAGTTCGGATCGAACACTATCCTAACCGGCTTGACATTCAGCGGGGAATCCACCAAAACCTTCTTTATTCGCGGGCAGTTCAGCGGCGCCAAGGCTGCCCGGCGACTCAAATCCTCCATATCGGGACAATAGCACGCATCCACCGCGGTAAAATTCCCAGAGCATTGCTGAAAATCCGGGCACTCCCCACCCTTGCACCTAATATGCAGATCGTCCGTTTGCTGGTGCGACTGGTTGTGGTAGTCTAAGAACACGTGGTGGAGCGACTCCATTCGGTATCGCGTAGTTAGATTCTCGGACCGCAGGGAGCCCTCCGCGCGGAGGTACTCGCGGAGATTATTCTTCCCCGGACCCAGCTTCCGCACCAGCCGCTCCTTCCAGCGCTTTCTGCGAGAAAATGCACCGGCGCGCGCATCGCTCGATATAAGCTTTCTGCGGGGGAGGGTACCGCGCGCATCGCCCGAGATGAGCTTTCTGCGGGGGACTGAACCGCGCGCCGCATCGCCTGATTCTTCCCCGTCTAGCCTCCACGGAGCCACGTCACCATCTGGCGTCCTCGGCGCCACGTCATCATCCTCGTCTAGGTTCCACGGAGCCACGTAATCGTCCTCATCCGGAATCAATGAATCGGACGGACGAAAGTCGCGGGACGGATGGAGACTAACGGTGGAGCCTGGGAACGATGCTGGCGACGGAACGGCAGCATGAGAGATTCTCGAAGGAAAGGCATTATGAAACTTCGTCGAAGAAACGGCATTATGAAATTTCGTCGAGGGGGACACCGATGCGGCTGCGAAAGAGAGTAGCAGCGCGCCGATGACAGCTGCGATCTGGAAATGGAGGAAGGATCGGATTCGGTGCGAGGTGAGACAAATTCGGTGAGGGGAGAGTCGACTCCGGTGTGAGGTGAGAGGAATCCGGCACGGAAACGGAGGAGACGCCGGCCATGGAACGGAGAAACGCTGCGACGACGCTGCTCCGGCCATGGTGCACCTGACAGCGTCTCGAGTTGAAAGGTTACACGACACGAAAGAGTGCTTACAATGTAGGTACTGGGGAGATTACTAAGAAGTGGGTTGTATCAAAAGAAACGCTGACTTGAAGCTGTATTGGTGAGCTAGCATCTGATCAGCTCCTGTCATTGGAGCAAGCAAATATGAGAAGTGGAGAGAGACAACCAACAAAAGCTCGTGTTCTCAGTCGCGTTTAGATTTCTTTTGAAATCTAGTAACTCCGAGCCACCTTTCTCGGGCTAAAACCTAAAGGCGAAACTCTTCACGAAGACGGCGACACCGTAACCGTCCAAAGACTCGATTTTTGAAGCGAACTGAACATAGAATACACGCCTCAGCGCATAGTGTTCTCCTCCCCAGTCCCGATGGAACTGGCAGAAGACCTCAATGGTCTGTAGAAGCTACAGTGACCTGCGAAGATGCCTTGCGTCGAGGCCGGATCTGACAGGCGGCGGAAAGCTGACCACCAGGTGAACCAAGTGGCGGATCAGGTGGAGGTAAACCCGAGGGACCAGCCGACATCACATCAGACTACACCACAATGTATAATGTCTTATGGTTGAGAATACATTTCTTTTCTTTGAAGCATGTTTGAACAAGGCATGCTCTAGGGTTGCTTATCCAGACCATTGCGAACTCACATTTTGGAGATGGGCACGTGTCTAAAAGCGATCCACATGTGCACCATCACCAAATGTGCCTACCTACCATGGCCGCCTGCCATCGTTGGTGCAAGAACTGATTTCCAGACACAATTCACACATACAAAAACTGTGTGCAAGGAGTGTGCCTTTGAGACGCCTCTAAGGCATATTTCTACCTACCACCCCCCCCTGCCACCCCAAGGGCAACATCGCTTCCTTCGCCTTCCGAGCCAACCTCTTCTCCCTCCTCACTTTCCTCCTCTCCAATTCCCTCATCGTTCTCCCCAACCACCCCACCCTTCTTACCCTCCCCTTCCTCCCTCCTCCCCCCACCCATCCTCTCCCTGATCCCCTCCTCCAACTCCCTCGCCACTTCCACATTCTCCTTCAGAAACTTCCTTGCACCTTCCTTCCCCTGCCCAATCACTTCGCCGCCCTTTTTATACCAAGCACCAGAAAGGGTAAGTAGCCCCTCTCTTACTCCCAGGTCTAGCAGCTCGCCCTGCTTAGATATGCCGTGGCCAAACTCGAGGTCGAACTCTGCCGTGCGAAAGGGAGGGGCCAGCTTGTTCTTGTTGACTGTAACACGCACACGGTTACCAACAACCTGAGAACGGAGAGGTAAGGGTGCAGAGGCGGGCAGGGGAGGAGGTGGTGGAGAGCGGATGGCAGCAAGGGAAGGAAGATGGTGAGTGGCCCTTCTCTCACCCCTAGGTCGAACATATCCCTATTTCCCCCCTGGAGGGGAATGGGTGGAAGAGGGATATGTGAGGAAGAGAGAGGAAGAGAAGGGGAAGGAGGACCATAACCAGCCACACTGTCCCCCCAAGGCCTAAGAACTCGCCTTGCCTTGATATGCCCCGGCCAACTCAAGGCCGAATTCCGCCGTGTTATAACTAAGCATTCCTATCAGGTAATATATTCGTAGAAACGTTGAGTGACTCGATGAGCGATCGCGCGAAAAAAGGCTTCTTAGGTGCGAAGCGAAAACACGTCAAAACAAAACGAAGACTTGGACTAAGCCCCCATGCTGCGCAGCTGTCTTGATGTGCGGCCGCAGAGAGGCGTGGAACTTGAGTGGAGTGGACCGCCCCCAGATGTGCCACTCGCTGAAGGGACTCCCACACCCGAGTGAGGCAGCGTGTTTGCGAGGCGAACCCACCTTTTCCTCTGTTTCAGCTGCGCAGCTCTCTTGATGTGCGGCTGCAGAGAGGTGTGGAACTTGAGTGGAGTGGATCGCCCCCAGATGTGCCACTCCCTCAAGGGACTCTCACACCTGAGTGCTGTAGCGCTGCTGCCCCACACTCTCAATGTGCAGCCGCAGGGATGCGTAGAACCTGAGCACATTGCCCCCAGACGTGCTAGCTACTCCCTCAAGGGTGGTTGAGCGATGAACCCACCTTCTCTCCCTGCTTCAGCTGCCCCACTCTCTTGATGTGCAGCCGCAACGAGGCGTAGAATTTAAGAGCATTGCCCCCAGACGTCACCTCCACTGGCATCCCCATGCCCGGGCCCCCCATCGCAAGCTTCGACCGGACCTGCACACAAAGATAGGGGAGACGGAAGGGGAAAGAGAGGGAAGGGGAAAGAGAGGGAAGGGGAAAGAAGAGGGAAGGGGAAAGAGAGGGAAGGGGAAAGAGAGGGAGGGGGAAAGAGAGGGAAGGGGAAAGAGAGGGAAGGGGAAAGAGAGGGAAGGGGAAAGAGAGGGAAGGGGAAAGAGAGGGAAGGGGAAAGAGAGGGAAGGGGAAAGAGAGGGAGGGGGAAAGAGAGGGAAGGGGAAAGAGAGGGAAGGGGAAAGAGAGGGAAGGGGAAAGAGAGGGAAGGGGAAAGAGAGGGAAGGGGAAAGAGAGGGAAGGGGAAAGAGACGGAAGAAGCAGAGAAATAGGGTTTCGGGTTCAGGTGGCTAAAATTAGCAGCCCCGGACGTCACCTCAACCGGCATTCTGATGCCCAGTCCCCCCCTTTCGAGCTTCGAGCGCACCTGCTCACAGCCATGGCCCAGTTTTGAAGCGCCTCAAAACCACGCACCTGCTCACAGCCATGGCATAGTTTTGAGGCGCCTCAAAACCACGCACCTGCTCACAGCCATGGCACAGTTTTGAGGCGCCTCAAAACCACACACCTGCTCACAGCCATGGCACAGTTTTGAGGCGCCTCAAAACCACGCACCTGCTCACAGTCATGGCACAGTGTTGAGGCGCCTCAAAACCACGCACCTGCTCACAGCCATGGCACAGTTTTGAAGCGCCTCAAAACCACGCACCTGCTCACAGCCATGGCACAGTTTTGAGGCGCCTCAAAACCACGCACCTGCTCACAGCCATGGCACAGCTTTGAGGCGCCTCAAAACCACGCACCTGCTCACAGCCATGGCACAGTTTTGAGGCGCCTCAAAACCACGCACCTGCTCACAGCCATGGCACGGTTTTGAGGCGCCTCAAAACCACGCACCTGCTCACAGCCATGGCACAGCTTTGAGGCGCCTCAAAACCACGCACCTGCTCACAGCCATGGCACGGTTTTGAGGCGCCTCAAAACCACGCACCTGCTCACAGCCATGGCACAGCTTTGAGGCGCCTCAAAACCACGCACCTGCTCACAGCTATGGCACAGTTTTGAGGCGCCTCAAAACCACGCACCTGCTCACAGCCATGGCACAGCTTTGAGGCGCCTCAAAACCACGCACCTGCTCACAGCCATGGCACAGTTTTGAGGCGCCTCAAAACCACGCACCTGCTCACAGCCATGGCACAGTTTTGAGGCGCCTCAAAACCACGCACCTGCTCACAGCCACAGCACGGGGGGGAGAAAGGGGGAGAAATGGGGGGAAGGGGGGGAAGGGGGGGAAGGGGGGAGGTAGAGGTGGGGGGACGGGAGGGATTTTGGAGAGTAGCACTCACTTGCCCCCAGATGTCACCTCCACCAAAATACAGGATTCTGCTGCACTGGCATGGTTTACAAATATGACCACTGCCTGCGCACAACTCAGCACCCCTGACAGCTCCCTCAGCTCCTTGCGAGAGATGTTTGGGAATTCTCAAAATTCTCAGACTTCTCAAAAACAACTCAGCACCCCTGATGGCTTCCTCAGCTCCTGAGATACCATCCTGCACCACCTGCAGATGATGTCTCAAGTGCCAACACCATGCGGTATAATACACACATTCATCCACTGAGGCATGCATGCAGGGCTATACCCATACCCCACTGCATGCGCCCACCTGGTTCGGCAGGGTGTTTTTGAGTTTTCTCAGAATCGAGGCATGTAGTGGTATGGCAGTGGCCCATACCCCACTGCATGTGCCCACCTGGTTCGGCAGGGTGTTGTTGAGATTTCTCAAAACCACCCTGCAAAATCGAGGCATGCAGCGCTATGGCGGTGGCCCATACCCTACTGCTTGTGCCCATCTGGTTCACGAAGACCAGAACTGCCTGTGCACGGGCAGTTGAGAGCCCCCGATAGCTTCCTTCCTCAACGTGAGGAGTCTATTTTTGAGGCGCCTCAAAAACAGTTGAGCGCCCCCGATCGCTTCCTTCCTCAATGCCTGAGACACCATCTTGGCCTGGAGCGCTACGAAGGAGACCCATACCCATACCCATACCCATACCCATACCCATACCCATACCCATACCCATACCCATACCCCACGAGCAGTGCGCACCTGGTTGACGAATATGACCACCACCTGTGCGTGGTTGAGCGCCCCTGACAGCTTCCTCAGCGCCTGAGACATCATCCTGGCCTGCAGGGCTGTATTATTATCTCACCTCACCATGCCTCGCCATGCCTCGCCATGCCTCGCCATGCCTCACAATGACCATGCCTCACCATGCCTCGCCATGCCTCACCATGCCTCACCATGCCTCGCCATGCCTGGCCATGCCTCGCCATGCCTCACCATGCCTCACCATGCCTCGCCACGCTCGAAAGCACGCACCTGGTTGACGAAGATCAGCACGGCTTGTGCGCGGTTGAGCGCCCCTGACAGCTTCCTCAGCGCCTGAGACATCATCCTGGCCTGCAGGGCGATGAACGAGTCGCCCATCTCGCCCTCCAGCTCCGCCTGGGGCACCAGCGCTGCGACCTGCAGTGATGGTGGTGGGCGGGGAGAGGTGAGGGGAACGGAAACGAGAGTCTATTTTTGAGGCGCCTCAAAAATAGACTCCACCTGCAGTGATGGTGGTGGGTGGGGAGAGGTGCGCGTGAGGGGAAACGAGAGGTACGGAATAAATCTCGCAAAGCCGTACAGGTCAGAAAGGCAATGTGAAAATCAATTCAACGCCCTCAATTAACTTGCTTTGTCCCATGGAAACTCACTCTGCCCCCCACCATGAGTCTGCTTTTGAGTCAACTCAGCAAGAGGTACCCACCACCATGACACCATGCGTGACAGACACTGCTGACGGTCTGGTCCACGAGAAAAAGGCTGTCTCCCCATTCTCAGGCTCTGGGACTGGACCCGAACCAGATCCGAAACTCTAGACCCTGATCCCATTGGGCATCCCAGCCATGTCCACTCCCAGGGCCTTGAACCCTAGACCCTGATCCCAGACCCAAAACCCTACCATGCTCACACACACACACTATCGACCGCTATCGTGTCGTAGGCACATGGTAGGGTTTCGGGTAGGGTAGGGGTTTGCCACTGTAGCATGCTCCCTCCCACAATATCGACCGCATTCGTGTCGTAGGCGCCACTCCTGACGTTCTGATCCTTGAGAGCAAGGGCCGTCTCGCCACTGTCGGGCTGAGACCCATGCCGCCCATGCCACCCATGCCGCCCATGCCACCCATGCCACCCATGCCACCCATGCCACCCATGCCACCTATGTCCACTCGAAGGGCCTTAAACCCGAAACCTCCACCACTCGCACTGTCGACCACTATCACATCGTAGGCACCGCTCCTAACGTTCTGGTCCACGAGAGCGAGGCCCGTCTCCCCGCTGTCAGGCTGAGAGAGGTGCATGCCAACCATGTCCACTCCCAGTGCCTTAAACCTTACACCCGAAACCTTGAACCCAAACCTTTAACACTCACACTGTCTACCACAATGACATCATAAGCCCCGCTCCTGACGTTCTGGTCCACGAGAGCAAGGCCCGTCTCCCCGCTGTCAGGCTGAGAGAGGTGCATGCCAACCATGTCCACTCCCAGTGCCTTAAACCCTACACCCGAAACCTTGAACCCAAACCTTTAACACTCACACTGTCTACCACAATGACATCATAAGCCCCGCTCCTGACGTTCTGGTCCACGAGAGCAAGGCCCGTCTCCCCGCTGTCAGGCTGAGAGAGGTGCATGCCAACCATGTCCACTCCCAGTGCCTTAAACCCTACACCCGAAACCTTGAACCCAAACCTTTAACACTCACACTGTCTACCACAATGACATCATAAGCCCCGCTCCTGACGTTCTGGTCCACGAGAGCGAGGCCCGTCTCCCCGCTGTCAGGCTGAGAGAGGTGCATGCGAGTCATATCCACCCCTAGAGCCTTGGCCAGATCGACGTCCAATGAGTGCTCTGCGTCAACAAAGTAGGCCGCGCCTGCAGGTGGAGTTTATAGTGGGGTTTAAGGAAAGGGGGACAGTGAGGCAAGAAATGCAAGGGAGGAGGCAGAGAGTGGCAAGAGGTGCATTCCGCATGTGAGACACGTCCACCCCACTCCTCCGAGTGCCTTGTGCGTTGACTCAAAAGTCACTCCCAGAGCGTTTGGCCAGTTCCAGCCAGCAGTCCGCATCAACAAAGTAGGCCACTCCTGGAGTTGGAGTTATTAAGAGGCAAAAGGGAAGAGGCAGAAGAAGGCGCGAGAGGGAAGGAGATGCTTTTATTTCAAGCCGTGTCCACTCCCACAGCCTGCGCTGTGTACCAGATGCCTCTCTCACCACGTGCAGTGCAGTGCCAGGCGCGCGCGCGCGCGCACACACACATACACACACAGCTCACTCACCTCCTCGCTTCTGCGCCTCTGCCACCCCGTGCAGGGCCAGGCCAGCATTGTCTTGCCCGTTGCCCTCGTTACAGTCACACAAAGTCCTCAAACTCAAGAAGCACACACCCTCCTAACAACTGTGTGCAGAAGTGCACACGCCCCTACCTCCTCGCTCTGTGCCTCTGCCACCCACCACGTGCAACACCACAGTTGTCTCGCCCGTTGTCTTCACTGCAGCCATCCACCCATGCAACGATGCAGCCATGCAACCAACCACACACACCTCACTCACCTCCCCTCTTCTGCGCCTCTGCCACCACGTGCAGTGCCAGGGTTGTCTTGCCCGTTGCCTCAGGCCCATAAATCTCCACCACTCGGCCCTAGGGAAAGTCAAAGAAACAACAGCAAGTGAGCAGGTTAGAGATAAGAACAATGAATCAGATCTCCACGGCTTGCTCTTGAAAAGACAGGCTGATTTCCACCATCTGTACTAAAAGGCTTGGAGCAAGAAACACGAAAAATAACAGATTGGGGGGGGGGGGGGGGTTGGATAGGGAAACGCAAGAACAAGTGGTTGGTTGGTCGGGAAACATGACTCACATAATGGATTCCCGTTGAGGGCTCCCGAGGGCGAAGAATTAGCCTGGGCAACCCTCAGGACCAACAAAGGGCCACATCCAAAGGGTCGATTTTTGAGTCGACTCAAAAATCCGTGTGTAATGAGTTGATTTTTGTGTAATGAGTCGATTTTTGAGTCGACTCAAAAATCGACTCATTACACATGGATTAGCCTGGGGAACCCTCAGGACCAACAAAGGGCCACATCCAAAGAAACGGACATGAACCAGAGCAGAGAAAATGAAGGACCACCACCACTGGTGGTGGTCTGCAGATTCTCCACCACTGCTCAGAACTAGCAAGACTTGATTCCTTGTAAGCTTGCCCACAAACTCTCACACAAGAAATGGAGTGGCAGACTCTCACCCGAGGGAACCCCCCAATCCCCAGAGCAGCATCGAGAGCTATAGAGCCTGAGGGAATGACTGGGACTCGGCGGGCGGCAAGGTCAGCATCAGTGCCGCCCAAAACCATCACTGCCTCCCGCCCAAACTTGGCCCTGAGCTGGAGGGATGTGTGGGGAAAGTGGTGCGGGGAGAGAGGAGAAAGGGAAAAGGGGCGGCGTAAGCAAGGCACCAAGGGGGGTTTCGGGTTTTGTGTGGTGGAGCTTGAGGGGATGGCTGGCAGAGTCAGCACCGGTGCCGCCCGAAACCATCACTGCTTCCCGCCCAAACTTGGCCCGGAGCTGCAGTGGTGGGCAGTGGGGGAGAATGAGAAAGGGGAGATTGGGGCTTGTATAAGGGGGCCTGAGGCGATGACTGGCATGAAATGAGTGCCGCCCAGAACAATCAGTGCCGCCCAGAACCATCACTGCCTCGCGCCCAAACTTGGCTCGGAGCTGAAAATGTGTGTGGGGGGGGGAAGACGAATGAGGAAGGGGTTTTTGGGTTCCGTGTAATGGAGGCTGGGGGGACGACTGGCACCACTGCCTCCCAAAACCATCAGTGCCGCCCAGAACCATCACTGCCTCTACCCAAACTTGGCTCGGAGCGGAAGGGGTGTGGTGAGGGGTGAAGGGGGGGGGGGGGGGGGGGGGGCGTGAGAGAGCGTGTGGAATGGGTGAAGGGGGAGAAGCGCTTGGAAAGGGGAAACATCGAAAAGGAGAGAAAGGGGAGTGGAATAAATAGATCATGTGTCAGCACAACTCAAGCCTCCATCCCTGCGCTACTGCTTACTCGAGCAGCTGTTGCTTCCTCTTGATCGCGTGCTAACCCATATCACATCGCATGCATGCATGAATGCCCACGCAACCCCCTCCATACCTGCGCTACTGCTTGCTCTAACAGCTGCTGCTTCCTCGTAATTCGTTCCTCCTCACTCTCCCCCTCCACCTTTCTCCCTGCCACCTTCCCTCCTCCTCTCCCTGCCCCCCCTTCTCTCTCCTCCTCCCTGCTGTGCTGCGCTGCCGCCTTGCTGCTGCGACGACCTGCACACAAAAGATCGTGAGAGCGTGAGCATGTAATGTCGCAGGAACAACGGGATGTGCGTGGTCTGATCTCTCTTGAGTCGACTCAAAATGAGCATGGAATGGCACAGGAGCAACGGGATGTGCGTGGTCTGATCTCTCTCCTCCTCCCTGCTCTGCTGCCTTGCCACTGCCTGTAACGGCTAGAAAGGGAACGTTATCGGTAAACACACCCGTGCAGTGCAGTCAAAGAGACATTTACATCACGAGTTCACGTGCAAATACAGAGAAGATGAGAAGTTGAGGAGATATCCACGCCAAAACTGGAAGTGTTTAGTATTGACGAACAGGATTCAGTATGAGTTGAGCCGATACAGAATCAGTGGCACATTGAGTTACAACACACGCAACTACGATCCACCTCACCTTTCCCTAGCAACCCTCAGCCCGTTTTCGAATCCGTTCATTCTGGATCGGTAAGGTATCCGCCTTACCGTTTGCTGTGCTGTATCACCATTAATTCCGCTTATCCTGAAACCACCACCAGCACCAGCCGCATCCGTGGCATCAGTAGCCGGACCAATCCCACACTTGATCATTATCCGTCTCACCTTTTGCTGTACTGAATCTGGCAACCAACTGCCCGCCATCGAATCCGCTCGTTCTGATACCACCACCACCACCACCACCACCAGCCGGATCTGTCCCCGTCCGAACCGAGCCATACAGTTGAACCGAAGCAGCAACCGGGCCTGCTGTGGCACGAGGTGCCGAACCTAGAGGTTCGGCAGCAGCCCAGTGACGAGGCTTGCAGAGCGTCTCGGGATTCGCCAAACTCCAGGGTTGGTAGCGCTGTTTCTTGCTACTGTCCACGTCAGATATTGTCGTGGCCACGTCAGCAGCTTTGTTGGATAAAACCTGTGAGTCCAGACTCAAACTGCTGGTAACCACAGGGGTGCTGGTGGTGTTGCGTCTGCCGGTTTGCCTTGTAACATTGTTACAAATGAGCCCGTTGTCGTAGCTGCTGATGAAGATGTCGGACCCCAAAGGGCCACGTGTACCATCTAGCCTCCATGCCGAAGTCTGCCACGTGTTTCGTAAGAATTGGCTGGCCCTTCTGCCAGAAAGTCGCCGAGGGAAAACGCCAAGACCAGCCATGAACCTACGGAATTTGCTGTCGTTCGGCTCGTATGAGATAGCTAAGCGATGCTGTTAGGATCGCTGATACATCCCAAACGAGATCGGGGCCGTGCGGCGAATGCGCGTGCCACGTCTCTACTTTCCGCGCAACGTTTCTAGTTTCGCCTAAGTAGGCGAAGTTCTGTCGGGATTGCCAGCAGCAGCCGCAAGCTCGGAGGCCAGAGAGCGCGAAACCCGGAAACGAGGACGCTGCGAAGGGCGGATCTGGATAGACGAGGCAATCGAACGGACTGGCAAAGCCAGCAAGGGCTTGAATGCGAAGGAGGAAGGTCTTATTGGCTGAAGATTTGAGATGCGCTTTGGATGGCGTCCTGGTGACGACATAAGCTCTGATTACTAAACATTTGTACTGAAACAAAAACATATTTCAAATCTCGTGTTAGAGGAATGACGCCCATTCTGGGGTCGATTTCGCCCAATTCGTGCGGATTGTAGTAACCAGGTGTTTTGCGAATTCGTCACCTCGAAAGCTTCCCGCAATGACTGCACGGCGCAATTCGTCAAATCCGAGGAGCCGTTCGCTGGCCAATTTTTCTCCGGCATGGCAAGGGAAATCAAGCATGTGGAACATCGATCTAGGCTTCGTGGGTTCGCCGAACCTAATTTGAGAACCATGACATCAGCATGCGACATCGTCGCGTCGGTTCGGTTTCCCCAAACCAAGGGCCCCCAAATCGCATGCCCCTTCTCATGCCAAACCCGAAGCGCGGCCATTAGCCGCCCAGTGCTGCCAGGCAAACATCAACGTCATTCCGTGCCACACATACTGCAAAATCGTGGTATGAGGCAGGCCAAGATTGGCATGCCTCTTGGCTGGGCAGGTTTACGAAACCCAAAAAATAACCCGCAGCTCACGCTTGTCCTTCACAGCCACTTCCCCTCCACGCCTACCCGTCAATTTGCGCAATTGCGCCAGCTTGTACCCAACCAACCGGCAACATTTTGAAATGTTAAAAAAGGGCAGTTTTGACAAAAATATGTGAAACGCATTTTCTCCGCAGATTTTCGACGAAAGTGCGGTGGGCTAACATGGCTTTTGATGGGCCCCACTCTTCACTGTCCGCGTGTTTGTCGTATCCAGGCCTGCAGTCGTGACCAACGTAATCATGAGCCTGCGGCGTTATGATTACCAAAGTACTGGGGCACACAAAAAAATTACGTAGGTTTGGCTGAGCAAATTCCATGCGCGCGGGATTTGGTCGCCCGTTCCCCTTCCCATTCCCCTCGGCAAATTGCGAGCGAACGGCCCCTCAGTTGTGCGGAGAGAAAATTCCGGCATGCGGAACATAACGCAAAGGTTCGTTGGGTCGCCGAGAGCTTAGTTCTATGAATGACATCAACATTTGACGGGGTTGCGTCACTTGGCAATTTCCAAACCTCAAACTCCCAAGTGTCGTGCCTCTTCCCGTTCCCCCCCAAAACGCACAAAATTTGCCGCACCACCAACTTCGTACCATTCCTCCCCACACCTCATACCACCAAAATCGTGGTATGAAGCCAACGGGGATCAGAATGGCACGTAGATCTGGTGTAAGGAATTACAATTCCTTAGGGCGTGTCCAACGCTTTCATTTTGCCCCAACACGAGTTTTTGACGTATTTTTAACACGCCGAAATACTGAAACGCCAAGTGTAAATGTGTTGAGGTACGCCTACAGTATCAACAGCAAAACGCGCGGACACGTATCCCGCCCGTGTCTCGACAAATGAGAGGGTGCGCAGCGCGCACATAACAGACTGACACGCGAAAACAGCAGGGTAATCGAATTCCGCCCCAGGAAAGAGGCCCCGCCCGGTGCTTCGCATGCGTCACGAAAGCCTGGCGAACGTAAGCGTTCTATTTTTCGCCAGCCAGGATTTGGACGTTTCTGCCGTGCGTATAATTTGGGCACGATCTCCATTCGGTTCGGAAACGTGCGGCCCACGTCTGTGGGCACGTTTGGAGGGTGTCCGGCAAAACCATCAATTTCTCGTGCGTGTCCGAATGGACACGAATTTTCGGGTTACCAGGTCAAAATTTCATACCTGATATGCAAAGTGAATAGTATACGAACGCGGTGGACATGCCCTTACTGTGCTAAATTACAGCGCGTACACCCGAAGACCTCGACCTCGCAGGTTCGGCCTCGATTGTCGGCCCAAACCTCCCCGAGTCGCATTTCGACACCCTCGCCACCCTTCCAAGCTACATCACGTCCCGAGGTTCTCGCCCTAGCACGTACGAGCCCTACTTTAGCCAGTTCGCTCGTCACTTGCTCAATCAATTATTACTCCTAGGGATTATTCCGATTACTCAGTCGATTGTTTCATTCCCACTCATAAAACTTGGTATTCAGAGCCACTTCCCTCTCGCAGTAGCTTCCGCCTGCCCGAGAATTTTTCTTGGGGGGGGGGGGGAAGGAGGGATGGCTGGTGGGCTGCGGCGCTGCTCAGCGGTTGGCTCGGAGCTAATTTGTAAGCTCGTCCGACTAAGGCTTGTGCGCTCCCTTCGTCACCAAACCTCTGCCTTTGGACGGCCAGGATTTGGTCGGGTCCTCCCTCTCCCCAGGAACGGACAGATGTGGCTGTCACGGCATTAATTCGCCACGTGAGTTGGTGAATTATACATTTAATTCGTTTGTTTTGTATGGCAACACGGCGTCGTCGTCACGTGGCGGGGAATCTTCATGCGACTCGCCAGGAGACGTCGTCAGCGGTTGTGCGAAAAAAGAAGGCTCGCCCAACTCCGTGAGAAGATTCAGGGTTTGCCAGGCGCACGTGTGAAGCGTTAGAAGTGTACACAGGGAAAGCGCGGGGAGCGAGAGACGCGAAAAATTCGTTGGCGCTTTGTTTCATGTGCAAACCGACAACCTCGAAGGATTGGGCCTTGGTGTGTCGTCGTGCTCTGGTAACTTCGGCGAGGGGACAACGGCAGTGGGTCGGCGCAGCCTTCATTCGACAAAAAATCCGGAAGCGGCAACCTTCGGCAACAACCAATTTTCGTACAGCACCAAGATGGCACAGGGACGTCACCGACAACCCACGGATGCTGCAAAATAAATTCTGGACGGGTCCGTCGCACGCGTCTCCCTGGGTCACCGGAGGATTCTAGAAGAAAAGAGGCTGCGGCGGAGGGGCCACCGACATTGCCGACTCGTGATAATCGCCCAACGGTCAAGACATCTCTCGGCCAATTTCAGCCGTCGGATTGGGCTCGCCCAAGACTCTTCAAGGACGGCGTAATCATTACGCTCGTCAGAAGATTCGGAAGACCTAGAGTCACACTCGCAATTGGATTATTAATCCATTCGAGTATCGCCTCTAGTGTAGGGAGGGCTTATTTAGAAGGTGGGAGAGTGTAAGGAATGAGAATTCCTTACTGCGCTAAATTATAGCGCATACACCCGAAGACCTCGACCTCGCAGGTTCGGCCTCGATTGTCGGCCCAAACCTCCCCGAGTCGTGTTCCGACACCCTCGCCACCCTTCCAAGCTACATCAGGTCCTGAGGTTCTCGCCCTAGCATGTATGAGCCCTACTTTAGCTTGTTCGCTCGTCACTTGCTCAATCAATTATTACTCCTAAGGATTATTCGGATTACTCAGTCGATTGTTCCATTCCCACTCATAACATATGGCTAGTCCATTCGCGTTTCATTGGCCAATTCGAAATTGAATGGTAGGGAAATTTTATCGTAGAAGGTCCCCACCTCTGACGGAGGTCACTGCACATCTTCGGCAAATTTGTTTTACTCGTTTTTGCAATCTTGACCACTGCTACCATTCAACTTGACTGTCTTGACTTCTGGTCTGCACAGGCACAAATAAAATTATCGAGTACATTCGGCCACGTCGCTACATTTCGCCCAGGAGACTGTCACCTGTGCCACTTCTCGTGCCCATTCCCCTTCTCAGTGAAGATTACCGTCGAACGGCCCCCAAGACCCACACAAGTCGAGGCCGAAACAAAGGTGATTTTCGATTGCCCGACCGAGAACCCACCAGGATCCTGCCAAACAGGTTCGCGACACACGCGACAGCAAAGCGACCTGCCAAGCCTGGCTGTGACCACCACACACCTCTGAATTAGCCTCGTCAGAATGGCGAGGCTAGAACCGACGGGTCCCCGGTTGAATCCCGGCATGCCCAACTGTGAATAAAAAAATGACACATAGTGTTTTACTGGGAAACACTGGTGGGAGCTCGGTCTGTTGTTGGTTGACGATTTTTGCGCACCAGCAACCAGCCAGGGATAGGCCAACACAATAGGGGCAGGGGTGGGACACCTTCATGGGAGAGTCGAGGGGTACCCCAATAGCCCCATTTCGAGAAATTGCAAATATCGCCAGCGTTGATTTGCCCTAGTCTAATCTAAGTGCAATTTTTTTCGTCGACAGTTAGGCTGTGTTGATTTTTGCGTATGGGTGTTCCCTAATATGTGAGTTCATTCATGCAAATGCATAACAACTTCTTGGAGTAGGTAAGCCACCGTGGAAACAAGATGATCAGCCTGTCGTTTATGTGCACAAGTGGTGTTTCGAGGCTGTTCGAGTGGCCCACCGGGAACTTGCCATGTTAGCCCGAATCGCGTTGAAATGAAGGTTTAGGGTTGAGTGGCAAAACCCTCTTAGCGACTGACCAGTGCGGGGGTCGGTGTCTCCCTATCGCCACAAAGCGAGCCATAATACTAAGAGGGTATGCGAGATCTGGACGAGTGCAAGTCATTAGGTACATGAGGCAGCCCACCAGCTCTGCGTACAGACCACTGGGCTCAGCTGGCTTGTCAGGTCAGTGCAGGTATGTCTTCTCAGCAGCTCAGCCTTCACGGAGGACAGTGCGTCTCTGTCTGCAGTAGAGAAGACCAGGTTGTCTACGCAGACTAGGATATAGAACAGAGTTTGGCCTAAGCGAACAAAGAGCGAAGGGTCAGCAGAGGAAGGGAAGAATTGCAGGTCTGCAAACGTAGCCTGCAGCATGTCGTGCCAGTTACAGGTTGCCTGCCGCATATCGTAAACCGGGTGCCGGAGGAGCCACTCGGGCCCAGGATGGAAAGTGCCAGAGAAGCATGGAAGATGGCGTAGGTAGACCTGCTCGTACAGACTTCCCTGGAGAAACGCTGTGGAGAAGTCGAGGGAGTGCAGCTCGTACTCGCGCTGTACTGCTACATGAAGCAATCCTCGAACAGTGATCATGTTTGGGGTCGGGGCGAAGGTCAGCAAAAAGTCAAAACTCTTGTGCTGACTGAAGCCTCTAGGAATGTAGCATGCCTAGAACACTGGCGGCTCTCCAGGAGGGCTCTTCACCTTGAAGAGCC